TTGTTATTTCAGAATTGCTTTGAGAAGATTCATCATGTCGCTGATCGAGGGCTTGTTTCCTCCTTCACGGGAGAATTACGAGCTTCTCTTGCGTTGTTGGCAGATTGGCTATCCCATTGTAAGTCTCACTAGATGACGAACGATGAGAATAGGGAATCATGTACTAATACGAGAGACCAAAAACAGATTGGATCGATGCAATGGATCATCAAATGGTACGGCATGGGCAAAACATCTGTCAGCAGCGTATTCAACCTCCCCGGCCGCTTCGCCTGGATGACGATGGAGTGTCCTGGATTCTTGACGCTGCTCTACATTATGAACACGTTGCCGCAGAAGGCCGGAATCGATGACTTGCCGTGGCAGAATCGCGTCCTGGGTGGACTATTCGTATGCTTTCCGCACTGATTCTTTCAAAGTAAACATACATGAATGCTGACACGCAAACTCCAGGTCATCCACTACTCCTACCGGGCTGTCCTCTTCCCCCTCATCCAGCCCTCCATGTCCCCCATCCACGTCGGCGTCTGGGCCCTCGCCATTGGCTTCCAGTTGTGCAACGCCCTCTGCATCTCCTCCTGGCTGTCCGCCTACGGCCCCACCACCGCCGAAGCCTGGTCCTCCGTGTCATCCATCCCGCAGTTCATCATCGGCATCGGCATCTTCTATCTCGGCCTCTCATCAAACTTCTTCCACGACGAAGAGCTGCGCGAGATCCGTCGTCGCGAGCAAAAGCGCCAGGAACGCCTCCGTCAGCAGGCCGGCGACAAGAGCGGCAACTCGACCGGCGTGGAAAAGCACTACCAGATTCCGCAGGCGGGACTGTTTCGGTACATGCTGTATCCGCATTACTTCTCTGAGTGGGTGGAGTGGCTTGGGTTCTACATGGCTGCTGGTTGGGGATGTGGTCCGGCGAGGGCGTTTCTCGTGAATGAGATTTTCTCGATGCTGCCGAGGGCGGTAAACGGGAAGAAATGGTACCTTGAGAGGTTTGGGGAGGAGAAGATTGGCAAGAAATGGGCCGTCATTCCAGGTATTTGGTGATGATGTTGAGATGAGTGCACTGACTTCTACAGAACTTGGATGCCGGCCGATGTTAGACGCGGCTTGTACATACGAATAGACATTACACTGTGAATTTACATCAATTCATGGAGTAGTCATTATCAATACATCCGAGACTCTATCCAAAGTCTTCAAGATCCCATCATATACGTCGTTTAATAATGCGTCTTGCCTTTCTCCGTATAAAACTCCTTTGCCCACTGCACAATATTCGCCACCTCAGCATCAAACACCTTCTTCACGCCCTCGTTCGCATTCGCGTTCCTCACCAGCAAGTCTCCGCAGTGCGCCGCCCCGGGAACGACGTGCACGGGATGCTGAGGCGTCGAAGGCAGCGGGCCGCCAGGACGGTTCTGAGCCATGACGGTCGCGGGCCTCCAGGGATCGAACTCTCCCGCGGTCCACTGCAGACGGTGAGTGTTGACGTTGAACCAGCCGCCGGTGAGGCGGTTGACCCTGCTGACGTCGGCGCCCTTGGCGATGCCGTAGGTGTATTTGCCCTCGCGGGGGAAGAAGAGGCCGCATTGGCGCTCGAAGTAGGCGTCGGTGACGGTGCGGGAGACGAGGTTGCCCTGGCCGCGGACCTGCCACCACTTGAAGCTGTGATTGGTGTCAACATGATGTGTTCCCTTTGTGTAATGTTTGGTTGGCCATTGGACTTACGGCTCGTTGCAGAGGAACCAGTTCCACTGACGGTTGGCACTGTTCTCAACGGTGAGATCGGTGAACAGGGGGCTCGATGCGTTGTACGTGTTGTAGCAAGATGTGTCGTTGGGGTTGGTCCAGTATCCATAACCGGCGCAAGCTGCTCGGTTGTTAGATGTCATCCAAAGAGATTCACAAAAGGTTAAAACTCACATCCGGGCAAGCTCTGAGTGGTGTACCACTTGGAGTATCCAGCCAAAGCCTTGGTCAGACCAACTCCCCTGGCCCCGGGAACAGGGCTCGTGCTGCCAGGCCATTGGTTCTGTTATCACAATATCATCAGTCAACCGAGCAACTAGAAAACTTCCCCTCTACACAACTCACCTCGACATAGTCGCACATCTCAAGCAGCGGGTTAACGGCATCCGAGAACAGCACGCTCTGCCAGGTATACAATCCGTTGTTCAAGGCAGCCCCAAAGTCAGCATCCTCGAGATCAGCCAATCCAAACAGCGTCTTCAATTCATGCTTGGCCTTCTCGCTGTGTCCCAGAAGCACCTGGTCCACGTGCTGGATCACCTGGGCATAGTCGGAAGAGCAGTTCTTGGGCATGGCCAGCTTCACCTGCTCAAAGTACCTCCACAGGGGGCCGACGGCCTCGACGACGGGGCTGGAGCACGAGTAGGCCCAAAAGGTTCCGGGGGCGAGATCCTGCACCCAGGCCGTGAGGGCGCCGCTGTACGAGCAGCCGACGAGGACCCAGGGAGCCTTGTCGGGGGTGCTGGTTCGGTTCAGGTCGAAGGGAAGGACGACGTTTTCGGCAAAGTAGGTCAGGTCCTTGACCGACTGCTCCAGGGTGAGGTACCTCATGTTCTCGGTGGAGAGGGTATCAAAGGGTGAGCTCTGTCCCCAGTAGCGGTGCTCAATGATCAAGGCACCGGCGCCGAGTTCCTGAGCAGCGGCACCGGGAAGAGTCACGTTGGTCGTGTATCTCTCGTAGCCGTCCAGAGCGCTCTCGTTGGGTCCCATCAGGATGACGGGGCCTCCGGGCTTGTAGAACTCTCCGTTCCACGCATATCTCTGCTGAAAGGTGCCCAGCTCGGGGTGGTCATGGTCAATGAGCTGCTCGAAGAAGGCGTGCTGAGGCCCAGTGGCGTCAGCCTGGGTGAAGGACTTGATGGGCGAGACTTCGGGCTTGCGAGGGCGCATCTCCAGGTTCACGAGGGCAGAGGCAGTTCCCGCGAGCATGAGAAGCTCGACGATGGAAGTGGAGGACCGCATCTTGACGGGTTTTGTTGAAGCTACCGGCACCTTGGACTCGAGCTCTTCCCTCTCCTCTCAAGAACCAGACGTCCAAGGACGCGACTTATATACCCCCTTCTGCCCTCCAGTTCCATTATCTTTTTTTCCGGCTCCTTTCCCCACAGATCCTTGAAGAACTATTGTAGTAGTATTCGCAAGGTAACATCACACAAGTGCCCGCCTAGCTACTCTTGTAACAAGGCAAAAAGTTCCGCATCATGGACCCTGTTCCTAGGCGGCACGACACGACAGGTACGGATCCCTGACCTGACTGACGCCTTTTTTGGCCCGCCAGGTTTTGTTCACCAATAACAGAGAGTCTTGCTTCGGCTTCCTGCCGAGAGGAGAACAATGCCGGCATTCCATCTCCCGCACATTCATCAAACTTGGCATCGCTGAACAGCCTTTTGGAGAGCAATGGGGAAATCGGATTGGTCAGCTTGTCATGAAAAGTCATTTTTCACAGCCCCAGAAAACAAAGGATCCTGGAGACAAAAAACAACAAAAGGCTCTACGAGGAATAGGCTGTCCTGCCTCGAGCCCAGTCAGCCCGCATCAACCCTCTCCAGCGGACCAAAAGAACCCTTCCTAGACAAACAAAATGGACTTTTGCCTTGTCCAGCATGCAGCAAAATCCCCCTGGTCCATCGCATTAGCTGCCGGTCTCCGTGAATCCAATTCAAAAGATCCCCGAGTCGCCGCTCGCCAACTCTATCTGCCCTTTGCCACTTCCAGGCGACCTTCCCGATAGGGCATGAGGCTAGCCGGGGGGTCGGCCCATGCCGGAGGCTTTTGTTAGTGAGCCGGAGTCCGTCCTGTCTGTATGGATAAAATGCCAGCCGGCGGAATTGCCTTTGTTGGAGGGCAAGGACTTTTGGATCGGCGGAGGGAGAAACAAAATGATTCTCTCCGGGTGGACCGGTGGTTCTTTGTTCAAGGTCTGGGTTTCTGAGGCTATTAATACTTGGCCCATCTCCGATCACAATCTGCGATGAGTTGTTTTAACCGGGGTGTTGCAACTACCTATCTTGTTCGTGTGGGCTGTTCAATTGACAGCTTTTCGTTGCAGCCTCTTGTTTGCCGGCTGCATAACTTGATTTGGATCGGCAACTGACTTTCCTCATCTTCCTTCGTGCAGCCAACCGTCTTGGCGGATTCGGTGACCCATTCTCTCCGAGGCGGGATTGTTTGCTTGACTTTGGAGTATTCGTTTGTGCTTTGGCAAAGGCGGTCTGTATCCATGTATGGATTGCGGCAAGAAAAGACCTTTGCTCTGAAGCCTCTGCTTACTTTGCATGAAGATGCGCGTCCTTCTTGTGCGACGCAGGATAGAGTCGCCTGGCCTTTTGATCAAGGCTCTGCAGCCTTCTTTCTGTAACATATACCTCGTGGGAGTTATGCAGGTTGTTGACTGGGATCAACGATGCGGACCAAGTGATGATACCATGTCCGCCGTGCTTCTTCGCATCTCCAACATTTACCAGCAGTCATATCGTGGTAACTCAATTTATTGACTATATATAAGCTACGACGTTCCACGAGCCGGAAACATGCATCCGGGCGAGTCGAGTCCACGGTACAACATGGCGCTGCGTCCACTGGATTGTTGTTACTCGTATGTTCCTGGATTGAGAGCTTGTGTAACAGTCTATACGAACATTTAGAAAAGGCTATTGAGCTCAATGCGACAGTATAAGCTGCCAATTCTCCACCAGTTGACGTCGTTACTGCATTGAAGCCTTCCTGAAGTTGGGGGCCGATAGTAACATGATCCAATAATTTGAACTGTTGAAATGCAGATGCTCACTTTTCCACGATGTTTTACTGGACAAATTACCTCAATCGACACCATTTGTCAAGCAGATAAACACATTCTCCGCTCATCATATTACAAATCCCAATATGTAACGTGTAACTATCCAAGATACATACGATGTTACTATTATACAAATCCTCGTCCACCTACACCGACGCGATCCTCACCAAGCTCAATCATCGCCACTCTCATAGAGGCTGCTCACAGCCCATCCATTCAACAAAGTATACTGACTCAAAGGCGACGTCCCCGTCAACGGGTCGTAATGTTTCCTCTCTCCACAAAGCCTATCATTTCCGTACTGCACACAAGGCCGCCCTTGCAACAGTGCCGCAACTTGCGCACCCGCTTCACGGCCCTCAAACCAAGCTCCATGAAGAAACCCAAAGTACTCAGCACTGGTAGCCTCACCCGCAAACCACAATCGTCCAGTATTAGCTCGCAGATTCTGGTGAGCCAACAATGAAGTGCCTGCTGGCCAATTTGAGTAACTTCCGAAAGACCACGGCTCAGAAGTCCAGCGAGGATATGTAAATGCAATGGGTTCCGGGATAGTGACATTGGGAAACATTTGGCGGAGAACCTCCATGGCCTCTGCTTTTGTCTCTTCATCCGTCTGTTGCTCGATACGGTAAGACTCATCACCAATGACAGTTGCAAAAATGATGTTGGAGCCCGGCATGAAGCCTTCGGTCGAGAGGGACTGCCAAACAGGATAATAGCCCCGCGTAGTAGGCGAAGCATACAAAAAGTACTGCGTATTTTCAGGCCAGAACGTCTCGTTAAACTGCAAAAAGACCTTGGTATACGTGCCCATGGCGAAGTTCTGAATCGCATCTTGCTTCCACCCCGGCAACTGCGGCGAGAAGCCAATCGCATTGCTCTGAAGCACGCCCAGTGAAAAAGTCGAAATGGCGTAGTCCGCAGATACGCAGCTACCGTCATGATTGTACACTGTGACGCCGTGATCGGAGTAGGTGATGTTTGTGATGCGAGTGTTGAGGAGCAGGCGGGTGTCGTTCTTGGTGAGAAACGTTGAAGCTTCGCCGTCGATGATGGCACTGTAACCGCGTGGGTCAATGACAAAGTTGTTGGCGTCGCTGAACTGGTTAAAGGTGAGGTTGCTGCCTGCAACACCAAAGATGAAGGATGACTCTTCGGGTGGGAAAGCAGCCTCCCAGTCTGGGACATTGTCAGCATACACATATACCGCACAGTATCTCACGTTTCTATGTGGGATAACCAGATTGTTGTTGCTCATGTTAGAAACTCACCCCAGTTCCACCACTCAGCGGCCTGTCTCTTCATATCGCCGTGTTTGGGATTCCATCCCGCAGTAGATAGGCCGGCACGCATGGTCTGATCCTGCAAATTCTGGACAAGCAAACGGCCAGCCTTTGCGGCAGCTTTGTCATATGCAGTTCCATATTCATCAATGAGGCCAGAATAGTCCGTGTAGCCCGTTTCATCATAAGTCAAGATGGAGTCATAATCCGAGTAGGTATTGGCGAGATGGTATTTTTTGGCCTACGTGAGATGTTAGCGAGGCAAATTCCAAACAGATATGAATCATGTCAAGATTGGTTTAATAACACCACCCACTAGTGTATACACGGGATTCTCTATACATTGTTAGCGATTAATTGTGTTGTAGAGACACGGATCGCGAGCCACTCACCTGGGCCTCCAGGATTGCCGAGACCTTGTATCTAAACATTCACATGAGCATTTCATCTTATCAACAAGAGACATGTTTCGGAACGATTCATACCCAATTACATCCATACTCGATAACATACGGGCTTCCATCTGACTTTTTGCCAAAGTCGCCATGCCACGCCCGTCCACCAATTCGATCTTGGTACTCAATAATGACAAAATCTGGCACGGAGGCATTATGTAGGGCTTGCTACTTGTATATAGAGAGTTAGTTCTATAAAGAATAATAGTTGTTGACAAGACTTACAGCAGCAGTGATGCCTGCCATTCCTGCACCTCTAAAAACATGTAAGCGACATTCTCCAAGAATATGACATTCAATTCATCGAGTCTCGATGATACTCACAATATCGCCACAGACGTCTTCCTACATGTTTGATCACTATTGCTGCCAACTGGTGCGGCAGTAACTGACGGAATCCATCCCGCAAGCACTGCAACCACACCGATTTTAAAGTTGTTTGGTGCCATTGCTGTATACTCTAAGATTTCTAGATAGCATCTCATGATCTACGGCATGATCAAGGTAGCATTTATATAGACAACCATCGGTTCACAATAGCTGTCCCACCTCGTATCTACTCCTCACGACGTACAAACAAGTCAATAATTGAATCAATAATTGAGTACAACGATCCCGTGTTTATGCACGTCTAGCATGGTTTCCGCATAGACAAAGCGAGCATCATCACACACTCATCAACACTCATGTGGTGCAGCTGAAGACAAAACGAGTCAATATTCACCATCTCGTGCCGGAAGGCCGCGGCACCATTGACGAACTCAGTCGATCGCCTTCTCCATCCGGCCCGTCAATGCAACATCACCCAACAAGGCGTAGAGTCTCGTGCACAATCTGAGTACCCGCTCGTATCTACATATGTACATAGAACCACTTTACGTTTCCACTTGATCTCACCCGCCCTTATCTAATTGATTGCCCCTAGCGTTCCATATCTCCAATTTCATTGAGAAGGCTGAAGAGGCCTGATATAGATCCGGCGGCGAGATACCTGAAAAGGCCATAATCTGAGAACCGAGGCTGGAAAGGCTGCAAGGCTTGGCCCTCGCGCCCTTTTAAGACAAAATAAACAAGCCCAGCCACCCCGACTAAGGAAGAACCGGCAATCAACCAAAGCCAAGACCGGCGCTCTCCGTTTCATCTTCCATCTATATTGCCATTAACTAGCCTATTCGAGCCAGCTTATCGAACTTCCCCGCATCCTGTGTGAGCGGGGAGCCTCCAAAAGCGTCTCCACGCCTCTCGTCTTAAACGGCTTACATGGGTCCCTCACAAGCTGTTAACTGATACTGTAGTTACCATTACTATCATCAAAGATGGATCCTCCAGCCTCATGCGAGATTGCCGTTTATCAATTAGCTCATCCAATGGCCATGCTGCCTTCCATTGAAATCTCCCCTTGACCGTCTATCTGCGCGTCTCTCTAACTTATTGCCTCTCCCGGTACTAGTAGTAACAGAAACCCGAGGCTGCTAAGGCTCCTCCGCACGCCGAGTTCGGTCTCACCCCCCATGCCGATCCAGAGAAAGGCGATATCGTATTCCGTGCTTGACTCGCTCAAGACAATGAAATGTGACCCAGTTTACGATGACGGCGTGGTTCGAGTTGGCCGATGCAAGGTAGCACTGCGTATCTCATCAGGCCATTCTACGCCTTTGTAACAATAATAAAACATTAACTTCCCTTTTTTCACAACGCTTACTGGCTGCTTCTTTTCTCCCCTTCCCACCAACTCCCCGATGCAGATGCTGTGTGCCGCATCGTCAACTCCAAATAACCTTGCCGGATGAGAGACATCCACCACAGCCTCCCACAATGAGCGAAGAATATACAAAACACGAGAATAGCGATGACGCTCAGCTGGCGGCCATGGGTCACCAGCCCGAGCTGAATCGCAACTTTTCCACTTTGTAAGCCAAGGCCGTGACAAAAAGACGATCAACTCAGCTCACACGTGCAACTACGTATTTTAGATCGATGCTGGGACTAGCATTCGCAGTGTTAAATGTAAGTTACATACAAGAAAGCTGCCAGAAAAAGAAAAGATTCACGCAAGACTAACCCTCTTCTCCTCAGTCATGGACCGCCCTCTCTGCAAGTCTCTCCCTCAGCTTAACCTCCGGAGGTAGTACCGGAGTTGTCTGGGGTCAGTTTACCAATCCTTTATGCAGATGCGTTCGCACAAGCGTTTTCACATGCATCCCCCTAGCCCCGTATTGCCGTGTCTTGGCTAACATGCAGCGATGTAACAGGCCTTGTCACGGCAGGCATATGTAACCTTTGCATCGCCGCGTCTCTAGCCGAGTTCCTGTCGGCTTACCCAACGTGAGTCTCCAGATGGATCAAGAATCACATGCTTGGATGCCTTGTGTTGACGGTGGTGACAATCTAGTGCCGGTGGACAGTACCACTGGGTTGCAGGTAAGAATGGCTTGTCTTCAGACTTGATGTAGATGAAATGTTGACTGACATGCAACAGCAAGTATGGCTTCCTCACACCTAGTTCATATCACCAATCCCTTCTAACAATATACAGTCTCTTGGCCCAAATGGGTACCAGTCTTATCATGGGTAACGGGCTGGGTCAACGTCGCCGGCTGGGTATATTCACTCACCCATTCCATCAACACCATGAATCTCTAACAACATGCATCCAGGTCGCTCTCGTTGCCACAAACGCTCTTTTATCCAGCCAACTCATTCTTGGCATCATCTCTGCCACACATCCTGTACATATTTCCCCTCCCTCATTCCATAACAAAGTAGTCTTACAAGCTTGCTAGGACTACGAGCCCCAGCGCTGGCACCAGTTCCTCATCTACATCGGCTTCACTCTCGCCTCGTTCGTCATCAACGCCTTTCTCAACTCCTTCTTGCCTCTTCTTTACCGCGGCGCCTTTGTGTGGTCCATTGGTGGCTTTGTTCTCGTGTCAATCACGGTTCTTGCCTGTGCATCGCCTGATTATAACACGGCCTATTTCGTGTTTCGCGAGTTCATCAACGAGACAGGATGTAGGGTCTCTCTTCACCTGCTGTTACTCATAATCATGCTGACAACTCAATTAGGGCCTGATGGAATTGCCTGGCTGCTTGGCGTGCGTACATATACTCAACCATGAAGAAAGATGGAAAATTGCTAACAAACCTCAGCTCCTCCAAGGAGGTCTCGGTGTCACTGCTTTCGATGCCGTCGCCCACATGATTGAAGGTAATCAACTCCTTCACAAATACCATCAAACCACTAGCTCTCAACTACTCACGATCAAACCAGAAATCCCCAACGCCGCCCTAGAAGGCCCCAAGATCATGGTCATCTGCGTCGGCATCGGCACTTTCACCGGCGCCATCTTCCTCATCGTCCTGCTCTTCGTCGCCGGCAACATCGACGAGGTCATCAGCTCAGCCGCGGGACCTCTGCTGCAGATCCTGATCCACGCCACGAGCAACACTGCAGGCGCCATCTGCCTTCTCATGTTCGTATCTCCCAGCGCCAGATAGACCGTGGCTTCGCTTTGGAGGCAAGAGACTGACTGTGTAATAAAGGCTTCCGCTCGTGTGTCTTATTTTCGCCACATTTAGCGTCATGACGACGAGCAGCCGCATGATTTTCGCATTTGCTCGGTATGTTTCTCGATTCCGATATCAGAATAGAAACACAGCTAACTTCTCCAGCGATGGCGGTCTTCCTGCCTCCAAATTCTTCGCTCGCGTGCATCCCAAGCTCGGACTCCCGCTGAATGCCCTCATCCTCACCTCTGTGGTCGTCATCATCTTCGGCCTCATCTTCTTAGGCTCGTCGAGGTAAACAAATCATCACAACAATGAATATCCAAGCCGTTCCTTAGCTAACCTCACCAGCGCCTTCAACGCCATCATCTCTGCCTCCGTCGTCACACTTGATCTCTCCTACGGCCTCCCCATCGCTGTAAACTGTCTCCAAGGACGCCGAAAACTGCCTGAGCGGAAGTGGGTTCTCCCCAGCTGGTTTGGCTGGACGGCGGACATCATCTCGCTGTCGTACATTGCGCTCACCACGGTTCTCTTCGTCTTTCCTCCAATCCTGCCTGTTACAGGTAGCAACATGAGTATGTCCTGACCAAACCATGCTAGAACTGAAATTCCGAATACGACGTGTGCTGACTCTTTGCCATAGACTACTGCATCGTTGCATTCGCCATCATCATCGCCATTTCTCTCTTCCAGTGGATCGTTGACGGCCGAAAGAACTTTACAGGTCCCCGCGTCAACCTTGTCAGTGGGCAGGTAATGGGAGAAAACGTTACAGAAATCACCAGTGTGGAGGAGGTGTCGGGAGGAAATAAGGAAGCGTAGTTGTCGAGGACTCCAACGGGTTTCCAACATCTTTGCCAGAAAATGTACCGAGCTCATGATGAAATATGACTGTCGTTTCAAATGGAGAGAGAAAAGTAAAGAAAAGAAAAGAAAAGGAATGATAACATTGGCTAGATGATAGAGTGCACGGTGCAACTATCTTCATCAGCTCGCTCTTGCAGCCTAAAGAACATTGAAGTTTCATGTCCTGCAACTACCTGTAATACAAAGTTTGCCACGATCAATGTATCAGCCTTGAGAGGCCTTTGTAAAGGTTCAAGCCATGGCCAAAGATCCTTCCAGCTAAAAGTTCCCCTGAACAAAGCAGTGCGGTGCCCGGTACTTCGAAGTGGAGGGCCACATCACAGCCTTTGACATGGATACAGTCATTCGTTTCCTTGTCACTGTAATACATTATAGTTTACAGCCCAAGTCATCATACAACAAAGACCCTAATAGTAAAAACATGTGAGCAGCAGTGATGCATCTTGACGCTCTTCCTCCCATTCTTTGGCTTTGTCTCCCGCCAGCCGTCAACCAAACTGCCTCCAAAGTTCTTTCATCACAGTCCCAGTCCACTTTTGCTTTATCTTACTTTTCAAAGTCACTTTTTCTCATAAATCAGTTAGCGGGTGATTCTGCTCAAGGATTTAACTTTTCTTGTCCTCCTTTAATTCTTTTTCCATAACTTTATAAGTGGATAGTTTCGAACACGTCTTATACTTTCCCAACCTTGCTCTCACTTTTGCTCTTTCTTTTCTCCACTCATCTCTAAATCCTTCTATTTCCCAGAATCTCTTCTTCAAATTCCATCTTCTTCAGAGTTCTCGACTGGATATTTCTACACGTTTTTAAACCATTTATTACTCAACCATCACCTCTGTCTCAGTCACTACCAGCTTCGTTGATCTTCTTTATCGTCACCAGAATACCATCAGACACCATGGGATGCAAAGTTTCATCATTCTCCAAGCCGGCGAGAAAACCTCCAAATCCTCCCAACGACCCCCGTTCACGGACGCACGTACGAAAATCCCGCCACTGCCCTCAATGGCATCCCCTATCCTGCCCTCGGCAAACCCTCCACTATCCTACAAAACCTCCCAAAAACCCCCGTCCATGGACATGGAAGTGCCACGAATGCAATCGTCGGCATCCCATATCCTGTCGGCGATGCCTCAACTGCGGCCACAGGCTCTGCTCCGCCCGCGAAGGAGACCCAGAGAAGACTCCAAGCTGCAGAGTATTGTTTGAATTTAAGAGATGGATATTTTACACCAGTTGGCGCCGCCAAGTCCAAGAGCAGAGGGCCTCCAATACGGAGTATCAAGTCCACCCCCATGCTACACGAATAGAACATAAAGAGGCAGGTGTGTCTCAGAGGACGCCCTGGAGAACCCCTTCGGAGATGACGCCGCGCAATAGCACATACGGCTGCTTTGACCGTTGTTTCTTTCCAAGCGTTTGCGTTCTCAGCTTGAGACTGGTGGAACGAGAACAAGCCTCATCACCAACATCACCATCAGCGGCACCGCCAACGCGATTATCAGGAAAGACGAAGCTAAAAATTATGACTTCGTGTAAGTCAAGCAGAAAAGCCTCCAAGGACAACAAATCAAGAAGGCATCACAGCTTCCAGAAGAAGCCATCTCCTCTAAGCCAAGTGTGGCAGCTCGAAAGCGATTCTGAAATGGATGGAGTAATTACGGCTATTAAAGGAGCCAGTGTGAAGGACAACCTCAAAATGGGGAATAAAAGATGCATGACAAAAATCTGAACTCAAGGTAATTTTAGATTCGGACGATTGTATGCAGAACAAATAAAAATGTAAATATTCTCAATCTATCGACTCTGGTCGCCATTACATGCCATCATCACTACCAGCTGCATTTTCGGACGAGCTTCATCCTATGTATCTCACATGCCTGTAAATTCTAGAAAATCAAGTCCCATTATATATAATATACGCTCACCATTGTTTCACATCTACGGCTGCATCCACATTCCTTTTCTTTCCTATTCGCGATTCCATCAACAAAGGTACCCCTTGACCAATCACCTCGTGAGTCGGTAGGGCCGAACAATACGAATATACTCATTGAGTAGTGACAAGTCGGAATATTCTAATCAAATGTAATCTATACCGTCGAGTGTTTTTTATTGCTTTTCTTCTTCTTTTGGGCTGATAGGTATCTATAGTGTGAGGTTGCAACACCTCCAAGTCAGGTGGCGAGGATAAAACGTCCTACCCGGAACCGGGAAAAGAGACGAGATGATAGATCAGGCAAAGGGACCGAAAGAGGGAGCTACTATATTCTCTAGTCTCCTAATACATAGTAATACTAGATAATGACAGACTGAACTGATGATCCATCCAAGGTAGACATTCGTTGTATCGTGATGCTTGTTCCTCCACGCTGACATGGTGTGGCAGCATGCAGACATGGAAGCTTGGCTACCTAGGTATACAAGATCCGACTACCACGAAATAATCTCACGAGAATGAATCAAAAACACCAAATGCACGTAACGAGAGAACCATACATCATGCCCTTTTTTTTCTCCTTTTTTCTTCTTCTCATGCTAGAGTAGCCTAAGATAATCTTGCCAAACGTCAGCCGCCCAACAAGCTGTTTTCGTCCACCATTCAATTGCGTCACCTTCCATCTCCAAACTTCATCGAGCAGCGTCAAACCAAAACAGACAAAAAAAAATAAACGAAAACAACTGTTGTACATGACTCACACGACAGACTCTTTGCCATTCAGCAAGAAGAAACAGAGCTAGGGGTGGTGCAAGCCATCCTTCAACCCTGCTTCATTTGCCGTCGTGCGTCCAGAGCCCACACAGTTGTCCAAACCATACCCAGATTCCATGCCCCACGACAGGTTTGGATTTCCTCTGCAGGAAAGATAACAAAAAAATCAAGAAAAAAAGCGTCCAATTCCAGGTGTCCCAGGCCATCCCCAGCAATCGCCCCGCGAACCGAAACAAGAGGTATTCAAAGCATTAACATAGAGCGAGAGCAATTCGTGCGCGGGATGAGAGAGGCAGGTTGAGCTTCTTAGGCCTCCAAAGCCTTGGCCTTCTTCTTCTGCTCGACCTTGAGGAGGAGGGCACGGTTGATGTGAGGAAGGACACCACCAAAGGCGATGGTGGCACGGATGAGGGTATCGAGCTCTTCGTCACCTCGGATAGCCAACTGGAGATGGCGAGGGGTGATGCGCTTCACCTTGAGGTCCTTGGCGGCGTTCTGCGTGGCGGTTAGTGTCAAACTGAGGCATGACGGCCAAAAACACGAGCAAAGGGGACAACTTACGCCTGCCAGCTCCAACACTTCGGCAGTCAGGTATTCAAGGACGGCCGTGACGTAGACTGCGGCCTTGGCACCGACTCGCATCTTGTTTTGGGTGTTTTGCTTGAGGAAACGCTTCACACGACCGCAAGGGAACTATATGCGCCGAGAAAAACAACGGAATTAGCGACGGTCCATCGTTTGGTTCAAGTTCCAGCAGCCACAGGGAAATGGCGGGACAGAGATCTCGTCGGATTATGCGACCGCTGAGCAAAATAAAAAAAAATCTCCCCCTCCCTGCGCCCGGCTACGCGACTAGGCATCCGGGCAACAAATAACATGGCAACGAGATCCCGCACGGTAACACGATTGCGCGGCCTGAATCTCGCGGAATCCATCGCCCACGCAACTCTGCGGTCCCATGCCAAATCGTCGAAGCGGCGGCGGCGAGCAAACGACCAACGCGTCCGGCTGAAAACTCGTCGAGGGCCATCGCGGGGAGGTTGGAAGCTAAAGCGGGACTCGCAGGATGTGCAGGTGGGTGTGCATGCGCGCAAATCGTTTGGGCATCAAGCAGGGCGAGGGAATCGGGCGAGGGCCGGCGAAAGCGAAAAGCAAGCTCCCGCCCGTGTCGAACAGTCAAAAACTCACCTGAAGACCAGCTCGGGCAGAGTGGCTCTGTTGCTTCTTAGATCCCTCGGCGCTCGTCTTACCGCCGGAGCTCTTCCCTCCAGATGACTTGCCCTTGCCTCCGGCCATTGCGTCTGGCGTATCGATACGGGGTGATGATGGTTGCAAATGCGTCGAGATGGAATGCGAGTGTCTGCACTGGCGAGCGGCGAGAGCAGAGGCTGATGCGCGTGGTGAGGCGGTGATGAAGTCGACAAGTGGGATGTTTGGTTCAAGTCGGAGTTGGTGTGGTGGCAGAAATTTAGCAAATCGACGCAAGCGGGCGGTCCAGTTGCTGGCATGTTTAGGTTTTTTTTTTTCGCTGCAAGGAACAGCCTTCTGGTGCCTGTTGGCCTCGCTGTATTGCGTCGCGCCCGTCCGAGTCTCAGCGCAACGAGCTCCCCCAACCTCCCCCCAACAGCCCCTCAATCGCAGTGCGAAGGGCGCTAGAAAGCTTCCAGGTTGCTTGCTTAGTGAGACGATGGACGATTGCAGCCGCCCGCTTCCGACACGAGCCGGAGTATATCCGAAAGGCTGGCCGCCAGTGGCGCATCGCAGGCGGCTGGAGATGGTGGCAGGCAGAGAAGCGCTGGCCATCAGTCAAAGGGGCTCCAAGGCAGCAGGCACCCTAAAAAAGATGCTGCAGGATGACGGCCGACATGTCCCCAAGAGGCCAATCTCGGTGAGTCATCGTGGAGGCATCTCCAGAGCACAGAAAGCCCTGCTGGTGACGACTCAGGGCACAAGGATATACTGACCAAGGCGCTCAACTGCCAACGGGGCAGCGGCGCCAATGCCGTGGGCTACCCCATAGTGTTGCGGGGGATGAAAAGTTGAAAGAGAAGAATCACGGCAAGTCATTCATCTGACCCATCTAGGCTTGTGAGAGTTGCCAGCTTGACACGGCATCGCTGTGCCTTGGTGAGTCTGGAGTTCATTTGTCTGCATGAATAAGGCGTTTCTCAACTCAGAGGCTAGAGTTGGCATTGTCCCGCTGTGGCTGCTGGGGTGTGGCGCATGCCCATGGCTAAGACCCGGCTATTTGCCAAGTCTTGAATTATGTCAGCATTGCATTCCCGGGTACTTACAGTATTTACTCCGTAGAATATCGGCGGGATGCCTAGCAAAGGGACCTTAGTAAAAAGTAAAAACGTCATTGCCTACAGAAGCATCGACACAGCTCTGCTTGGAAGGGACAGGGCTTGTTTGCGGGAGCTGCAGCATACAAGATGGTCCGCGGCTATCCGCTCTCATACTATAAAGCTCCGTGTTTGGTTTAGCTTGCCTCAACCAGATGTCACTCCAAGCACAGCGCACGGACCATGAGTTAGCACCAAACGCCACGAACTGTACTTGTGACTTTGTACCCTCTCTGCATCATCGGGACAGCCTCATCAGCAATCTATCCCGATAAGCACTTACGCAGTGCTGAGCCTGTGTTCAAGTTTGTCTCTTCTGAGCAGGTCTTCACGTTATTTGAAGTATCAGCCGTACAGGAATTTGCAAGCCCAATAACATGGCCAGCGTAAGTTTATTCATCCTCTCCCAAATCCTCGTCTTTGTCCTGTCACATGTTCACCATCCCTCTCTGCGCATATCATATTGCTAATGCGCAAGGCTACCATTGCCACAGCATGGCGTGACTCGCACCGTCCGGACTCGCACCGAAGAACAGCGGCTGCAAGACCTCGAAAAGATCAAGAAATACCGCCATCTCGAGACCCAGATACGCACACAAGTCGCTTCGGGAACCTACAGCCTAGATCTCTTCGAGCTTACCACCAAGCTCCTTCGTCAGAACCCCGAATACTACACCATATGGAACATTCGGCGCCGTTGCTTGATATCATGTCTATTATCCGGGACAGAAGGCCAGACCGCATCAGAAGCTCAAGATGGCACATCGGGTACCAAAGACCAGGACTCGGACAACCAAGTGCTGCAGTCTGAAATCGCCTTCACCATGCCGCTACTACTGGAATTTCCCAAGTGCTACTGGATCTGGAACTTTCGGCAATGGCTTCTGGCACAAGCCATCCAAAGATTACCTCTCCCGGTAGCAAGAAAGATTTGGGAGACAGAACTCGGCCTGGTGTCCAAGATGCTGAATAAGGACCAGCGCAACTATCATGCCTGGGGCTACAGGAGGCTTGTGGTGGCTCAGCTGGAGAGCCCCGAACTTGACGGCAAGAGCATGGCCGAGGGCGAGTTTGCGTACACAACCAAGATGATCCGACAGAGCTTATCCAACTTTTCTGCGTGGCACAACCGTAGTCAGCTCATTCCAAAAGTCTTGGAGCAGCGAGGCGCCGATGACAAGGCCCGAGCAACTTTCCTCGGCGAGGAACTAGATCTTGTGCGGGATGCTCTCAACGTCGGTCCCGAAGATCAAAGTTTATGGTACTATCACCAGTTCCTCGTGTCCCAAATCGTGGGAGATGGAAATAAGCGGAGCATCACACCGGCTTTGACCGTCGGCGAGAAGATTGCCTACCTGAAGCACGAAATTGATGAGATTAAAGACTTGTTAGAGGATTACGACGACATCAAATGGATTTACGAAGCTCTCTCAGAATACACCGTAGCATTAGAGCGATTACAGCGCACTGACAGCAATAGCGCCGAGGCTGGCGACTTGCAGGTCTGGCTCTCGAAGCTACGGACCCTGGATCCGATGCGCACGGGCCGATGGAATGATGTTGAACAACTAGCAACATGATGGAAGTCATGATTTAAACGATTACTCTGTTTGTTCTAGTTCCGTCTATATATTCAGGCATACTACAGAGGCATAGTTAACGGGCACTGTCTTTACCAAGAGGGCAACTGCACGCAGCCCGGCACCCTAGGGGTCATGATTAATACATCTAGACTTAACCCAGCCTTTGACTATAGGTTTGGCGGCAGCGGCACAAATGGGACATGGGATGGTTCTACACATATGACCTGTCAAATGATGGACACCGTAGAAACAAGCAAACCGGGACTTTGGACCATGTCAAACTGTCACCCATCAAACCCGGTTGGGGAAACGTCAGTTGGATTGGCGAACAACAGCTTCTGGAACATGTATCAAACATTTAATGAAGATCGGCGGTTAGCGTAGAATACATTTGATTCAACCCTGGTTACACGTTGTTGAACTCGTACACTGTATGTCGGTATTTTGTCATAGGGCAGTTTGCCAGTATCAAGATATTGAATGACCACCAGCTCCCTCTTCTGCAGATCGCTCTTCTTGGAGATGGCATTTTATTAATGAAGTCAGGGTCATAAGACCCCGCACCACAATCTAATTTGCAAAGTTGGTCAAACGACTCTATTCTCCATCGAAAATGCTACTGTATATGCACGAGGAGACTCGTGATGGTGTTTTGCAGAGGGCGAAATCCCGTAACAGAACGACAATGGCTAATGCAAAACGCCAGCTGAGCTACCCGAACAGACTATCTAATCGGAGAGAGTTGTCACATTTTGAGAGGATCTACGGAACCTTGGCAGCAACCACAATCTGACCCTCGTTGTCAGTGCAATCCTTGTTCGGGTTGTTATTTGGATCGCCCGTAAACTACACGTCGTTTTCGAAAGTTTGCTACCGTAACATTGTCAGCTCCATATGGTAAGATTGAAGATGCGAGTGCATACGATACGAGTACCTGTAAGCAGCTCCGCGTGATGGCATTGCGTTTGGAGGTGGACCGCCGAGCAGAGGTGTCGTTGTGACAACCCGATGTCAATGGTTGATACCGGAAAGAGGCAGCTTATTTCATCGGGATACTTTACTGTTACTTTGGTATCATTGAGCTGTTGTCTATTCGACATGTTGAGCTATAGTTGCCTCTCAGAGTGTACATGGCCTTTAAGACTTGATGTCCTTTGGCAACTGATCGCTTATTCAATCTCAAGAGTAGAAAATTACAAACCATGTCCACCATGAGAATAAATTTAGCATACCATGTACAAACTAAATCTACGGGCAGATAGAGAGCAAATACAGTGTAGACCCAGCCATATGTCGACTCCACACCGCAACACACGAGCATATACCAGCAAAGCACTCTGCATAACAGCACAGAGCACCAATCAAGACGTGTCGTGTTCGCAAATAGAATTAACCAACGGCCACGCCGTTCAGATAAGGGTCAACCTCGTCTTGCACATAACCCATACGGACTCCAGGAGAACTGGCCCGCCAAGTGGATTCTCTGACTGCAGAAAGCATGCATGTATGGAGTTCCATACACGTACTCGGCCGGTACACACCGCCGTTCTCGCTTAACAACAGCTGGCTTGCTACGAGCGTTTGTATATGCATCTAGACAGCTTGGAGAGGGCCCGAATATGGGAAAACGCCTATTGTTATGTGCCTCTCTCGCTGCGGTCTAGGGGGGGATGGGCGCAGAGAGCGTATTGGGCCAATCCCCACAGGACGATGAGGCTGGTGTCGGAGGGACCGACTCCTGGGGTTTAGGAGACGCTGGATGTCGTGTGTCTTATTGGTGATTTCAATAGATGTGTTGGAATGGCGGAATCGGTATGCTAAGCTGTCAGATTGGGTAAGGCATACACGGCGTTGAAGCTTGAGGGGGCTCGTTCGTTGAGTACATGGGGAGTGCATGTCATAATCCTGCTTGTTCCTATTTTAAGTTTTTATATCAGGTTTTGATTGATTCTTCAGTGATAATGTAGATAGGACAGAAGTTGAACATTCTCCTCTTATCCAATTCCTTCGTGTGGTTTGTAAAGTGAGCTTAGCCCACATCTACCCTACAATACGTAACAACCGTTAGGGGACGTCTGTCATTCTATAACACACAAACCTACATGTATGATTGACTGTATAAGCATGTAGACGGAAGAGATGTCATCAACTTTGGCTAGAATAGAGAGGCGGTGCTCTTTGGAGAAGTGTGGCTAGCGTCAGGACTTTGGGTATAAGTGATGTGTCGCATTTTGATATCCAGCATTCCACGGACGTCTATAGATGCATCATGTAACTTGTAAAGATACATGGCAACAGAGCCAATAGACGCTTGACCAGTCTATACGATGTGAAAGCAAATCAACGGCAGCAGCCGCTTACATAGCACAGGTTCGACTATTCGCCATCGCCCCAACACCAAAGCAACTAAACTCACACGAGTGCATACCCTCCGCCCGTCTGTGCTCCCCCAAGAAAGCAGTAGCGGACAAAGGATGGAGGCACCTCTCTCCGTAGGTACTCACCGTCATGAGCCGGGCCAACCAGCCACCACAATATGCAGGCTGCTGCAGGTACTTACGTGCATGATCGAGCGTGCACGAGAGGGGGAGCCCAAAGCTGACCAATGTCCGGCAAGCAAAGAGCGCGCAAGTGTGGGTATGAGCGTCTGCAGTGTGTTTGGCCACTGTTGCACCAAGGAACTGGCAGTTTGAGAGCCTGCATCGTGATGGTGCTGGGGAAAAAGAGCTCGTGGCAAGGGGCACTGAGAATCCGCCTCGTGCTCTGTGGGATACTTGTGTAGTGCCTATTACGGAGCAAAAACAGACCAACAGACATCCCACGTTGTTCGAGTTCATTTTCATCTGACTGCGCGTCTCTGGTACCGGCAACGTCGAGTCTTCAGCGGCTGCAGAGATTTCGTCTGTCTCAGACAAATGGCCCCTTTGTAAGATGGCACCACGTCATGGCAACGCTCCCGTCCTTGCATACAGCAGAGCAGATCAGATCAGACCAGACCAGACCAAAGCAAAGCAAAGCAAAGCAAAGTAAATCATCACTTCGCCATCCGGAGCCGGTAGCTGTTGACAATCTTAAAATTCAAGAGGAGGGAATCAGCATATCAAAACTGCAAACAAACTTGCAGGGTCTGGAATCCGGAGTCTGGAGCACACAGAATATGTAGTAGTAGTAACTAGCACCAAAATACAAAGTCCGTCATATCAATGTCAGGGGACCTTGGATCCGCCCAATAATACATGTAGGCGGTGCTTTTCGGGATGCCGATTTTCTTAGTCAACCCGGGCAGATGGATTCGGAAAACGAGATTGGCCCCGGAAATTCAGGAAGATCAAGGAGGGCCGACTTGGCCACTGAGGCGCAGAAAGGGGCTGAATTCAATATTCGTTTGTGGTCAGGCCAAAAAGAAAGAAGGAAAGAAAAAAAGAAGCAAGGAAAAACTGTATTATGGGCGGTGTATACAGTGCGGGCTGGCAATATATCTGATAGATGCATTTCCCCCCAGTTAAAGTTTCGCGGAGGCGTTGGACACAGTTTCTCTCTCGCACTGGCGGGCGGCGCAGATCTGTGGCTTTTGGAACGGCTCAGCTGGCCTACCTAGCAGTTCTCGTGGGCTGAAAAGAGACGCAGAAGCTACCCTCGTGACTCTCCGTGTGAGGGCTTCCCTCTACTCGTACTTGAGCAGGTCTTGCGGCTGGTGATGGTGGCTGTCGCCTGACTTGAGCGACAAGCAACGACAAGTGCCCAGATCCCTGCCGATTCGGCCAGCTACCATTCCGATTCGCTGCGGAACCCTGATCGTGGGTGGGCACATCAGAGATCCATATTTTATTAATTTTCGGGGCCATGCTGTCAGAATTACAGTAGCTGTGGGCGAAAAATAGAGAGAGAGAAGAGGTTGAAGCACGGTTGAGAAGGAAAAATAAGGGGTAAATTGGTGGACGGTTTGGAAATGAGAGAGAGAGAGAGAGAAAGAGAAAGAGAGAACACTTCACGACCCCCATATTGACAAGGCCCTTTTCCCAGCCCTTTGTCGGCGGAAGACCAGGCTGTAAATTATCCGACGCAGGGCCTCTACAGTAGCAGTGGACAGCGAGAAACCGCCGCGTCGGTGATTCTGTCGAGGCGAATCTAACAATCTCAAACCCCATCGTTGATGTGGGATAAGAAACCGAAACCCGGGATCTAGTGAGCGCCACGCCGTTCCCGTTGCTCACACTAGAAACGACCCAGGGCTGTCGTTCCATTGTTGCCACAAGGAGACTAAAAGAAAAAGAAAAAGTTGCCCGCGCACACAATTTCAGAAAAAAAGAAATATTGAGCATCTTTGTGTGACGGGTTCGGGATGACGATTGGGCGAAGAATATCGCCTCCCCTCTCCACCGGCCCGGAGGAGGCTGCAAGCAAAGCTGAAATGCATGCACTCTGACTAGCAAAGTCGCAGATGTAACTGTAAATGCAAATGCAAATGCCAACGCAAATGCTACCGGCCGGACCGCCTTGCACCGCACCCTTTAGCTTAACCCAAATAAAGAAAGCAAAAAGCACTGCTTTCGTGCTGCCTCGTAATACGAGCGTCTTTGTCAGAAACGCTGTGCGAGTGCTTGTAGGGGTCGTTTCTTTCCCAACTGCCGTTTACTGCTCATTCCCCCCTTTAGTGCCGGGTGAGTCTTATTACACTCATCCATCGTGTTTCAGGGCGCAGAGGCAGAGGCAGACCATACCAGATGCCGCTAGATCGAGCGTGTGTGCCTAGATGTTCTGAAATTTGATGGCTATAGCGTGGCGTAAATCGTTTGCACGGGTTGCATTCCAAGAGCTTCGCAGCAGAAGTAAAGGAGAGTAGAGGGTAGTGAGGGTGAGAGGAGAGAGAGAGAGAGAGAAAGAAACAGCCTTGACGCAAGGGCCTGACACCACGAGGGTACTACTGCGAGTATTATGCGGGAGAAGAGACAGAAGCCAGACAATAGCCATCGTCCAATCTCTTTTTGGTGTTTCGTGTGCATGTGGCGTGCAGCCGAGTTTCTCCCTGCCTCGAGAGATATTTTGGTCATGGCCAGTGTAAAGATGGTGTTTTGTTGACTCAGCCTGGCTCCCCAAACCTGGGCAACCCTTGCGCCTGCATATGGGCTAAGCAAGGAGGCGATATTTGCCCGTGTCTTTGATATCCTGCGCGAGGACTCGTACGTACATGAGCTCGGTGCTACCAATGGATGGGTTCGTGCTTGTTGCATGCGGCTCGATAGAGTCAACCGTGAAAGCAAGGGCGGGTCAACTGATGCAGAAGCCGTGGATACAAATACGAGCAGCAAATAGATGGGATGAACTCGCGTCCTCGGGGGTGGTTTTGAAATGACAGAATAACAAAATAACAAACAAACAAACAATAGGCAGGCAAAATCCTCCGTTCAATAGTAGATACCATTCGAGAATGGGCACACACGCCCAGAGTCGGCCTCTAATAGCCAATCCGCAATCTACGACAAATAAAACATCCATGACGACAACAACTGGCTCCTGCAAGGCTCCGGTGGCCGACAAACCCTGGATGCCTGGCTATCTGCAGCCAATTTGCACCGCCCGCTGCTGAGAAGAAAGTTGAAGGTGTCCATGTGTGTCCCGTCCAGCCCATCACCAAAGGCTCACAGTACTGCACACGGTATACTTTGTAAAGCCCCCCCATGACCATGACACAGTGCCCTCTTGTTCCATTTGGGCTTCTCCTCGCCTTCCATAAAGACTCCGTGTCAAATATCGGCCACGCGATGCTATGTATGCGATGGGAGGGCCTTGGGGATTCGGTTCAATTTCGCAGCAGTTACCAGGCGCGGAAAATAGGGGCGGGCTTCGGTTTTCTAGAACGTCGATGCATGGAGTCAGGGGGCGGAAATCAAAAGAGCCAAAATGAGATTGATGGGAATCGGAAGCGAAAACAGAGTGTTGGGTCTGGGTACCTACAGGTAAGGTAGGTACTTGCTCTACCCCGCTGTTTTGCTGCGCTGGACGAGGTAGATTCGTTAGGGCGATATGGCCCGCAAAGCCGATAAAGCTTGGGGGAGAAGCCCCGTAATGTTAGCAGCAACTCTACTAAGGGTTCAGCCATGGTGAGCTGGGCAGAGACACGGGAAGCGGCAACGGGAACTCTGTGGCGGCGGCGGATGAACAGACAGCTTAAAGTAGTAGAGTGATGAATGAAACAAGATGCATTGAAGTTTCAAGAGATGCTGCAAAGAGAGAAGAAAAAGAGGTGTTGGACAGCATTGATCCTGTCCCATCCATACCAGAAGGAGCCTGTCCTGTCCTGCCTGAAGCTTGTCACGCCTCAAACGTTGCAATGCAAGAGACCGACTCAGCAGCGACCAACCTTGCCTAGTACAGTACCGTACCTAGGTACCGTAGGTAATCAATCATCAAGTCGCAGTCTGGTAGCATCGATACTACTGCATCTGCTCAGGTGGCGGCGTATCAAGGAGGCCGCAGGGCAATGCATCAAAATGCAAGGTACCTTCACATGAGCCTTGCACTGTACTGTGAATGCCAATACCTCGAATAGGGGCCTGCGCACTGTCATTGGCCGTAATCTGTCATATATGCACCAAAGCAGTGCTACCTGGCGCTTGGTGGCCGCCCCTATCACCCAGCTGGTACCCCGGCCCTCTGGCACCTCTACAGCGGTGGGGCGGCAGCCTCCCCCCTAGTAGGTTATTACTAGGTATGCTCTGCCGTGGAATTTTTCTTCCCTTAGCCTGGCTCTTCAACCCGACTCTCCCTCTTCGCCAACCGGAGGTCGTACTTTGGTCGTACAGCTTCTGCTTCTGCTTCTGCTTCTGCTCTGCTTCTGCTTCTTCCTCATCGTCGCTCCTCTCTCTCTCCTCTCCGTGGCCATCTCTCCTGTCCCGTTCGCTTCCGCCCTAAGGAGCCATCAAGAGCAGCTTTGCCTGGACATCTGTCGACGCGGGTACGCTCCGAAACTACAAGGCACAGAGCTCGGCTTTTTGCATTTGACCCTCGCGCATCTTGTCGGCTTCATCGTCTGTCAAGATCCGACCCTACATCTACATCAACACGCTCCCGGCTTCTCAGTCACGCTTTTTTGGAAACAAACCGCCCCGAGGACTCGGCCCCGGTCGTCTGCTAGATTGCCCTAAACCACACGCACTCGGACGCGGCGCTGTTATAGGAAGAGGGAAGAGAAGAAGAAAAAGACAGAGAAAAAGCTAGCGCTTAACCAAGGATCGTGGATTCCACAATCCCCCTCCCATCATAGATCTCGCTCCCTATCCCGTATTGCAGGAAGCTAGCTAGCTAGCCTCGCTCCACGTTCTGCACGACTGCTCTCTTGCTGGGTTGGCCTGGGCTTTTCCTCCAACACACGTTACGACCGTCACGACTGAACGAACCGACCAAGTGCATCATCTATGTTGCCTTTTAACCGTCCGTCTCTATCGCGTTCTTGAGTATATCTTCCTGGTGCGGCTTTGGAACATCGTCATCCTCGTCGATTACGTGTTCCTTCTCCACCCGTTTTATTGCGCACTTCAATTCGTATCATTACATCTTCTGGAAGGATTTTCGCGTCGCAATAGCGGCCACCATCCCCTGCGGCATCTTGCGACATGGCTCAGCAGCCTCACGACATGACTTACCTTGATTACGGCACAGCGACCAACCGGTCCCCCAGCTCTTCGAGACAAAACTACTCCAACTTTGCTTCTGGCCTCACCATGCCTCGACAGACCCAACGGCCCTTCGATGCGCCTCTACCCTCGTCCGGCCTTTATTCCACCGACAGACTGGCCAGCAGCTATGGCAGCCGAGGCATGGACACTATTGGCGGCGCCGGCGGTATGCCTGGGTACATGATGGACAACAACCAGTCATGGGGCTACAACGGTTCGGGCGCGGCGACTGTTGGCGGTGCCGTGCATGGCCCGGGAAGGCAGCGAAGCGTCAATCGGCGAGCTGCTTTGCCAACTGTATGTTCATTTTCAACCGCCCCCGAGAAACAAAGACAAATGTGCTGACTAAAAAGATGCAGAATTGGACCGAACATGGCGGGATGGGAATGCCTAACCTTCAGTCGTACTCAAACGGCCTCGGCGGCGCATCCATGAACAACGGCGGCCTTCGTGTTGATAACCCTGGATCTCACCCGTCCCCCAACAGCCTCCAGTCTGTCGGCAACGATGCTGATCAGCTCATCCCCACCGCCATCGTCATCAAGAACATCCCTTTTGCCGTCCGCAAAGAGACGCTTGCTTCCATCATGCTGGACATGCATCTTCCCCAGCCCTATGCTTTCAACTACCATTTTGATAATGGCGTTTTCCGAGGACTCGCCTTCGCCAACTTCCAGTCCGCCGAGGATACTCGCGTTGTTATCGAGGCGATGAACGGAATGGATGTTCATGGCCGCAAGCTGCGAGTCGAGTACAAGAAGATGCTCCCCGAGGCTGAGCGGGAGCGTATCGAACGGGAAAAGAGGGAGCGCCGAGGGCAGCTCGAGGAGCAGCACCGCGCCCCTCTGCTGCACAACCAGAGCTCACTTCAATCTCTGGGTGGCATGCCCCAGTCCCAGCCTCGCACCGCCAGCGTCGCTCCCCCCGCTCCTACTTCTCTTCTCGGTAGGTCTCGAGTCATTTGAAGGAATCGTGCTTCTGTTCGTGACATGCTAACGAGTTTATCTCTAGGTGATATCGATATGAATGACCCCCAGACCCTTGAATTCTACACAGAACTCGCCATGTTCCGAAGAGACGATTCGCGAGAGATTTTGGTCTTCCCTCCTGGAATTGCCCCTGAGCATCGCCGATCCATTCACATCCTCGCCCACCACATGGGACTTGAGCACCAGTCTATCGGCGAGGCTGATTCACGACAGCTTACGGTGCTGAAGAGACAGCAGCCCTCGCCCACGGCCAACATCCACACGCCTCCTGCCAGCAGCCTCGATGTCCACAAGCGCGGTCTGAGCCGAGCTGCCACGTTCGACTTTGCGGCCGACAGGGAGTCTCGCGCAGCTAGCAGCAACTATGGCCATCTCGTTGGTCGACACGGTCCCACGCTAGAGCTTCCCGGAAGCCCAGACGGAAGTGGAATTCCCAACAACCTCCGCGCTGCCAAGAGCTTTGCCGATCTCCGCTCGTTTACCCCCAGCCCGTCTCAGGCTTCATCGAGCTATCTTGCTCCCGGCAGCGGCCTGAGCGGCATTGCCCCTACCTCCACGGCTCGATTTGGCGACTACCTCAGCAACGGCAGCCAGTCCCAGAGCGGCAACCCCAGCACTCCCGGTGCAAAGAATGACAACGGCCTTGTTAGCGGTCTCAGCGGACTGAGTCTGTCCCCCTTTGAAGCGAGCTCCATGCAATCCCAGGCGCGCAGCACCCCTGGCGCTATTGGCAGCCAGCGGCCCAGCGCAAACGGAAACGGAACCAAGGGTGCCCCCGAGAGGCAGCCTCGCGGCCCTGAGTGGGAGACGTCCAACGGCTTTGGTCGTACTCGAGCAAATGGACACATGCAGCGCGGCAGTGGTATGTTGATTGAGTCCAACTAGTTTCTTTCATAAACTAACGCGAGGGTTAGATTCTTCGGACAATGGAGCTCGTGTTGGCACCAGCTCTACTAATGCTTCGAGATACCACTAAGCCAATTTGATAGGCGTTGACCGGCTCTCCCCTGTGTTATGCCTGTGGCTCACTGGGAGAGCTGGTGGACTGCCTTTTTGGAGGGGTCAGACCAGGCTTTCTGCGCCGCATCCCTCGCCTTGCTCTCAACCCATTGCTTTTTACGATTTGTAATATTGATTTTCATCAGGACGACGGAGGGGTTTTGGTCTCTGGTAAACCGCCCCGGGCGATGTACCACATTGGCGATGTCCATTTTCCCCTCAAAGTCAGTGGAAAGCCCGAGCTCCACCAGGGCCAACTCTCCGTCGCTCCGTAGCTGGTTCTTTTGATGATGATGATGCCACCCCCGATGAGAATGTGGAAAACAGGATCAGGATACAAAAAAAAAGTTTTGTTTCGACAAATGGGCAACCGTTACGAAAACGTCACGACTCGTTTCCGAGCGCGAAGCCTGGAATATCCCCCCCCTTCAAGCGTACTCCTTCAACCAGATCTACGACCGATTCTTGACGATTATGACATTTATTTTCACGACTTTTACGTCTAGACAGCTGCAGCGAATCCACCTCGTCGTGCTTCGCATCACATAAGCACTGAGTGGAGTGGCTTCGGCGACGATGACGAGCAGTACCTATACCCCAACCAAAGGAAAAAAAACCGTTTTTTAATACCCACATGTCTGACGTCCAGATACGACCGTGACGACGACGAATTGAGACAACCCAGCTTTCTTGTACATGCATTGGAGGCCGGGGCGAGAGAGTAGAGATGTGTTTGTTGGAAATGATTTGTGTTGGTTTGATAACATTTTTTGTTGGGAAGATTGGAGAGAGAGAGAGAAAGAGAAATGGGAAGAAAAAAAAGATTTAACCCTTGTTTGGAGCATTGTTGGGAGAGTGTCTGACTGGGGCAAGTCCTTGTTTGCGCCGATTAATACGTCTTGTCTCTCTGTTTCCGAGGCAATTCCCTCTCACGTAAATGGAGAAGGACGGGTTTGTTGAGAGGATGTTTCTGGTTTTACCGCGGCGTTTTTACTGTGGCAGCATTGGGCTTGCTATATGTTTTCTGGACACTTTCCTTGCTTATGGAATGTGCATCTTCATCTTGTGATTTTTTATTTTCTCGAAGAACAAGGAGGGTGGTGATGGGAAACAAACTCGGTGCATCTTCAGTTGATGCCAGAAGACGGGCAAATTCATAAACTCATACAGGGCTACGGTTTAGCAGGATTCTGTGAAAGAAGGGAGAAAAAAAGAGAAGAAGAAACACGGCGAGTAATTATTCTTGTTCTTTGCCGTTGTTTTTTTCTTTTTCTTGGTTAAGTTTTTGTAAATCTTTTTTTTTCTTCGACCACTGTAGTTGTTGTATTAGTGCCATCAAGAGCTTTTTTATCATTTACTATTTTTATAAGGATTGAGATTTTTATGGTTTATATTTCTGCTGCTTTGCGTATTGTGTCGTGTGACTTGTCTGTTTGTTTTGTATTCTTTGTTAGTTGGGCGGAGATGCTTTGAATGGATTGAAGTGTTTTAAGCTTAGGTGCCAATTTAGCTGGCTCGGTTCCTGGCGAGATGGAGCCGCTAGAACTGTGGAGAGAAGATTCTACTTGATTGGTTTGGAGAGTTTCGATGGATGACGTACGTTTTGTTTTCCCCGTTGGAGTGTCATTGGCTGGTGGTTTTCTGGAGGCTGTAGTACAAGAAGGGGATTGTTTCCCGCATCCCGACGCGTGGCATCATAGATCCTAATTCTTTTCCTCTGAATAGACACTTGGAAGCCTTTTTTTTATTTTAACCGCGGTTGAACTATCACATCGACGAGTTTAACTAAATATAAGAGGGGTTATGACTGATATCCCCGCATTAGAAGGCAGAGAGGTTCAGACACAACACACGAGGCAGGACGAGACTGAAGACTGGGAAGTCGTCATGGCGCCGACGAACAAGCAGTGGGTGAGCAAGCTGGATGGAGTGGACAAGCTGGAGTTGGTGGAGGGCGAGATGCCGGTGCCAAAGGAGGGCGAAGTGCTGGTCAAGATTCATGCCGTGTGCCTGAATTACCGAGACCTGGAGGGTATGTTTCAAGGTTCCTTGGCTATATCTAGATTGGAAGCCCGGGAATTGATAATGATTCTGACTTATGCAGTATGCAACGGCGATTATAACCACCATCAGACGCCCACTGATTCTCCCGTCGGCGTCGTTCCCTGCTCTGACATGTGCGGCACCGTCGTGGAGAGCAAATCGCCGCTCCTCGCCGCCGGCACGCGCGTCATGTCCGTCTTTTTGCAGACTCACCTCGCTGGCGCCCTCAAGCAATCTGACATGGAATCTGGACTGGGCTGGCCTTTGCAGGGCGTGCTCGCAGAGTATCGGTGTTTCGATGCCAGGGCCCTGGTTAAAGCGCCCAAGTACATGACGGACGAGGAGGCGAGTTGCTTGCCGATTGCGAGTGTGACGGCGTGGATGGCACTGAATTGGATGAGACCTATTGGCAAATCTATCCAGGAATTGGAGCTTTATGGGAAAAGCGGTGATGAGAAGAAGGATGACGAGAAGGAGACTGTGCTGCTTCAGGGGACGGGCGGGGTGAGCATTGCTGGACTGCAGATTGCAAAGGCAGCCGGCCTCAAGACCATCATCACGTCTTATTCAGACGAGAAGCTCGAACAAGCGAAACAGCTCGGCGCAGACCACACGATTAATTACCGCACGTACTGGGAGTGGCAGGATGGCGTCATGGAAGCCACCGACGGAAAGGGCGCGGATTACATTCTCGAGGTGGGCGGGACGAAGACTCTGCGGAAGAGTTTTGCTAGCGTTGCGTTTGGAGGGACGATCAGCTGTATCGGCTATGTTTCCGGCAAAGAGGACGACACTGGAGGTGATGGCGGGGGGAATGGTGATGATACAGATAAAGCGTCGGGGTGGAACCGGTTGAACGTGAATGTGTTGGCGTTGAGGAAGAATGTGACGCTGAAGGGGTTGGTGAATGGCGGGAGGGATCGGTTTGAGGAGATGGTTGGGTTTTATGAGGACAAGGGGATACGGCCGGTTGTGTGTAAGGTGTTTGGGATGGGGGAGGCGAAGGAGGCGATGGAGTATGTTGAGGGGGGGAAGCACTTTGGGAAAGTTGTGATTCGGGTGGCGGAGGGGAAAGAGTAGGAGGAGGGAGTTGATTCGGTTGATGGAGGGAGATTAATAGGAAGAGGAAGTTGATTCGGTTGACGGAAGGTGTTTAGTTGGAAGGGAGGGTTGATTCGGTTGACGGAAGGTATTTAGTTGGAAGAGGAAGTTGATTCGGTTGACGGAAGAGGATCAGCAGGAGGAGGAAGTTGATTAGTGGACTGAACAACTCGGCTGAAGAGCTCCACAACTATGCATGAAACATTGGTCATGGCACCCTTAGAGATAGCCAAGATGTATGTGTTTTTGATCTTTTTGTACTCCCTCAACTATATCCATAAAGTATCCTCGATCCATCAAAACTCATCACTAAACAATCTCGTCAGTTATCACCCATGATTAGTCTCAGCAACGGCTCATCTCACCCGTCCTCACTGCGGGGTTTCCGTTTCTCTCACACAAGCTCGACGGTCCGGTCCTTAAGATAGCGCATCGCCCTTGTGCCGAATTAGACTTAGCAGCCGCCTGGCCGCAGATTTCCAGAGACTTGCTTAGACTCAACCAGGAATGGGCATCATCACATGCATCACCAGCTCTGTTTAGGCAACATAAACGGCTCGGAGGTTGCGACGAGTTGGCGGGAAAAACCCGCTCCCCCTCGGCAGAAGTCCACTGCTACTGTACTAAAGCAACACGGAATGCCGAGTTTTTTTACAAGGAGGCGGAGTTTGGCTCCGATCCCTGTTGACGTGACATTTCAGATCGTCAGGCAGCAGAGCTGAAAACAAGTTGGGATTAGATGGTACATGTAAGAATTTAAGAAGTCAAAGGCAAGCTTGTCTTGGACCCGCTGGCTTTCCGTGTTGGAGAATCCACCGTCTTCCCTGACAAGGTATGCAGTACGCGCGGTGAAACTTTGTTTTAGCCAACTATCCTGAATACATTGTTAATAGGATCGAGTTTCTTTGTGGACCCGTCTTTGATGTGAGGTTGCGTATACTGTATCTCAGCGTCCTACCAATCATGGCGAAACCCTCCTTTTCCAACGAAGCTATCATGAAGGACTCATTAGAGGTGCTCAGGCTGATGGGCTCGGAATCTCGTTATCGATGCCCACCATCTTATTCTCAGCCACTTTGAGATAGCACAACTCACTCTAACTCTGAGAAACCATGACTTTCTTGTCGACACACATCAAAAAGTCCGGTTCATGTCAGCAGCCGGCATAGTATCCTGTCATCCCGGCAACGCGGATCCGCCACTAGCAAGCATTCCATGCAGTGCCATAGAGTTATGCTGTATTAGGAGTGGTGACGAAGACGAGGAGACAGCTGAAGGGATTAGTTAAAAAATGTTGCCGTCTCTCGGACTAAAATCCAAGTTGCTCTTTAGCTCCATCTCTGCTAGTAGATGACTGTTTGCTCGATTAACCACATCTTCGTGGACATGGCAAACACGTTCATTATCCAGGCACTAATCGCTCTGGTGGGATTTCTTGTCTACCACCAAGTGTTTCGAAAACCCAAGAGGAATCTTCCCCCCGGGCCAAAAGGCCTCCCATTGATTGGCAATATATTTGATCTCCCTTCGAAAGAAACACCAAATCATGTACATTGGAAATCACTCAACGACAAGTATGGACCAGTTGCTTCCGTCACTGTCCTGGGACAGTCCATGATCTTCATTGCCGACAGAGAGGCCGCACAAGAGATTATGGAGAAGAAGTCCCAGGCGTCTTCTGGGCGCCCTGTTTTGCAGTTTGCCAACTACTGTGGCTTTGGGGACTTTATCTCCCTGCACCAGTTGGAAAAGCGGTTTACTTCTCAGCGGAAACTTATGCACAAGGCTATTGGGACCAAGGTCTTGGCGACCAAGTATGCGGACATACAGCAACGAGAAGCTGGACGGCTGCTGCTTCGAACACTACAGGATCCCCAGAAGATTGTTAAACACTTTGAAACGTGAGCAACGCAATATTGAGACTTTGAAGCAACCTACATGACATGCTAAGAGCTCGATTGGCTAATCCCATCTTGACAGTGAAGCCGGCGCAATCATCCTCAAAATCGTATACGGCTATACCATCAACCCTCATGGTCCCGACCCCTTGATTGGGCTGATTGACCGCATGATGGCCAACTTCTCCCGTGCTTCCGTTCCGTTTACACGACTCGTCGAGTTTATACCTGCCTTGAAATGGCTTCCCGATGGCTTCCCTGGCACGGGCTTCAAGGCGGAGGCTAATCAGTATGGCAAAGAAATCCGCGCCGTCATCAACGAACCTTACAAATTTGTTCGCAAACAAATGATTGATCATAATATTATGGGTTCATACGTTGCGAGGCTTGTTCAGGAGTGTATTGGTGATGCAGATGAGCCGAACGAAGCCGACGCCTATACTATTAAATGGTCTGCTGCTGCATTATACGGAGGCGGAGCAGATACCACTGTCTCGACTCTCATCGGCTTCATCCTAGCCATGACCATGTTCCCGGAAGCCCAACGCAAAGCCCAAGAGGAAATCGATAGAGTCACCGGTGGCACTCGTCTACCTGTGCTTGCTGACCTAGACCAAATGCCATATGTCGAAGCAATGGTATCCGAGGCCCTCCGCTGGTGCCCAATCCTACCAATGGGCGTCCCTCATGCCATGTCTGAGGATATGACATACAAAGGCTACGACTTACCCAAGGGAGCGTACATCTTCCCATCCATATGGAGCTTCACGCACGATCCTGCTGTCTACACCGATCCTGACGCGTTTGCCCCTGAACGCTTTCTCGCGCCGCGAAACGAGCCTAATCCGCGATGGGCAGTCTTTGGTTTTGGGAGGAGAGTTTGTCCCGGACGATATCTCGCTGACTCTTCTCTGTTTCTTAACTTGGCCTATCTTGTGGCTGTTTTCGACATCAGCAAGGCGATGGACGAGCAGGGCAACGTGATTGAGCCAAAGTTGGAATTTGAGGCGGGCATTATTGCGAAGCCGAAGTCGTTCCCTTTTCAGATTACCCCGAGAAGTGAGAGACATGCACAGCTAATAAGGGGTATTGAGAAGGAGCATCCGTGGGAGGAGAGTGATGCTCCTCTGCTTGGTGAATTGCCGCCTCCGTCGCATTGAGGGGAACGCAACTAGAATCATTCTTATGTTGATCGATACTCACTATTGCTTAGATGATAGGGAAAAAGAAAGGCGTGATGTACTGCTAGTTAAGGAAATAATGTGAAGAAATCGCGGTGAAGGTCGGATGCGACTATTATCATAAGATGAATGAAGAAAGAAGCAGGAATAACGAACAGCGTGGGCAGAGAGCAGGGGTACCGGCGGATTATAGTAGTAATATGCCTAGATACGGGAATTAAAATGGAAGAAACTGTGGCAGATTAGCCCTATAGGGCGGCATATCCGGGGTGGGAATTCGGATATCAGGGGTCTTTTTTCAATATTACTCCGATGAAAGAAAGAAACATACAGAGTCGATACTTCGGATATCCGGTATCCCTTTTCAATATAACTCCGATAGAAAAAGACAAGAGAGTATTACCCCATACTATGAGAAAATGTAATGTGGCTCTGAAGCCGAGTTGGTGAATTGGTGTGGTTATAGAGCGATTCTTAGGTGCCTAATAGATATATATATATTCATCTAGATCATTATAAAGTATATGCTATCAATAGGTTGTTTTAGACGTTGCTTTTATTCTTTGTATAGGTGTAGAGATATGTTGATTGTTTTGGTACCTCTGGCACCAGCCAGCGCCCCCTGAGTCTTTTCTACTATAGATACCTGTTGCTTTCAAACTCGCGATGTCAGCACAACGCACGATGCTTCTTGGCGAATAGATCACTATGATATGACTCCTTTTACTATTCGAGTCTTATTATTCGACAGTAAGCATACTGATGGATCGGTGTTCTGAAAGTCTATATATATCGTTGCCTATCCCAGAACTACCTTTTTCGACACTGGCAGATAAATCAAAAGCTCCTTTTCTAATTCAGTTTCCAATTATATTCATCATCTATACTCGCGTTATCGCAATTTTAATCCTTTTCAACCATGGCCTGCAAAACACTCGATGGCTTTCTTCCAGTCGGCGGATGCAATATTCTCAGTTCTAATCCCACCGCCATGGTCGCTGCCTTCAAAAAATGCTGCGGCCCTGCTCCTGTCGTCCAGTACTTTACCAATGATACTATTGGATGTGGTGCCTATTGCCCAATTGTTTCCAACGGCCCAAATCGCACTCAGGTAGCAGAGTGCCTTCGTGATGAAATGGGAATGAGTGTGTGTACCGGTGACGGGCCTGCTTCACCGAGCGCTCTTGCACGATTGAGCGCGATGGCCTCGGCGACTGTTTGCCCTGCTTGTGCTGCGACTGCGGCTCCAACATCTACGAATGCGGCAACCGGGGCGTATAATGGTGACATGATTTCGTGGAAGACCGGGATCACTGTTGGAGCTCTATTATTTACTGGACTCTTTACTGGTTTCCTGATTTAAAACCCGGGGTATCGGCATAAATTGGGACGGATGAAGCATATGCTTTTGTGCCCCTGGCCCTTTTTCCCCTTTTGGCGCCGCCGTGGATTTCTTGGCAGCAAGGGTGCCTTTTTGTTTATAGATATGTAATATTACTAAGGCAATGGAGTTGTTATAGACACAGAAAGCGCGGCAATTCTTTCTCAGTGCCTTTTGTTACTGTATGAATTTACTTTGTTAACGTCCATACATTTGTGCCTTTCTAGAATCACAACTGTTCAGGTGCGAAGGAGCTGCGAACCGCGTCATGATTCCTATAGAGTCTTTGAATGAGCATTAACCTAAATAGCCTTGAGTGATAACTTGTCTATACTATGTCAGCCCTATAGAAAGAGAGTTGTGTCTTCAAAGATAGTTCTTGGATAGCTTTTAATTGGTCAGCTATATGAACTAGTTCCGTCACTCCGTGTAAAATCCTAAAGTGCGAAAATCTATTGCCTCGACCAAACTCGTTCCACCAGAAAGCATTGCAGTGTCCCTGGGCTCGTTCCTCAATTGGCGATGTATGCGGCCCTCAGATGAAGCAATATCCATGCCTACCGTTCCTATTACGCCGCTTCCAATAATCACAAACTCATATTACGGGCTTCTTATGATTAGCGGTTGGGCCTTCCATCACGGACAATCGATGCTGACCTATTTAAGATGACACTACGAAGCGAGAGACATGTAGAATTGATTAGGAGTACCAAGAAGGGGTATCCTTGGGGGTAGGGCGATACTTCGATGCTGGGCGAGTTGCCTCCTCCGTCACATTAAAGGGGCATTGCGCGATTCATATTATATAGATAAAAGTAATATTAATTCCCAAGTCTCATGTGACTAGCCAACATAAGTATATGTTCAGTGAAAGGTACTAGTGGAAAATTCCTTCCATCCATATCTCCAAGTTCTCTATATTAATTGGTTCAAAGGCTGCGTATAGCCTTCTTCCCTAGTCCTTCTTGAATAGCGCGATAATATTTGCCCGTCCATGCTTGACAGCAATTGCCGCTGAATCAAGACCATCAACACCCATCTCAGAGATATCAAATTTTGGAGAGTTTAGTAATAAGGAAACACTATGAAAATCGCCATAGTGAGTAGCCCATATCAATGCCGTTCTGTTATGCTTGCAGTCCCTTGAATAGAGATCAACCGATCTATGTTTAGCAATTACCGGAGAATAGCTGCCTTACCCGCTTGAGCAGCTAATGTAAATATAGTAAAGCCGTTCACATCTCTCTCGTTAATATCAAATTTTCCTGTCTGCAATAGAGCTGCAAAAGGTTCCAGATGTCCGGCATAAGCAGCCCACAGCAACGCTGATCTTTGGTTCTCGTAGTCTCTTGCATTAACATCGATGTTGTTTGTATCAAGCAAAACCCGGATAATATCGAGTCTGCCCGAGGAATTTTGCGCAGCTATCAAGAGCGGTGTTAGACCATGGAGATCCCTGTCATTAATGTCAAATTTTCCTGTATCAATGAACAGTTTGACTAAGTCATTGCTCCTATGAAAGACAGCAAGCGATAGTAGGCTTCTACCATGTTCATCTCGGATGTTGGTATCCACTCCTGGAGCTCCAAAGAGAAGTCTCACAAATTTTTCGCTTTTGTACATGACAGCGCGTATTAACGGTGAATGGCCACGTGCATCTTTAATGCGAACATTTGCCTTCCCGGTATTAATTAAGAGTCTTGCTATATCGTAGCCTTGATGTTGGCAATATGCAACAGCACGAAATAGAGCTGTTCTGCCATGTTTATCTTGCAAATCAATAGCAAGTGAATTTTTCTCAAGAAGAAGTTCAACGATTTCCTTACGCCACTTGGATATCGCAATCATGAGTGGAGTTTGACCCATATTATCTTGGATATTAATGTCAAATCTCCCGCTTTCGAGGAGCAGTTGGAACATAGCAATACTACCACATCGGGCAGCAATAGATAATGCTGTGCTTGAAAAACCATCGTTGGCTGGCAAGTCAACATTGATTTCTTCTCTCCCTAGGAAGATTCTCGCAAGGTTTTCACAGTCGAACTCCACAGCAAGACATAAGGGTGATTTCCGTTTGTTCAGAGAATATCCCATTGGTTGGCGTCTGTTATCACCTTCTGCTATCATTTTGGAAGACGGGTACCTCCAGTTGGTATCATCAAAATGTTCATATCTGCCTCCCAGGTAATTAAGGATAGAAGTGTTGTAGCCATCGTAAAAATCAGGTATATGATCCCAAAAAAAGGGGGAACGTTTGTTGGTGGTTCGAATATCAACATCAGCATATCCTGTTTCGAGAAGCAGTTGGACAATAGTCTCCTGCTGCATGATAACTGCTCCTAATAAAGCTGAGGAATATATCTCACGAATCATATGTGAACCATATTGTTGCGCGTTCAATAACAATCGGGTGGCATCTACATATCCACCGACAACAGCGTACCAAAGGGCAGCTTTTTGTCGTTTGCATGCATACCCGGCGTTGATTTTGCCCGTATCCAGCAACAATTTGACAGCCGCAGCATGACCGCTTTGAGCAGCGCAAATAAGTGGTGTATATTTTGATTCACTTGATATGACATTAACATCAACTTGACCAGAGTTGAGTAATGCTTTCATAATTGTGCAATGACCACTGCTAGCAGCTAGATAGAATGGTGTACGGTTGAACTCATCGCGGACTTCTGTGTCAGCAATATCTTCGAGTAAGATTTCAACAATTTCATTCCATCCTGACTCTGCAGCAATGTGAAGTCCGGTGAAATTCTTGGCATTTGGTTTTCGTCTATTGAAATTATATTCAAAAACACGTAAGTTCGAGGTCTTTTTGAGGAAATTTACATGTCTCTGACTAAAGTCGGACATTGAGACATGGTCTTGCCAGTATGTGGCAGCGTAGCTAAGAAGCTTGAGGCTTTCCCCCTTCTTACTTTTTAACTCGCGGAATTCTTCTTGGGAAGCAGAAGACGACAGATAACAGCTGCAAACTTCTGCAATATAGGTCTTTGCATTTGGAAACCACTTTTTCTGGTTCCTCTCAAAGAACTCCTGAGTTGTGTGGTGGACCAGTCGAATGACTTTGCTTCTTTCGTCGATAGTGACCAATCCCACACAGGTTGATATAATAGCCTCAATCTGTGGAAGATTGTCTACATCAAACTCGTTTTCTTCAGTTTCTACCCCAAGAGCGTACTGGAGCTCAATCACAGAAAGTGGTCTCATTGCATGTGTGATCCAAGCTAGGACATTTATCGCTAATTGCCTGCGACTGGAACTTTGATGATTGATACGATCCATAGCTGCATTGTAGGTGTAATCATAAGCGTCGGAGCCGGTAGGGAGAGCTTTAAGGGTTTGAAGGACCGTCTTTCGCGTTATACAGTCCGTCAACTGATCAAAATGGAGCTGTGCCAACAAGAACCTGTGAAAAGGATTAGATAATGGTTCAACTACGGTGATTAATGTAATTCATACATGCTACCAACTGAAACACTGATTTCGGCTTTAATCTCCTCCTGAAGGGCCTTGCTTTGACTGATGACCGAGGTAGGCGATAGTATAGAGAGGCGGCTATCGAGGTAACTGCGAATGTCCGATTCAACGGCTCCAATCTCTAAACAGAGATCATATCTAAATCTTTCTGATATCTCAGGAAGATCTCTTGCCGTTGCAAAGAGCTTGAGGGTAGATTGTTTGGTGCAACCAATAATTTCCGACAAGATGATCTCTCTGCAGTGATTCAACGACGCACACTCATCAAGCGCATCGATTGCAAGAAAGACTTGTGAATGTAAGTCCATAACGTTTTGAAATGTCTCAATAGTCTCTTTCAAAGATGGACGCGTACTTCTTTCCGCATGCTTCTCATAAAGCAATCTCACGCTGTGGGCGAGATCAGGCTGCTGCCTGCTTAGTTGTTTCAGCAGAGATAAAAAGACGGCGTTTGGATCTTGTTCACGATATCTCCTGAAGTTAAAGTAAATGTAAATTATGCCGATGCTTGATTCGTTGCAAAATTGTTTGTGCAAATAATTGATCACATTTGCGGTCATGACAGTCTTTCCTGCTCCAGGAATGCCTGGGCAAAAGAGCACCCGTTTGTCGTCTCTTTCAATGAATTTCCTAAATTCAGTTGATTGTAGGAGCCACTGGCAAGTGCCTGGATGCCAACGTTGCAACACATCGGAATGTTCAGCACCGTAATCAAGGGGACTGAGCCAATTAAGGATTTTTTCACGTTTTTCATAGTATCTGTGAGTCTTGGCTTCTTTGAGGTATTCTACTGCAAGTTCCGCATCACATCGAATATTAGATAAAACTGATTTTTGTTAGTTAGAGCTCTAACATCAATATATTCATAAGGAAAGGAAACAGCCGGTGTTTGGTATTTCCGCCTCTATGAAATATCGAAGTGCCAGTGGTATATTTCTCGATTGATAAGGCAACAAGAAAAAGAATAGTAAGTAAAATCACGGCTTACTAGATGTAATAGTATCCATTTGATCCACCGCCTGGGCTGGAATCACTAGTAATAGCTCTTTTGCAAAAGCTGCGGCAACGGCAGCAGCATACTCTTGCCAAGCCTTGTTCTTGTGTGAATCCGCATAATCGCATATGCCTCTCATCACAAGGCAAGGGAAATCGTTCATTAATCCCGCGGCCTCCATTTCGACGCAGAGAATCTTATTGCTGAATCTCTCATTGAGCTGATTTCGGAACTGGGCATCCTTGATGACCATGTTGCCAGATGCGATGAGCCCGTAATGAATACGTGTAGCCCCTGGTTTTCTTTTCCGTGCTTTAGCCATGTCGCAGAATCTACAGTCAACGGACTCCTCTTCATCCTCATCTTCTTCTGTTTCGGTATCATGTGGCTGAGTCTCCTGTGAAGATTCGTTTGTAGATGAACCTTGAATGTGTGGACAATCGTCTGGAAATAAGTTATCGCGCAGTGATGCCGACTGAGTATATTTTGCGACAAGATTTGGCCACTTCTCCCCCATGACGGCAAGATGATTCGGTATCTGGGATCCTTCCATTTCCCTCTTAGTTCCCAATTTTGCTAGGGATGTCAGCAGCGCGGTTGGGGGATTGTTAAGCGAACCAGTATGCTGGATGATTTTGCCTTGCTCAACCTTGCCGAGATCCCATTGAATTACTCCGGGAAAGCAACTATCGGGTTTACTGACGACGACGTCTCCCAGCCGAATTTTATTGCTTGGAATGCCGCCACCAATTCCAACCATCAGGCCGAATCTGAGAGATGGAAAGGCAGATACCATGTGAGCTGCGGCGGTTGCGGCGGCGTTATTACCATATCTACCCTCTGGCAGACATGCAATTGCAATGTTGTGCTTCCCAATAGACCCAAGAGTATATGCATTAGGATCATTGGGATGATTTGGCAGGTCATCATGTATGACATCCAACATGGCGGTTGCAGCAGTCTGTTCCTTTCTCAAAGCGCAAACCCATCCGATGGTGTAATCGCGATGTGAATAAACTTGAGACACCGACATGTTGAAAATATATCGAGTATCAGATCGATAAAGATGTGAAGCACGCTATGTTTCCGAGGATTTAAATGCCCGTAAATACGGCCATCGATACCAAGTACTACATGTTATCTTGTCAATCGGAGCTCATGCTTTTTCTTCAAGTGATAATGCGCAGTTACTCACCAAGTCTTATTGAGTATGAGATATAAAAGACAAAGGGCGGTACATGTGTTAGAGGGAAATTGAGCTCTTCTGTCGCCTTTTTGGATCAGAATTATGTAGAAATATGAAGATAAGATTGCCTTGAAGCCTTGAGTCAGGAGAAAATGCAACCCAACCGTAACTCAGCCGCATTAGGCAGCAATTCGAAACATATTGTTCGCTGCGTCGTACAACGGGCGGGGTAACAACGATGCATGTATATTGGATTGCCTATTGAGTGGCATAGCCTGGGGGTGGTGGAGGACATATAACCACAGCCAGTCTATTGCCAAGTCTTTCTGGCTCTTATTACTATGAAGTATTGCTTACTTTGAAGAACTGAAAAGCTGAATCGGATGACAAACGTCAGGATACTTTCTGGAAGCTTAGTGATGCATCACTGTGTGACACCGGATATCATTCCTTCAGTAAACAAGTCAAGTAACTTTGATGCAAATGACTTAAATCTAAATGGTGAGCGTTAGGCTAATGTTTTACCGTTCGGTCACCTTTAAAGGCCGTGTTGGATTGAAGTGAATAGAAACGCACTATACTATGCTTTTCTACATAGCCAGTATGAACCATGATTCTCTTAACGTCCCCCTGCCCAGTACGAACCTCTCTATACACACCTTCATCCATTTCATCCACTCACATTGATCACCAACGTAAGCACTCAATTTTTCAAACCCTCCACCATCAAACCGAACAATTTAGCGGTATTCATTCTGCCTTTTACTGTAATCCTCTCGGAGGTATGTGAAACTCTTCAAGGGACTGCATGATTTGGGACAATAGTATGGATTTCCGAGTCCTTATATGCGAAGCCTGTAGTGTAGCGATAACAAAGACGAGAAACGATACCACAGGGACATAAACCTCCCGTTGTTTCTACCGCCCCTCAATGCAATAGACCTGGTGTTCAAAATAACCTCAAGTACATGTATTACGCCTAACGTTTACTGCAGATTTGATATTCATCTTTGGCTCGACAATAAAAAAAGTCCTACGTATATATACGTGTACATAGCGCCCACTTGAACTCACTTGTAACCAGGCCGTAAAAAAGACGAATACAATTTGTCCCGCTTAACAACTAGGGCTCCGATTCGGTAAAGACCTTGATACCGTGATAGAGGGGGGCATGACTGGCATTCCAATGGTCAATGGGTTGAAACACGACATTAGACATAATCATAATTACGGTCGCCATCAATATCCCCCTACTGGGGCGCAAATGATCTCTAAAAACTCTAGCCCAGCGACATATCATGACAATCTTCAAGACACACCGCATCGTAAAATCCACAACTTACTGAAGAGTCACATTTTACCCCCGCCTCTGTCGGGGTTGATGAGGAGGCGGTCGATTCACTGCTCTTCTCTCTCGGATCTCCGGAGAGCAATTGAGCAGTCATCTTATAAGCTTTCCTGTTCCATTGTCCTAATCGGTGCGCCTCTACCCAGTCTGCGGTGGTCAAATCCTCTGGTTTCTCCCCATGTTGGTTAATAGAGTGAACGTTGGCACCATACGCGAGAAGAATCTCCGTCGCTGGCCAGTTTCCCTGCATCGCGGCAAAATGCAAAGCTGTGTTTCCATCAACGCTAGAGATTGCCCTGACATCTGCGCCTTCTTCAAGCAGAAGAACCAGCATGGCACCGGCGCTTGAGATATTGCGTGAAAGAAGCCATAGATTGAGCCGTGAATCGCGTTCGCTTCCATCATCGGGGGGCAATAGTTGAGCTACAAGATGGAGAGCTGTCTCTCCACGGTGTGTTAGAGCGTTGATGTCGGCTCTACCACCTCTGACCAGCTGTAGCACCATCTCAGAGTGCCCCTGAGTAGCAGCGTAATGTAAGGCTGTCCATCCTCCCTCATCCCTGTCATTGATGTTGCCCCCTCTCAAGCGATTGATTGACACAAAGTTCTCGTGACGTCCATAACGAGCCGCAAAATCCAGAGCGTTCCGGCCATTATAGCCACTTGTACTTTGATCCGCCCCTGCTTGAATCAGCACTCTGTAGATTTCAGTATGGCCTAATATGGCCGCGAGCTGGAGGGGGGTGATCATCTCTGACAAGACTCTGTTCTGGATGCTGTAGAAGTCCCTCAATATTTTGGTTGGTACTTCAAGATCGGGGTCTCCTGGAATCCTTCGATGTCTCAAGCAGTTCGCTCTCGCATTCAAGTCGGGAACCACCTGGGCAAGCCATGCCACCGTATCCAGGTGCCCTCTAGCGGTAGCAAGATGTAACAGTGTCTCTCCTGTGTTTTTTCTTCTCCATCTCATATTACCGCCGTTTGCAGCTAATAGCTTTGCCACTGCGGTGTGACCAGAACCAACTGCAACAGAGAGCGCTGTTTCACTGTCATAGCGTCGTAACTTGACAGTCACTCCTGTTTCAAGCAAATGATTTGCAGACTCAATGCACCCCCCCGCTGCTGCACCAAAGAGCATAGTTTCTAGTTGCCTGGTGCATCTTGGCCAGAAATCACTAGAAAAGTAGCTATGGCTGGCTTTCATAATTGAAATCTTGGCGTTTCTCCGAGAAGGTATCTCCAAGAAACCATTAGCTCCTCTGGCTAACAAAAGAACGCCAATCTGATCCCATCCGGCATATAGCGCTTTGGAAAGCGGATTTCTCCCCCGAATGTCTAACTTGTCAACGAGAGCGCCCTTATCTAGTAATAAGCAAACCACACTCTGGTGCCCAGATTCGGCCGCTAGATGCAAGGCTGACTCTCCATCAGCCTCGCCTACGGCATCTACCTCGGCTCCTCTTTCGATCAAAGCTCGACATACTTCAACATACCCCCTCTCCGCGGCTCCCTGAAGAACTGTTAAGGTTGGAGGAAGACGTCCAAAGGCATGGAAATAATGGTACCGGGCCTTTAGATTTTGAGGTAGCAACAGCCGCGTGGCATCTAAGCCGTCGTCTAGTGCTCTGCATCTGACGTTGACATCCGCATGCTTGCTTATAAGGGCCAGCACGCCTTCAACATGGCCAGCTCTTGCAAAATGAAAGAGCCAGAAGTCTCGTAACAGGGGCAAACTGTTTATAGTGCGATAAGACTGGACAAAAGCTGCGCATAATGAAAGTCTGTGCTCACCCTCTAGGTCCTGCACCTCATCAAAAGCGAAGTTGAAAAACCCATACCGCCTTTGGTCAATGCAGCGGAGCCTTCGGGGAATGAGCGTATTCTGAGGATTCCTCAATAAGAATGATGTGCCTTGGTCAACATCCCACATGGTTAGGTATTGCCAACAAGTACCTATCAAGTCTATGCCGGCTGCCTCAGCGTTAACCCTATACTGGGGAGGGCAGTCTGCTTCAACAAGAAAGTCTTTTGCGGTGCGATGTATAAGATTAAGCGTATCGTTGACCGGATCGTAATAAATTAAGTGACCGCATGCCTTGAAGCCATCTTTGTATTGCTCGAGATATTCAGCCGGAGGAACTGTGTCCATCGACCAGCCTTCATGAGCGAGAACCTGTGCTGTAGCCATCTCGGTGACGTTCATCGGCCGTTTCGACACGACTGTCCACCGGAGAATGAAGGCCGCGTCTTCTATATCGTCTTCATCGATGGCGTCGAGATTCCTTTTATATATGCCGGGCAGGTCGGAAGGAAGATGCTTCAATTTTCTCGCAGCGGCTTTTGACGTTCTGGTCGCAAACATGTCTTTGAAGACAAGGCTGGCCCAGAGGAATGTTCCCCCCGCGTGATTCTTTACCTTGTTTCCTATCTCATGAATCAAGCTTTCTGGAAACGTCTTTCTCCTTTCCTTTAATTCAACGAGTCTGCTGTCTATAAAAGCTGCTAGGTCGGTGTTGATTTGCCCAGAATCGACACGAAGATGTCGACCTACTATCTCGGCTGTCCCCTCAATGTCAACTTCGGATCGTGCCGTGATCAAAACTTTGACGCTGACTGATACCGGGATTTCGGCGATTAAGCCGGACAAAGCTATGCGAGAAGCTTCATCGCACTCGTCTAGGGCGTCGATGAGGATATAAACATCCTTGCCATCACAATTCTGTAGGAGCTGAAGAAAGACGGCCCACAGCCCATCCAAGTTGCTTACAAGTGGTAATCTTTCGTGACGATGCTGATACTTTGTTTTAATCCATTGAAAAAGGTGCGGTTGTTTCTTCAACAACTGATATAGGATGCATCGAATGATACCCAGAGCACTATTCCTCGGCCCATCGTCTTTATAATCGCAAAAGTGGTGGATCAATATAATCGATGGCTGCGAGGCTGCTTGTTCCTCCAAATTCTCAATCAAAAAGCATGCGATGGCTGTCTTCCCTATGCCGGGAGCACCAAAGAGCCAGAGAATCTGAAGCGCGTTTTCGCCGCGCCATTGCTCATACTCGCTTCTAGACAGTATCCATTCACACGTCCCAGCAACTCTTTTCCCGTTGAGTCTGATGGTCTTTGCTAGATCGGCGGAGGCGTCGATTAAAAACAACAAGGCAAGGAATTCCTCGAGATCGTTTGCTTCATTGGCGCGTCAGATCAGCCACGAGCGCGGTAATACAGACATAAAGCATACCTTCAGTCTTAGTAACGTAGGTATCGCCTAGCTGTACATTGTTTGCATGAATGCCTATGCCTTTATATATATTTGCCGTCATAGTGAGTGTTATAGGTATAATAAGTCTAGGAGGATAGCGTTGAACACTATAACGCGGTGGGCAGTGCACCAAGAGAGGATCAGAAGGCAAAAGAAACGAAAGGCTCTGAGACGCAAGATTCAGGGAGACAAGGGGCTTGCCAATCAGGATTGTTTCTTTCTCAGCTGCAGCTACATAGTCAGGTGACTGTAGGCAACATGCCAACTTTCAGAGATGAAGGCTTCAGCCGCAATCTGCAATGTACGGCCAACTTCTGACCGCCACCGTTACCGCTTCCAAAGCACAAGCAGCCATCAACACGAGCAATGTCGCAACCTTTTGGAATAGTTTCTGAAGCCATTCAGATGGCAACTGCCTTCTCGGCATGTGTTGAAGTCTTTGACTACGTCCAGCTGAGCCGTCGTTTTGGCAAGGATTTTCAGACGAATCAACTCAAACTGACGCTGCTGAAGCTCAGACTCTCGCGCTGGGGTGCTGCTGTCGATGTTTACAATGACCCTCAGCTTGGGAATTCTTTGGCAACGAAAGACGACGTTGAGACCGCCAAGGACACCTTGCTCCAGATCCTCTTGCTCTTCGAGGACAGTAAGACGATCTCAGACAAATACAAGTTGAAGGCGGGGGAAAACGAAGCAGTCGAGGGCCAACATCCGAACGCAGACTTAACGGAAGATATGGCAATTACTTCGGTGAATAACAAGATGAACGCTCTGGCAATGAAGCGTAGGAAAGGCACAAACGTCCTGAAACTGGCTGCTTGGTCGATGCATCACAACAAGGCAGTCTCGCGGCTTGTGGAGGACATATCTGGGCTCATTGAATCGCTTGAACAGCTCTTCCCACCTCAGCCTACCATTCAGTCTCGTCTTGTGGCACGCGAAGTCTCGGAGGCACAAGATGAACGAGAAATGGCAGCTTTGGCGACCTCAGCCCAAGGTATAGATCAAGTACTCTTTGCTGCTGCGGGACAAAAAGCTGTGCATCAATACAGGAATGTCCAAATCGAGGCAGGTGAAGACGGATCCATCTTTAATGGAAACGCATTCAGTCGTGACTATGGTGGAGCTACACATGCTGGCCCAGCCCATATGTACGATGGCATTACCGTCAAGGGCACGAAGAGATTGAGGGTTCACAATGGTAACCAATATGGCGGCGACGATTTCTTTAACCGTAGTTGATGAGACAAGTCGTTGTTTGGTGTTTCAAGGCTACATGATTTGTGATTTAGACGTGCGTATGGTTAGCAATGATAAGAATAGAACGGTACACAGTTCCTTTTTCTAATAGTTTGACAAGAATTATAAAGATCTGACGCGAAATACGACCGTATCTCATCTCGGGGAATCTACGTGTAAATATGATAAGTTGGACTTTGTTGTAACATGCTCGATAGGTAGTTGTTCCTAGCTCTTCAATAGAAAACCCCTGTTCGTAGTGATCCCAATGTAATTCTTCACTACACATATACAAACATCACCTCTCGACCTCTCTACGAGCCTCCCCCCCAAAACTCCAATCCATCCTCTCAACCACCGGCGAAAACACCCAGTCCTGCACCCCCTCCAACACCAAAACCGCCCTGTTCCACCGCCACCCCAACAGCGGTATCATCGCACCAGCAACAACATCCAGCACGAAATGATTCGCCGTCGCAACAACCGTCACAAACATCGCCAGCGGCCACAGCGGCGCCAAAACCCGCATCACCATATGCGGACTAAACCTCGCCAAACACACCGCAAACAAGACCGACGTTCCAAAGTGAAGACTTGGCATCGCGGCAATCGTTAGTCGAAACCGGTTGTGCGTCCATACGGAGCCCGTCTTTCCTTCGTGGAGGATGTCTATGAAGCCGTATTCCGGGGGAAGCATCCGCGGAGGATAGCACCTCCAGAGAGAAATAACAATAAAAGCGATGAAGTTATCCATCGCGATTGTGCGGCGTATACGTCTGAATAGCGGAGGCGGCAGGAAAGTATAAATATACACAATAAAGACGACGCCAATAATAATATGCGAGTGATAAATGTGTCTCAAAAGTGGCATGATATAAGCATGCTTCGTAAGGATATACTCTTGAAAGGCCTGCTCAAAGTCGATATGAAGAAACCGCTCAATCGCAAGCAACTGCAAAGCATGCTGTTTCGCAACGAGATAAACATGCGGATACGGCGCAATAGCTCGCGCCGTGAAAGCACGACTAAGCTGATACACCCTGAACACATCAAGTCAGTCAGAATCACCCATCTAGACGCGGAGAGGACGAAGAAACGAACCAATATGTAAGTAACCAGTACCATATCTCGCTCAAAAACGGAAACGTCCCATAAATCCACGACAACACCCTAAACACGAGTGAATTCGAGCCCTTACTGGTGCCTCCCTTTCGATGTGAAGCTGACGCATCGTCAGTCTTCTTCTCGGCGGAAATGTAGTCAGGCATGGATTCAATGTCACGTTGATATCGTTGATGCTTCAATCGACGGCGATTTATAAGCGTTCCGGCCGTAAAAGCGAGTGCGATTGCTATTATTTGCTCGTCAGAAAGTAAACTCTTTGTTTGTTCAGTCAAAAGGGGAGTATTTACACGCTGGTTCAATGACATTCTTGAATAGCCCCATATTGTCATAGTAAAGCAGTATCAAAGTATTCCTTTCCCTTTACCCACCATAAAACCCAATTCAAAAGTTCGAGAGAAAGGAGAAAGAGAGAGAAGGAAAACGTCATCCCGCGAATCTCGAAAACCCATCAACTATATATACGAAAAAAAAGTAAGATATATGACGACACCACACCTCACCACCTCCCCCAACTCTAAACCATCATCAGCCCTTGTTTGCCTTTTACCCCTTGCCATAGGTAATCGCTCGGCACCCACGGAAGCTTCAATCTCTAACCGAACCGGCGAAATAAGCTCCAGATCACACATCCTCAACAACATCTCAGCAAGATTACCTCCAACAAAAAGTAGTTAATCTACCTCATAAGAAAAAACGATCCAACAAGAAAGTAGTTAATCTACTCCATAACGACAAACGAAGCTCATCTAGTCAGCATCACAAAATCCCCAGTGACGTACGACACCTTCGCCACACAAAGACTCGCGTCCAGAAAAAGAGTCCGAAAGTCCCTTCCGGCAGTCCGAAATAGCCCAGAAACAAAATGCAAAACTGTGGCTTCCACATGACAACGCCCTGGCAAGAGGCAACAGAATGTGCGTGACGTGAGGAATTACGTATGCGGCACAACACTTTTGACTTTTGTAGGTGCGGATAGACAAGACAACGGTGTGCAGCCATTTACGAAACTATAAATGATTACATGATATATATATAAGTAAGACATCAGGCACGCAAACAGACTTTAAACACGAGGAACTCAATCAGATGAGAAAATAAAAGTATTACATCGTAACTAATTTCTCTACATGAAAAACACATGAAACAAGTAAAAAAAGAGGGCAAACGAAAACCCGTAAACCCCGGGGGAAAAAAGAAAACCTCCACTCCCGTTCAACTCTGCCCTCCTCCCATCGCATCCAAACATGTCGGCGCGCGTGCAGATTTGCAAACTAACTTTTTGGTATCATTGCCCCCGTCCTCCTCCCTTGAACAAATTTCGTCAGTGCGAAAAAGCTTTCCTAAGACTGCTTGACATTGGCATGCCCGCCTCTCTCCTCGCAAAAGAGACTTGGGGGAGCGTGTATCCAGCAGCCAGGACAAAAGGTAGCAAAAATAGAGAATAGATGAACCGTTGATAGCTGAGGGGGGAAAAACAAAACAAAACAAAACCGAATATGTCCACCACGCCTAGACTTGATAGTGTGCAGATGTGCAAGTTGTGCAGCGCACAAAAGAAAACGCATATGCTCTCTCATCCCTCCCAATGTACACCGAATCGTCAAGTGCGCAAGAATTTTGTCTTTGCAGTCATGTCTAAAAGGATCAAAGACCATAGCAGGCTATGAAAACATTGCTTCATGAGCCGCAGCATTGCCTCTGTTAATCTCAAAAACCATGAGCCTTGAAATGGGAAAAAAAATCAACCGTGCCTCCGAAAAGCAATAGCTTGGGAATCATGCTCGAAAAAAAGACGGATAAAAGCATTGACGTGATAAGAAAGGGCCCATCATTGATGTCGTCTAGTAAAAGGTAGACAGGATGTGTTCGGATGCTCGCACAATCCAGTCCAGCTTGCCTCTCTCAAGGTTGGCCAGGAAGGGATCGGTGGGGAAACCATCCTGAATACCAGCAATCAAGGGCTGCACGCGGTTAATGAGCAACTGCATCGTCTGCGACGTGCTCTTCATGACTTCACGAGAAGTGTCGTCGTCCCAGTTCTGTGAGGAACAGATGTTAGCATATCCGACATTGCGTTCTTGGCAAATAGGGGAGAGGGGGAAACACTCACGTAGTTGGGCAAGCTGGCGCTAAACGCCCTCACAGCCATCTCAATCCACTCAACCTCTTCCTTCAATCGCGGGTTCGGCTTCAGGTCCTTGGAGATGGTGGCAATCACGACGAGCAGCATCAAGGGCTGGAGGCCGTCAAACTTGCCGGGAGGGTATCGGCTCAGGCAGCGGCGGAAGATTTCAGTCTCGCGACCGCTCTGGATCCATTGGATCATGGCGTCCTGCAAGCGGTTCTCGGAGATGGCCTGTTCAATCACCCGGATGCGTTGCAAGAGGTCATTGTCGGCCTCGGCCTCGGTCTTGCTCATCTGGCTGGCATAGGCGCCGGCAAGCGCAGACACGTTGTTGACAGGCCCAACGTGCTCCGAAGGGGGAGCAGACCCGTGCGGGCTTGCCACGTGCTGGGATCCGCGCATATACTGAGGGCTGCCGTATTGCTGTTGGCCGTGGCTCGGGCCCTGGCTGGGCGGCTGGCTGGGCGGGAAGCTCGGGCGGTGGCTGGCCACAGTGTTAGCGTAACCATGAGATCCGACGCTGTGTGCGACGCTGGCGGGGTGCGGGATGTTGACGCCACCAGCAACACCGACGGGAAGCTCAACGGGTTGCTGCTTGAACTTGATGAACTCGGCCTGGAGCGACGACTGCGAGGCTGCCATTGTGGATACCATGTCCGTCAGTCGGGTAACGTAGGACAGGAGCTGGTCGATCTTGTTGTTGTCTGCAGCGTGCTGCGCCTTCAACTGCTCAAACTGGTCGTGGTACTGCTTGTGGATATCAGTGGCCACGCGTTGAGCCGCCTGGGTCGCAATGTTGCTGAAGGTCGGCGCCAGACGCTGAGTCAAAGTGGAGAGAACCTCTTGCTGAACATTCGTGGAAACCACATTGCTGACTCTATCAGAAATGGCGTTGATAAAGTCGTTGGATCGGAGAGAGCGGCTAACGGCGTGGGGAAGGGCGGACTGGATCTCCTTCTGGACGGACGACGCCATGTTGGCCTGCAGCTTGTTCTGGACCATGTCGGAGACGGCCTGGCTGGTCTTGTCGCTAATGGTGGGAATGACCACGTCGGTAAACTGCTGGTGGATCAAAGTCTCGAGCACCTTCTGGGTGTTCTCGTTCAATATATCCGAAACCATGTCGAGGAGTTTCCGCTGGTGCTGGTTGAAGTGGTCGTCCCTGGCGCGAGCGCTGTCGTTGATCTTGCTGTGCAGATTGTTCATCGAGGACTTGAAGGTGTCAGATATGGCAGCCCCAAGCCTGGTCTCCAGACTGCTAATCGTAGAATCAAACACTTCAGACGAGAGGCCACCAGCGCCAGCAAAGCTACCGACGACGCCCTTGTTGGCGACGGCCTCGCTCTTATGCGATGGCGCCGATCCGTTGGCGTTGACTTCGGCATCCTTGCCCTTCTTCTTACGTTGCTTGCGTTCGGGCTTCTCGGGGTGGTTTTCTTTCGATGACTGTCCGGGCGTTTCAACCTCTTTGGCGTCGCCCTTGGACTTGGCCGGGGTAACAGCAGCCGGTTGCTCAATGATGCCCCGAGGAGTAGCGGCTTCCGAGGAGGAAGCAGCGGCGACCTGAGACGACTGTGGTGGAGCAAGATCTCTAGCGACAGTGCGGGTAGCGATGCGAACAGGAGTAGGGACGGCAGCATGCTCCGAGGCGCCATTGGTGACGTCCGCCTGCACGGGCGTCTTCAGCTTGGACACCGAGACGACGCCGACATCAACAGCATCGACGGGGTCGAGCACCTTGTTGTCCTTGGACCATCCGAGCTCAGCCTGCTTCACCATAAGGCAAGCAACGCCCTTGGAGTGCATGGCATACAGCTCAAACAGCGTGGGCTCATCAGTGTCCTGGACCATGGCGGGGTTGGCAAGTATGTCCAAGCTGCGGAGGATACCGCGGTTGTCGAAAGAGTACTCGCGGACACCGCTGATGACAGCGGTACTATCGGGCTGAGGGATCGAAGGGTCCTGGGAAACGAGCTTCTGGATATACTCGGCTTGGGTAACGCTCTTAAGGTTGTACTTGGGGGCCGAGAGGTGGGCGAAGTAGACCGAGTTCCGGGTGGGGTGGCCGATGATGATCATGCCACTGGACGGGTGATACATGACGCTGCAGACGGCGTCGGACTCCTTGCTGTGGGGGAGGTTGAACTCCTGGACGGGCTTGCCCAGGGCGAGATCCCAGAGCTGCAGGGTGTGGTTCTGCTTCATGCCGACAATCATGTAGCGCAGCGCACACCGTTTCTGGTAAGGGCGCTGCTTGTCGAGAAGCAGGACGGAGGTCGGCCAGGCCTTTTCGCCTTCGGGGGTGCTGGCCAGGGTCATGAGAGGCTCGTTGACCTCGAGGTGCGAGTGGGCGGGCGCGGGGTTGCGAGGATCCGAGCCCTCCTTGACGGCGGTCAGGTCGCGAACATCCCAGAACTTGACGCGGCCGGATTTGTCCAGAGAGACAATGACACTGTCGTCCTGGCTAAAGGTAAAGTCCTTACCAGCCTTGCCAGTGTTGATCTTGAGGGAGCATTGGCTCAGCAGCGCCTCGGTGTCGGCAACGCGATCGTGTCCAGGCTTGAACAGGTTGTTTTGCAGGATAAAGGACGGCCAGACGAAGTGGATGGACTTGCCACGGCCGACGGCGAAGAACTCGGGGTGGTTGGTGGAAGCACGGGCGCGAGTCTTGAGGGCACCTCCGGGGGCGTCGCCCTCCTGGGAGTTGATCGGGGGCAGGGCGAAGCCGTACTGCTCCAGATGGGGATCCTCGAGGTGATCCTTCTCGCCGTCCTTGATCTGGACCCAGTAGACGGTGCCGCTGATGCCGGTACCAATGATAGCTTCCCGGGAAACACCGTCGTAGTCGTGCGGGGTGACGGACATTGCGACGTTGAAGATGCGGTCCTTGGTGTCTCTAAACACCTTTGCGTCCTTTCCATCGTCCTGGCGAATGACACGCAGGCCACCCTGCTTGGACATGCCGTGCGTCATGTACGTCTGGGAAGCGGTGTACAGGTTACGGTCGATCTGGTCAAAGTCCTTCTTGAGGTGAGCAACATCCATGATCGACTCCTCTCGAAACTGTGGCCGAGGCTCAGTCGTATCTTCCTGGAGCGTGATGGAGATCCACGGCTTCATCGGGAAGTTGTAGACCTTGACAGAGGGCGCTTCCTTCTCCTCAATGACCACAATCTCGTCCTGGTCGGCGCTCTCCCAGCTGTCGGCAATGACGTGATTGTCAATGTCTCTGGACTCCGGAGCATCCTTTGAAAGACGCTCTTCGGAGGAGCCATAACCACGATGCTCGTAGCCAGACTTGATGTCCTCGATGGTGTGCTTCTCAATGGAGCGAGTGGCGTCAGAGTAGTTGGACGGCTGCACCCAATCACTCTCGTCGTGAGGCTTGATGGTAGCGCTCTCGGCATAATTGGACACGGTCTCGCGCTCAGCTCTATCCAGAGCATCCTGGGCATCGCGGTCGGCCCGACCGGCGAGGTCATGAACAGCCTCGGAGACAGTCTCTCTATTCTTGTCAATGTTGACAAAGCTACCAAAGTCTGAAGTCGGAGGCGTCTGCTTCAGAGACTGCTGGGTGGAGTGATGCGAATGCTGAGAGTGGTGCGAGTGGTGCGAATGATGAGAATGGAGCGACGAAGCACGGTCAAGGCCGTGTCTGAACTGCTGGGGAGGGCTCTGGAGAGGGCTCCGCTCGCTGCCACCAAAAGGATTCGAGCCCGCCGGTGAGCTCTGGTCCTTTTTCAAGATGTGGAAAGGAGGCGGGCCAGAGCCGTGGGCACTGCTGGCGCTGTGAGGCGACATCTGGTTGAGGGTGCCAGCCAGCGCCTGGTAAATCACCGACACATCCGCGGGTTCCTTCTGGATGGGCGAGAAGATGGGATTGATGCCACCATGGCCATGGCCGGCCAACGCGTCAGCCTGGTGCTGAAAGCCACCCTGCGTGTGATATGAGCTCAAGGGCTGCTGCTGGTGCTGCTGGCCCTGCTGCTGTTGCTGCGAGTGATGTCCGTAGTAACGGCTGCTGGTCTCTGACAGATGATCCTGCGACTGCGGAGTGTCGGCCGAGCGTGCAGCCTCAACCAGAAGCGGCTGGTCGGTCTGGGAAGGCTTGGGCCTGAGAAGGTTGAGCAGATACGAGGTGCTGTCTGCAGGCGGCGTCTCGCGTGCAAAGGGGTTGACGGGCTGGGCCTGCGTCTGCGTCTGCGGCGGCGTGGGAGCTGACTTGGGCTCTTCAAAGTCGTGGCCGCCTCTCATAAGGGCGGCGAGCAGGCCAGTTGGATCGGCTGCCGTGGGGGCAGGCTGGTGAATGCGGGTCGAGAACTGGTTCGGCGACTGCATCTGGTGAAGTTTATGGATACGGTAGTCCGCGTCGTCGTCTTCGTCGTCGTCGTCGTCGTCGTGTACCTCGAGGGTTTGCCGCTCAGGCTTCTGCTGTTGCTGGGCCGACGGTTGAGGTTGATGGTGGGATTGGGATTGAGATTGGGATTGCGAGGACGACTCGGCCTGCTGGGACGAGGAAGAAGACGGCAGCGGAGCCTGGGGCTGGGCCTGAGCCTGAGGGTGAGCTTGGGCTTGGGCTTGACCCTGGCTCTGGCCATGGCTCTGGGTCGACGGCTGCAGCGGCTCCCTCGACGAGCCGGGGCCACTAAACTTGAGCAAGTTGAGCAGATTGGCAGTGCGATCCGAGTTGGGGCCAATGCCGCCAGAGACGGGCGGAGTCGGTGCAGGAGGCAGATCCATGATGGAGACGAGCTGCGAATTGGGAGACGCGGCGAATGCGATGCAATGCAGATGACTGCTGCTTCCGCGCAGCGCGTGAGGGCGAATGTGGACGCAGTGGAGCGGCCCTTGCTGTGGTTTTTTTGTTTTTCTTGATATAGAGGGGTTGAAGATGCCTGCAACGAGGGAGGATGATGGAGGGTGATGACGAGAAGGAGGAGGAGGATGGGGAGAGATGGAGGTGAAGAGAGAAGAAAACTTGAGTTGTTGAGTTAAGGAGTGTGCCGAACACGGGAAGTACTCTGGTAGAGGGAGAAAAAAACTTGGCCCAAGTTGGGTACTAAACAATTCACTTGAGCAGCTTGAGCCTTGCTATCCAACTTTTGCAGTGGACGGGCAGCTACAGAGCGCTAGTGCTCAGGTGTTGGGTGGCTGCTCGCACTGGAGCCTCCGCTAGAGCAGCCGCCTGTATCCCACCAGTTTGCGGCTCGACAGTGCGCACGGGCTTTTGCCGGTTGTGCGCGGGTTAGTCAGCGCGAACCAGGAACCTCGAAAAGAATTGCAGAGTTGAAGATTTACAGAGACTACAGCAGTATATAGTTGATGATTCCCAGCAAGAGATGAGAAAAGGCGGGAAAAGAAGGGCATGGAAAAACCGAAACCTGGCACATGAAAAAAAAAAAAAAAAAAACCTGGGGGAAAAAACTATGCACTCGCTGAGACACTTGGATCAGGCAACCCACGATAAACCCACAAACCACATCGAAAGAACATGTCGGTCACTAACACTAGCAGGTACCCACAGCTGCCAGCTCACACACACACCCAAAGCACGTCACAGATGCCCAACCACAAAGCCCGAGGACACGATAAAGGAAAAGACAGCCTGGGAAAAGGGACAAGTGCGAGAGAAGAAGAACAAACTCTGCAAGCAACAGACCAGCCCCTGGCTATCGCTTATCCGATAGAAGGGACACAGATAAGCTACCTCGCATGTACGATATGTTCTCCGTACTCGTACCTTGTGTAGCACTTGTAGCACGCTAAGCTTCTTGTTTAGGAAACTCTTCAAAACAACGAAGAAAAAGGGCTGAGAAGAAAAAAGGAGATAACAGACAGACAGTATGGGCTTGCTGTCAGCCTCGTGTGGCGCAGCCTCTTCTCTCCCTCCCTGTGTGTGTTTTGTTTCTCCGTTTCCCCAGCCTCACCTAGTAAGTTCTGCCGGGTTTACACGGCTTTGCTTGTCTTACAAACATCCAAACTCGCAGCCATCATTCGCTCAATCCGTTCCGAAAATACCACCCTCGCCGCCCATAATGACCGACTACTCGTAATTCAAACATCCATTCACATCAAATCCCCTCTTTTTTTTTTCCTTTTCTGTATACTATCTATTCTAACAATTCCTTCTTTGCTTACATACACTTGGGGTTTTTTTTTCGCTACTCTGTCTTATCCCGCTGAAACTCTATTATTGCTCTTGTTTGTCTCCCCCGCCACATACTCAGCAAGTCTCGGCGTCATAAAAAATCCGCCCAAAGCCTCGCCGCCGTTCATTTGCTTTCTTGATTCCAAGCTTCGAGCTTCATACCGAGAACAAACCCCAACAAAAAACACCAATAAAATCTTCCCATTCCAAATCGCCAAAAACCAAACCAAGCAACCATGTTCTGCCTCCGAAGGTCCGTCCTCCCAATCACCTCCATCTCTCTCTATAACACTTCCCCATCTCCAAACACAACAAAATTGCTAACCAACAACAACAAACAGCTGGCTGCCGCTCCTCTTCATCCCGACAAACGCCTCGCCCGCCTTCATCCTCCTCTTCTTCATCTGCACCTACTTCCTCAACCGCCCCTGCGTCTACTGCTCCGTCCTGCTCCTCATCCTCTTCCTCACCTCGTGCAACTGGTCCGACCGCTGCTTCTTCGACCTCAGCAGCAACTGGTTCCTCCCCCGGCCGTCCTCCCTCACGCTCCCCGACGACCAAGACTCGCACGCAATCGCCCTCGCCTTCAACGACACCCTCGTCGACATGGTCAATTCCACCGCCAAAGCCGCTGCCCGCGCTGCCGCGGAAGAGATTGCCGTGCTGCGCAACGAGTGGACCGGCTTGGGCGTCGAGTGGCTGCGTAATTTGCTGGGCAAGCGGGAGTGGAGGATCGACTGCATGGACATTTACATCAGGTTGTAACAAAGGGGAATTACACGGAGCTTTTATGACGGGAAGAAAACAATTATTGTAATGAAACACACTACCTTACCTTTGTGCATTGGACAGGCTTTAGAAGGTGGGAGCTGTTGAAAAAATATCTAGGGCTCTTCATTCTTCTTTTTTTTTAACAGCGGCACAGGGTTTGAACATGTGGATATAGCGCCTAGTCTTTTTGTCGATTTTCTCTAATAATATACAAAACATTCAGATATTCAGACTACGCCCTCTTCGATTTTGGCAACGTGTACTTGGCGTCAATCGGTATTGCGCCCGGATAATCAGGAGACACGGGATGCCGAGGTAGGGAGGGACAAGAGAGTGGTGGGGAGCTGTCAGCATTGCATATGTGCCGATATTTCTTCAGCATCTGCACAGCACCGGTGAGTAAGACACGACTGCATGCATAGTTTGTCTCAAGCTGCATTGATAGGAAGAAGCAAAACATCAAGAGGAGCGCAAAGATGCTTGAGAAAATAAAAAAGACTGCTGTATTATCCCATCAGTTTTGATACTCTATGTAATAGACAGGCAACGCATAGGTCAAGGCCAACCAAGGCATCATCCAACAACAACAAACACCTTTATACAACAATTTTCCACTCGTATTATACGCATTGACCTCGTTCTACCTACAAAAACCTCGTCCGAAAATAAACATAAAATATTCGTTGCGGCATATTGCACCCTCCAGCTCGTTACTTACATGAATGGTATTCTTCGTCATCGCTGGTCAAACGGTTAAAGAAAAAGAAGAAGAGAAAAAAAGAGAAGAAATTAATTCCAGGGGAACTTGAAGGAGCTTCCCCACTGCCAGTCGCTCTGCCCTTGCTGTCCTCCTCCAGCACCCTTGAGTTCCTCCTCATCCATGATGCCGTCTCCCAAATAGAGACCGTCTGCGGACGCAAATACCTCGTCCTCGGGGTGCTCGTCGTCGTCATCCGAGAACAAGTCGCCATCGGCTTCCGGCATCCCAGTACGGGCTGCGTTGGACATTTCCGTAACAGTGGCAGTCATCCACTTCTCGACGGTTTGTGGCTCCACGGCAGCACAGGGGTTCTCGTCGTCATTTGCCTGGGATGTAAACAGACTGCCAATGATGGAGGTGGGAGAGAATGAAAGCTCCTCGTCTCCCTCTTGCGCCTCCCCCTCTTCGCCAACACCGTCAGTCACAACCGTGGTCGGCGTGTCAAAGGAATTAGTCAGCTCAGGTTGCTGGAAGGGGGAGAGTTGGTCGTAGAATCGGTTGTTGACGCCGCCCCGGAGAGCGACCACCACAGTCAGGGCGCTCAACAGGAGAATGGCCAGGTTCCTCTTGTCGTCCAGCAGCTTCTTAAAGGCATTGACAACCATGTCGGGGAAGCTGCCAGCCTTGAAGCGGCTCTGCGACTTGTCTTTTTCTCCGTGCATCTCGCGGTATCCGGGCGAGGTCTTGTCGTATGACACGGATCGTCGCGATGCGCTTCTTTCTTTTCCCACAAAGGATTCGTCAAAGTCCTCGTCCTCCCGCTCGTCCTCAACATCCTGGACGCGAGACGAGAGACGTCGCCTGCCCGCTCTGCTCTTGGAGAGGACTCTGTCCTGGCGCGCCGCGAGGTGCACCATCTCGTCCTGGAGCTTGGCGTCCATCATGGGTTCTATCTCAATGTCGACGCGCTCCATCTCCTTCCAGCAGGCTTCCCACGCGCCGGCCCTCAGCAGGCCGTTGCTGGCATAGACCTTGACGCGGTAAATCTTGCCAGCACCCAGGGCGTCGACGGGGATCTCGCAAGAGCAGGTGGTGCACCAATGGGTGTCCTTCTTGGACGCGCTCACACGGGCCGACCCGTCGTCGTCGTAGGTGGTCTCGTCGTCCTCACTGTCATGCTCGTCGGCAAAGGGCATCTCGTTGGAAGGGCCCAGGTAGTGGCCGCACTCGAGGATGCGCGCGCGGCTCTTGAACGGCAGCTCCAGCGCCTCGAGGAGACGCTCCTCCATGACCTCAAAGTCGTTTTGCGGGTGAGGCAAGAGGACGCCGCGGTCCTGGATGGTGTCGCCGATGGTGTCCTCGAGCTGTCGCCAGGCCTCGCGCAGAGTCTTGACGCCCTCGCTGAGCTCGCTGGTCTTGGCCTCGTCCAGGACATCGCCCCACGCCCACCGCAGCGGCAGCAGCGTGACGTGCAGCAGCACCAGCGGCGGGTCGTTCTTCTTGAAGCGCGGCGGCGTCTTCTTGGCCGAGTACTGCGCGGACAGGCTGGGCGAGCCCAGGCGAGAGACGGTGGGCAGGGCGCTGCGACGGCCGGAGCGAGGGATGCCAGAGCCGGAGCCGGAGCCGGAGCCGGAGCCTGAGCCTGAGCCCTCGGTGGGCGAGGTGACCTTGGCCGAGGCCGACCTCAGCGACGAGCGCGGCGTGGCCTTTGCATACTCGCCCTCGTCGTACTGCTGGATGTCGGAGATGCGCGGCGACCGGAGGCCATCGTGGCCCGTCTTGCGCGGGTCGCCCTCGGACATGGAGCCCATGGAGCTGCGCGGGCTGTTGTCGCTGAAAACATCGTCGTCATGGCCCTCGTGAGAGCCGTTGTCTGCACCGTCGGGCTGGGACATGGTGTCGTCGTCGTCGTAGTCGGGATGAGCACTCTCGTCTTCGTAGAGGTATTCTTCCATGCTAGAGCGAGTGTCGAAGCCTCAAGCGAGAGACAAGAGGACGGACGGTGGATATGATATGTAGGTAAACAGTAAAAGTGGCGGGGGGGGGGGAGAGAAGCGAGAAAATGACAGGGACAGAGACAAGTCCAGTCAGTGGATTGGTCGGATTGTGTACGATAAGGAGAGAAATTGCCCAATTCGCTACAAGTAACCCAACAAAATTGACGCCCACTGTATGTAATTGGTGTACGGGTACGTATTATGATACAGTACAATTCCACGAGGGCAAAAAGCAGAAAAAGGAAAAAGAAAAAGAAGAAAAAAAGGTACGGGGGGGAAAGGATCAGAGATGCCGGGCCACAGGTGAGATGTGATTGATACTAGTAGTAGTCGAATATGGCATGAGCTGCAGTGCGTGCAGATGTGGCTTCGCATGGTTGGCCCAGCCTCCCTGTATGTGGGTTTGTTTATGCTGGTTGCCGGGTCGACCTGGGGTGTGATTGGGTGAATCGGGGAGGGAGTAGTTGGGCGCTACAGTACGTTCAAGACGCCTGGAAAAGAGAGGTTGGATGGGTTGATTTGATTCGACTCGAATTGATTCGAATTGGTAGAGGCATGACAGTTAAAAGTGTTTAGACGAATGTCAGACGCGGAAAGCGGCAAGTGCTTGCATCCAACGGGGCGCGTCAATTGAGTTTGTGACTTTGCCGCCAATCCATCAGCAAAACCCCCCCATTGCACGGATGCTTTGACGGCCTGCAATTCTACTGTCGATGCCCTACATACTGTGCTCCGTCCACGTACATGAGGAACAGCAGATGCGCTCCACAATGGCCAGGGACGTGAAACGAGACGGAGTGACGATGTCGCAGACGCAGGTTCAAGTGCAGTGTTTGTTTACTCGCCATCTTCAGCGCCTTGGTTGGTGGCTGCGTGTACATGTAATCAATGGTTAACCTGGAGATGGGCGGCTAATTAGCATCCATCCCTACCAACCAATTCATCATCGTCCTGTCACGTCCCAATTTGCGGTATTGGCCCAGCAATTGCTCCCCAGCCTCACTGTAGCAGCAGCATACAAAATTACCCCAGTGTGTCTCTTATTGTGCTGTGCCCAAGAGTGGCAAATTCTTCCATGTAAAATCGTAATCACCACGATACTGGGGCTAGCACAAGCAACTAACCTCACAGAGCAAGTCAACCACACCAACAAACACCTCACCGCCATATCCAAACATGATTGAACACTCTACTACCCGTCCCCCATCTCATCTTGTGCTCAGATACCAAAAAGCAATAGTAACTGCCGACTCTAATTCTTCAGCGTCTCATTCTCCGTTTGCTGCTTACAAGACCCCAAGCGGCCTCTCCCGCATCGCTATTCCGGTTTAGGTAGTCCGGCACGGCCAACAACGGGCTCGGCTCCCGTTTGGCTTTGGAGTTTAAATCACCACCTCACTTGTGTCTGACAGCCCCAATACTAGCCGTAGCGTCTTGGCTGTTGAGGCTATCTGTCATTAAAATGGTTTGTCAAAGTGGGCTGTGATCTATTTCATGGTCGTTTGATGTCTCTATTACTCGCAGTAGCACTGACTCCTGTATTAGCGAGTGTCTACATGTACCTATGAAGCATAGGTATGTCGCCCATACAGCGCGATATTGGGCGTCTGGTGCTTTATAGAACAGTCCTTGTAGATTATGGTATATAATTCTGAACCCAATTGCGAATTTACTTCGTCATAGACGTGCAGGTATTATACTTTTATCCCTTTGGATGACTATGGGTACTCATCTATCTACAAGTACCTTACCTAGACATGTCATGTTAGATGACCTGGATGCACTTGGTCTGGGCAAGGTTTACCCTTCTTGTCTTGCTAATATCCAATTATAGAGATTATATTCATCATTAAAATAAGAGGGCTAGCAACGCTGTTACGGCCAGTTCAGCGAAAAGTTTCACCCCAGCCTGCCGTTCAAAATCTAGGCTCAACCCGCCGAGCTCTACCTTACAAGTAGCGACGTGAGAATCCTACTCAAAATTGGATTGCACATTCCGACAAAAAGCTCGGCGAAACAACGCAACACCAAAGTAAAGAACCCTTGGAGCCAAAGATGCTTCAATCATATAAGTATTAAGTTTGTATATACCGGTATATGCCCTACTTGTATTTCCTTGGTTCAAACAACTCTAAAAGCTTCCTCGCGACTCCTACTATACACGCCTGCTTCTTACATACCACCAGAATCTAGAATCTAATCGCTCAGACATCAATGGTCAACACTGATGCGCACATGTACAAAAAATACACTCGCCCTGCCTCAAAAGCTTAGGTGTTTAAAGCTCATTGGCGGCGTTCTGGAGCAGATTGATCTCGCCAAGCGAGTTTTGCGTATAACGGGAGTTGAACTTGACCACGTCCCTGACGCGCTGATAGGTGATTTCGTCAATTGTCAGGGGCTTGGTGCTGATGTACCAAGAGACACCCTCGGAGCAAGGAGGCGTGGTCAGAGAGCCAGAGTACCTGGATCATTGGGATTAGCCAACAAGTTCGACACCATGTGATGAACTTTTTTGCACTTACTTGAAGATGGTGTTGGAGTTGAGGTGGTTCTCAAGAGGACCAAACACGAGAGGGCCTGTGGTGGTGGTCGAGCCGGGAGTCGCAATCATGCCGACGGAGGCGAAGACCGAGGTCAGGAGAGGATCAGGAATAAGGCCGAGGTTGATCAAGAAACCGACAACAGCGGTGGACTTGTCTGCAAGTTTGCGTCAGGAACCGCAATCCTACATAACATTATCCCACGATGGATACATGGCTCTCACTCACCTGCAGCTGAAAAGACAAAGTGTGCCTCCATGGGAAAGTACTCGAGATCCACGCGATGCTCGCTAGGAGTGTGGAAGTGGAACTGAGCCAGCTTATACGACTTGCCATCGGCCACCAGCGAGCCGTTGACGGGCACCTCGACAGTAGTGCCGAGGTTCTCAAACTCGGCACCATGAGGGTAAGCGTCGACCTTGAACGTGACCGAGCTTCCGTGGGCCGTGGTGATGGAAGAATCCAGGTTGATGGGTGATTGGTTTTTGCCAGTAGCGCACATCTTGTTGGTCGTCTCGTTGAGGCCGAACCAGTTCAAAGGCCCAGCAAGTCCGGTGTAGCCAAAGGTGCTGATGGGGACAGATTCGCTTCGGGGGTTAAGATGGGTTCCGTAGTCGCACGACGCCAGCGCCGGCGCGGCGAGAGAGAGCGCAACGGCTGCGAATTGGGCAAAGCGAGTCATGTTGAAGAAATGTGTGTAAATATGAAAATAGAGAAAAACAAGAAAGCAATTATGAGTTTGTTATGGTCCGGATGTAAGTAGAATGAGCTGTTAAACGGGTGGGACGTCGGCTCTAATTGTAGTCGAGCCAGAAAGGGGACGGAGCTTATAATATCTGGCGAATGATCCAGGATGATGAAGAGGCCACCCCCGGCCATTTCCAGCTCCCTCACACCCCCCCTCGTCAGTGGATCTACGCAGGTACACACAGCCCAGATATTTTTAAATCTAGGTCATCTCGAAGCTTAACCCCTAGAGCGGAACGCACCAGGCTGAAGCAATTGCCGGAGAGCTACGGAGTATAGTCTCGATAGTACGGGGCACTTGGCGATGCTACAACGGCCTGCCACCCTCCTGGGTCGAAATCCGCCTGCGTCCGTATTCTATCGTTGACATCGCTTCGGTGAGCATAACCGGATGCCATCAGCACCGAGCGGATATTAGCTGCGGCCGTCATCCCATCTTCATTTGGTGCTTTTGCACCGCTTACAGTTGAAAGTACGCCGGCTAACACTGGCGCCTCGTCATGTGGATTTTTGTCCATTTCGAGATCTCTTCAACGAACGCCTTATATCCCCATCGTGATGTATTGTGATTGCTGCAGCTGAATCTACAATTCCTCAGCCTTTCACCTTCCGGAGAAACAATGTCCGGACTGGCCGGCATCAATTCTCGTATTTTTCAGTATGACACCTGGTCGGCAATTCGGCGTTTCCTTTCTACTTCATGCCTCGTTCCCGTGTAAGCACGACGATGTTTTTACTGGGCTCATCAGGCTGGGATACAGTGTTTCTTCCTTCAGTGTCAAGATGCAGACGCATTGCCGTCCCGGATGCCTGGATTGGGTTGCCAGTCTTGCTGAAATCGCTTACAGAATGAAACAACTGGGGGCCTTGCACACGAAACAGTGACATGTTCGGAGCCCGGGAGCTTCCATGAAACGATTCTCTTACACTTTTCTTTTTAAGCTTGTATTGGCACGTCGCATCAATCCGTGCCCTGACTTTATGTATAGACGACGCGCGTACTGGGTAATTTATCAGATGTGCTTGATCTATCACGTCCCGCATGAGGCATTCGATTCCATGTCTATTTACATATTACGTGATGCTCAGTTATGGTCAACTTTGGAAAATTCTAATCCGGCCTGCAAAAGAAGTGCCGTTTGTGCAGGTGCTAAACAAGCTCCCACGATTCAACTCATTCCGTCTGTGTATTTACTTTTTCTTTCTCTCTCACTTGTCTACGGCAATTGTTGGATAAATAGGGCCCGCGGCATCTGATCTAGCCCCTTGTAGACGTTGAAGATAGTTAGCGAGTTAGTCAGCCTAGTGCTGTTTTGGTCTTCATCGCTTAAATGGGCCTTTTTATCAAGGCTCAGAAGGATCATATGCGATGCCTCAGGTGAAAGCACCTGCGCAGGTTTCAAATTCCCATTCTGCAGGGCTCGGCATGTTTAAGCTTAATATTTGACGTGGCCCCTTGGTCTTCGGCAATTGTGCTGATCAGCATCCTCAAACAACCACCATTAGCCCAATCCTGGCTTACATGTGATGACTAGTCCGACTTACACGCCATGTTACCTGACATCAGTGCCGTAATAGACCTCTCTCTCTGGTTTCCGAGTCTTGATTTTATTCCTGGCAAAGTCATCACAAAGGCAAATTAACAAATACAAGGCTCATCACAGACAAGTAACGACTCCGCCAACGGAAGACCCTGATGCCGCGATGCCAAGAGACGCACCGTTGGCACTAACCCAAACACGACGAAGCGACCGTGGCAGTTCCTGGCTTATGGCCTGATTCCCACGTTTTTTCAACTCTTGGCATGAAATCACGGGTGCATGCTTTCTTATCTAGAGGCGCCCATTGTTCTGAGGAGGGCGGCTGGGTGCTGGGTGAGACGGATTGGCTACCCTCGGCGTCTCACGTCAACATCCTACATATATTTATAGTGAAGCCAAGAGATTCTAGATTCTATCAAATCTTTCTTTGTCATCTTGATGCTCTTTTATAACTTCAAGAATTATGATATTTGGTTAGACAGCCCTCCCTTTAACTTATATCTGCCTAGTATACATAAACCGACTCACCGGACAACATTCACACCTTAAACTTACCTCTACCAATAATCATTATTACCAAAATATCAAATATAAGAAATCACAATGAGTCGTATTATATGCTCTGTGGCAACGTGATGCTATGCCATCTTTACGGGGGCGTTGACGGAGTACGCCCACCGACAATGGCTAGACGTTACCAATCAGCCTAGCATCTCCTTTCTCAAGACCATTGCCGCCTCTACAAAGGAAGAACATAGCCTCAAGGCTCTATGTCAATAGTGGCCGCGCTTAGAAGACCTTGTGCTAATGACGAGTGATGAGTCATTCGCAGCCCTTCGCTTGTTCGTGGGGGAATCTCCATTCCCGCAATCTAGTTGCACGATTGTTCCATTCGGCCAGAGGGCCCCCATGAATGCCTCCTGTGAAGCATTTTTGCGATCCCAATAACATCGTCACCGGGTAAAGCGTTTACATAAACTTGCATGTCGAATCACATAGCATCGGTGTACGTGTAGTCAACTCGATTTGTTAACTCAGGCTGTATTTTTGGGGTATTGACATCTTTGTCTAGCGGGATACTAAGCTTGTTCTCTTGCTTTCTATGAGACTACCCATGTTCAATCATTTTATGCGGCCTCGTCGTAATTTCAAGGGACCATTTGTCAGCCATTTCGACCAGACGGAAGCGATGCTTCAGGTGAATGTGCATGCTTTGGTTTCACATCTCATCACTGTAACATTCGGCAAGTTTAAGCTTAATACTCCGTACATGCATATGTACGTTTGACGCACCCCTTGGTTCTTGGCATATTAAGGAGACACTACACCCCAGATCATTGGGCTCGTCAGAAGCTCACTTCTCATGTTGGTCCCCGTCAATTCGGCTCGTCGCGCTCGAAGATCAAGTTCTACCAGTGATGTCTGCTCTCTATACTCACCTTATTGACGCTCCGAGAAAAGCCATGTTTAGACGACTTCATATCATGCGGTGATTGTCGCTTGCAATGATTGTTGAAGGAAAAGAAACATCTGAACTGGCAGCCGGCCCGACACCACCTCTCGCAACACCACCGGCTATAGTACCTCCATTGCTCATTTGTGGAGAACCATTCTGTTTGTTTCAAGGTTGTAATAACTGAATTTGACACCAACGCACAGGTCGCCGTTGTGATACTAAATGTGGCTAACTGAGTGCTGAAGAAATAGATATGAGCCAATATACGTTTGACACGTTCAGTGTCTTCACTGCCAAGTTAATAAAGTCAGTATCACCCGGTACTCCCAGTCCTGCGCAGCCAACATACATACATCATGCTTGACCTAACACATTAAAAGTTTTACTGATTCGCCTTGCCACAGAACCACGCTCACCGGTCTCCCGAGTGTTGTTGTAACGAATAGCGAAACTTTTAGCCTTTGCCGGCGAATGAGTTGTACAATTGGACGGGAAACGGCGTGAAGTTGAAAGAGCGGGCACGTGCGTGCGAAACTTGAGATTCACCTCGATCAGGTATCACAATCTCCCTGCATATAGATCTAGATGGCTTGTATCCATTTCTATATGCATCTTATGTGTTACCTCGGCGTGGTCCAAGCTCTCGGAACTACTCCCTTGCGCAATGCGAGACAAGGCTGTGTGTAACATGGAGATGTTTTCTACAAGTCCAACGTGCCCATGTGGTACGGCAACTAAGCGCAAATACAGCAAAAATACACACAAGTTGTCCTCATATATCTGCTTGTCCCAAATAGTATTCTAGTACCTGGTGTTTGGGGAGGGGTCGAGAACTTGGGCTACAATGAAGACATTCATCATGCCCGGACAGACGTAATGGGGTATTGAATCGAATTCTACACACACAGAGTACCTGTAAGTTTTATGATGCTAAAAAGACTGTTCCCAAGGTTAGTATATACACGAGAATTTGAGTGTCGCATCCAATTAGCATCGCTATACGTGGACTCAAATAATCCGCTTGTATAAACAGCATATTGAATCACGGGTACAACATTGAATATTAAATTGGTCAATCGCCGGAAATCAAGTTCAAACTAGGCATACAGTTCATAATCAACCTTTCCGCCGAGTTCTCATCAAGCTCGGTAGTTGTCTATTCCAGCATCACAGCTCGCCTTATACTTGTCAAACAAAGCATTTCCCTGAATAGCGCCCACGCTGCTTCCTTCCCACGGGCGATCCACTTCTACTCTTCGAATTAATTCTGCATGCTTTTCGCTCCGTGGAACAATGCTGTAGGGAAACTCTTGCGGATGGTCCAGCCCGCCTTCTGCATGCTTGGGCTCAAAATCAACCGGCTTTCCGTTTTGCACCGCCTTGCTCATTGTAAAAACCGCCAAAGTTCGTGAGATTGTGAGGAAGAGAGTTCCTTGAGCAACAAACCTGCCTGGGCACACCCGACGACCGTACCCAAATGCCTCCATGGGCTCTGGCTCGCTCCGGGGCGCGAGGTAACGCCCAGGGTCATACCTCGAGGGATCCGCGTATGTTTTGGGATCGTGAAAATACCACCACATACAAGGGCGTATATATGCTCCTTTGGGAATGCGGTAGCCTCGGAAGACTATATCTTCCGCGGCTTCGTGAACAAACCCCATGGGCGCGACGGGGAAAGTTCGGAGAGCTTCCATGACCACGCCTCTCACAAAGGGCAAGTTTTCCTCGTCGCTGGCTTCGGGTAGGCGATCGGAGCCAATCACTCTGTCAATTTCCTCTTGAGCTTTTTGTTGAACGTCGGGGTTCAAGACCATGCCTAAAAAGAATGACACTATAGTCGACACTGTAGTCTCTGCGCCGGCGGCAAACATGATTGACGCCGTCCATTTGATAGCTTCAACAGTCTTTTCATCAATCTCTCTGCCATCTCTCTTGAAGAAGCTAATAAGCTTGGACGTGTATGATGACTGATACGAGCCTTGCCTCATTTGCTCCTTGGTAAAGTCATAAGGGATGTCGGCAGAGGCGTCGAGCAACGCTCTCCATTTGCGAGCAATCCGCCTATAGCCTGTACCTGGGAACCACTCGGGCAGGTATGAGATAACGGGGAGAAGATCAACAGCCCATGAAAAAGGAACCACGACCAAGGAGGCGTTTCTTAAAACCTCTTGGATGAGCTCAACAAGAGGATCTGGTTTATATAGCTCTGATGAATAGCCGTACGTGAGTTTTAATATGATGGAAGCCCCTTCACTGCACATATAATTAGCAGATGAACCATTTCATACTCCTCGTGCTTGTCTATTTGGTGGAAGAATTGCCATACGTTTGTGCATGTCTGAATAGATGAGTAGGATCCATCAACGCTCGCAACAGAAAACGCTTTGATTCAACGTCTTGAATATCAATGTATTGAGTCGAAAGGAGCTTGGTTCCGAGTTGCTGATGGATCATCTTGCGGAAAAATCGATGCTGGCTGTTATATGGCATCACACTCAACCACCGACCATAGCCAGACAGGTTTAAGAAATTCATCTGGGGCCTCGAAGCAGTCTTTAAAGACGATTTCTCCAAGAGCTCTGTAATAGCTTCCTGGTCATGAATGAAGATCTGCGTATGCCCTAAGACGGTTACAGAGCTTATGAGACCATATTTTTCTTTCAGCGTCAGCCAGTACTCGAATTCTGGTTGTCCAGGAGCCGGCACGTCTCTGATATTGCCGAGAATAGGGAGACCTTTTGGGCCAGGCGGTAAAGGCAGGAGAACTTCCCGCTTTTTGTGAAAGAAAAGAGAATAAACAAGAATGCCAATTAGGACAATGATGCCCTGAGCTATGGCAAAGTTTAACATTTTGAGAGCGCTTCTCCTAGAGTCGTCCTGAGTTGCCTCGAGCTGTCTGGAAAGGCTGGGATGAGATGGGAATCACGGATAGTATTTATAGCTGAGATTCAAAGAAGATGTTGTACTGAATCAGAGAATTTCGTGCCGTATAGTGAAACACATCTCCCTGCAAAAGCTCTCTTCTTCACTCCCCCTCTCTCCATGACGAATATTGCCTCAACTCACCAAGGATTTAGCTGCTGGAGCTGAAGAAAACAAGGCAAGGTACCCCGCCTGAGTTCACGCCGGTTTCAACAAAAGCCCTGGTTTGTGATGTCTTTAGGTAGGATTACTCATATGCAGGCCAGGATCGATTGGGATGCGGGGGCAAATAGGCGAGGTTTCATACCTGATAGGACCCCGGCTCCCATGAGATTGAGTACCATGATACACTTTGAAGTGAGATCACTGTGAACCGTGAACAAGGAAGATTTGCTTTTGATATCATCACAGTAGTATATTAGCTGCGGACGTGTTCCCACATTTGTACAACCACCCCTCTATATAAGTGCCGGCAGGATGACGCTGGTGCAACCCAATCATGAAAGGGGTTGCCTCGGAGCATATATCGCCTGGCCGTTGCGGTCGTATGTCGTATCTTCGTGTTTTGTTAATACGCGTGTGATAACGACTTCCCGCGGACCTAGCAGGTGGGTGACCACAGTAGCGTGATTGGAAGATAAAATTATCGTCAGTCCAACATGTAGAAAATGTCTCCAGCCCACCTCAGCGCAGCGAGCATTCTCTCTATCCCAATAGTAAAATGTTATTTTTGCCCGTAAATAACCGCGACACCAAGGCTTCATAATTGCATTAACAAGACGACAGAAGTAACATGTCGCTTGCTCTCCTCCTCACATCGCTCCCTGGCATCAGCCATTTACAGCTCGCAGTAAGACTGGGTGACGGTGACAATCTCAGTCTGGGTAGGGGTGGCAGCGGTGGTGGTGGTGGCAGTGATGCCCCAGCAAGAGCAAGCAGAGGAGTAGCCAGCACCGTTGGGGCAGTTATCGGCGTAGTCAGGGATGAAGGTAGGGTAGACGGTGACGGCGGAGGGGTTGGCAGCGGCGCGCTTGGCCTTGGGGGTCACCTCGGGATCAACAGTGATGGTGATGGTGGTGGTGCTGTGACATAATTGTTAGCATTAAAGGGGTTTCATCCATCTATATACATGTTGTGTAGACTTACGTAGCCTTGGGGGTGACGGTAGCCCGCATGAAGCTGGAGCAGTCGGCCTGGCGGGAGGTGATGGGCAGGAGTCCATCACGGGTACCGGTGACGGCACGAGCGCAGTTGTCGGCGTTGCATCCGTTAGTTCGCTCAATAACGCCAGCCATGGCGGCGGCAACAAAGGACAGGACAATGGCGGCCTTCATCTTTGCGGTGTTTTGTCTTTGGAGAAGGGAGTTGTGAGTTTTGAAGATGAGACAACGAGATTGACCAGCACAGGAGACACGGAGAGAAAGAGCAGCGAGAGAGGAGCCAACGGAGAGGTAACGCAGCGAGACCGCAGGCCTATATAGGAATGAGATCTGGACAAGACCAACAACCTTGAAGAGCGAGCCGGGCCCCAGGGACTAGATCCATTGTGGGATTACATCCTTCCAGACTCTCACGCCTTGGCCGGTGCGACCAGCCGAAGCACACAGCTGCATGGCCTCCCTGCCAGACTAGCCACAGTTTCCGGAACTGGCGTGCAAAGGGCCGTGTCCACCTATCAGGGCTTCGACCGGAGCCATGAGGCGGGATGTCTGTCCGGGTTTGGGCAATGGCCAGCCACTGAATCGATCCGGTTAAGCATACTGCTGCTAGCACCGAGCCATATCACAAGTACAACCGCAACTCGAGGCCAAACAAGTCAAAGAGCCAACAGCAAAAGAGAGTTGAGAGAACAAAGCGCGCTGGCGTGGATCCTCGTTCGGTGGCCGCTTGGGGAATTGGGGGATGAGAATGTTTGCGGCCATGGATCGGCCAGGCTATTGGCAGCTGTGCCTGTGAGACGGAGACGGACCAGGGAGCCCCTGTCCATCAAAAGAAGGCCCCCGGCTAATATTAGCTGCTAAAGTCCCATCAATCGAACGGTTCTAGCCTGGGTTCCCGTGGGATCCGTTTTCCAGAGACAAGAGCGAAGGCGAGGAGAGGCCAGGCTGTGTTTGTCTTGTCTTCAAGTCTTGTGTGGACGCGTAAATGAGGTAGTGAAGGGAATGAGGAAGCCAGGTACTTGTTGTATGCTGATTGTAGGAGATGGATACACGCAGCTTCCAGGCTATGATGCTGTCAACCATCTTCCTTCAATGGCCAAATACGGTATTGTGTTTCCAAGATGGGCAAAGAAGGATGCAAGTGACAGTTGCCCGTCTGTTTGTCTCAGCCGCAACATCCAGATCCTGCGAGAGCCTCAGATCCAACCACATGCTGCACCATCACTTGCTCGGCTGCACGGCACATGGCACGAGGTTTCCAGATGCTCGGGAGAACAGCAGAGAGAGTGACAGGCAGACAACCAGACAAAACAGACATCGACACTGCTTGAACATTCCGGCAAGGGGTGTGTGAGAAAAACACTCAATACCACCTACCTGGCACCACCTCCATCAGCTCGTATGAGTGAGGATGTACCAGTACGGGCAGCTCCAGGGCATGGGGCCCCCTTTTGGCTTGATCGTGCAAGCACAAATACAACATCGAATGTCTGTGTGTGTGTGTTGTCTGGGCCTGTGCCTGAGACCGAGACCGAGACTGATGTCTGTGTGTGTTGATGCTGCGTGTCAGTCCAGCGTATCCTCTGTCAGCAGCACGTTACAGACACAGACAGAGGCAGAGACGGAAATCAAATTGAAGGTTATCGTCAAGTACTCGTACAGTATCGATGCCAAGATGCAAGTCCAGGATGGGCTCATGCCGTCATCAATTGGCGTCCTGTGGGCAATGCATAGCCTGCTGAAGACATGGAGAGGTTGTGGAGAGGGACGAAGGGATTGATGGAAACTGGCCGCGCAAAAATCAGGCAAATCTCGCTCCGGCCTGTCCAGAGCCCTAATTTCTGCAGCGGGGGGGCCTAAACTTGCACCTGCAGGTACTAGAGCGCTAAAGAGCAGCCACTGTTGCCGCTGTGGCTCGCTGTTGACAGGTGCCCGCTGGCGTCTATTGGCGGGTGGCGCTGGGAGTGGCAGGAATTGATTCGGATTTGTCCGTGCTATTGATTAATTAATCCAATCCATCTCTCAACTCCATCACACCAAATACACTGACATGAACATTGGCGACTTTGATCGAACACAGCGATTACAGCGCGAAAAAAAGAGACGGCCGGAATACATGTACGAGTAACAACAACCACTAGCACCAGCAGCTGAATCTCTTCCGCCTCCCCAAAGAAACACGGACAGCAAAAAGTTCCCAGTGCCAAGGCGCCGTCCCAAGTGCCTACAGGGCCTCCCCCATGGCTTGCCCATCCAATGGCTTCAAAGCTATCCACGCTTGTACCCATGGCCATGTCCATTGCCAACACTAACCGGCTCCTCTGTAATTAATCGGTGGTCGCTTTCACACGTGGTAACCCTACCGGAAGCAGCGCTGGCTCGCCGTTTTTAATCTGGACAAGTTGTTCCGTGCGTGATGCCACTCGCTGCTCTTGTTCCCGAGCGCGCGGGACAAGCACCAATCGCATGTGGCTGGAATGTGTAACCATGGACAGTTCAACCGACATGCGGTCAGCCGTGGATTGCATTGGGTACATGTAGGTTTGATGCATTATGTATGCCAAGAGCATCTAAACGGCCTCTCGGTGCTCAATCTGTCGCTGACCAACACGTGGGCCGTGAGCGAGGCGGTATTAGTTTGTCAACTGACTGACTGACTGATGCTGTGGTTCATGCATACATGTTTACTGATTGATCAATGGGAAAGGAACCTTGCCTTGCCTGTATTACTTTCCAGCCATTCCATATACCTTTAGGTTACAAGGTATGGAGCCAACACAATACGATGCCATTCGGGGAACCTCGCCGGACACAGACCGCGGCACATTTCGGCGTCCAAAGCTACATGTAGATTGGGCCGCCTCGGCGTAACGCTGCCGGCTAGGGTCTTGGCTCTCTATCTCTCTCGCTGGGTAAAATTGATTGATGGATCATAATGTGCAGCGCAAGCACGGCCAAGGAGAGCATCTGCTGAAGTTGCTCACACACCTCCTGCTCCCTATTACCACCCACATATCGCAGATGCCCAGAGCGGCACGTAGCTTACATGCACCCCTTATCACCTGTATACCTATACATAGACTCAGGCCAACACCCCTTCATTCATCCATTCATCTCTTTTCCATTCTTCACCTTGCGGATAATTCCGTCCTGTTTCCAGACGTTTGTTTAGTGTCTGACCAGGGACGGAGATGATCAGTCAGATACATTACTTTGACGCCATCCCGGCAGCATCCGAGCCGAATCGGGCAATCCTCACGCCTATCGATCGCTGGACCCAGCGAGCTCCCTCTTTAAATTGATTTTTCTGTCGGCCAACACACAAGCTTCTCGCCATGATAAAGCAGCAGCTGAATAGACAAAAGAAGAAGAGATGTATGTACCCAACTCGTTTACACTCAATTGATCACCCTGTAGCCTGATCAAAGAGCAAAAAAGAAACTGTTTGACCGAGACAGGGGTCGAACCTGCAACCTCCTGATGTACTAATCGTAGTCAGACGCTCTGCCATTGAGCCACACGGCCGTGTTTTTGATGTGCTGCCGACGTCGCTATTCGCCTCAAGGCTGGCTCCGACAAGGTGAGGCTGTTGAACTCGCGAACAGAACCCGACCTAACCTACACCAACAATTTTGCGAATGATGAACCTGTCATCTACACATGCTTGTTTCTGTCATCTTTTCTCCAATGGTCATCTCATCGCTTAGACTGACTGACAAGAACTGGCGGGGGAGGCGCAGTCTCGCTTGTCACAACTGCAGCATTTTGGACAAGCCATATCAGGAAAGCGAGTAACCGTTTATTAGATACAGAGCCCGATTGTGCAACATGATGTGTAATACTCAGCTGCCTCCTCCATGTGGCCCAAGTTACTCTCCTGCCTTGAATCGACTAGCTGACGATAAGCTTATGAGCATGAGCATCCATAACCCCCGCCTCGCTCTTTTTTTTCACAGCCAGCCGAATGGGCTATCGAGTGAGTCCACACGCATCTTACCTTGCCTCAGTAGAAACCGAGATAATACTACCCCCTTGGAATGTAACCAACCCTCTCCCTCTTGAAGCATTGAGCATCAAGTCGCTTACAAAATACTACTTGGGGGTGCATTTCACGGAGTACACCGACTGACTGCGTATATCAAGTGGGTGGTATTATTCTATCCGTAGGCACGGAGCATGGTAAGCTGATCATTTCACCTAGGTACGACTCGCAGATGCACCCACAGCAAACAAAAAAGTAGACCAAAAAACACAAATACTTCACAAAAGAATTGCATCCTATTTCCCTTGAAAGGGACCAAAAAGATTGACCGAGACAGGGGTCGAACCTGCAACCTCCTGATTTACTTAATCGTAGTCAGACGCTCTGCCATTGAGCCACACGGCCTATTGGATGAAAGCTGGCTGCGTTATTCCCAACTAGGAAGTTTGTACAACGCCGCCATCACGAATCATCCTCCAACTTTAGTAGTTGGAAACTGTTAGTTGATGGCCATCACAAGACATAGACTCGGAGCATATTCTGTGTGAATTATATTATGTTTTATATATGCTAATTCATTATACAAGGTAGTTACCCATCCTCCTTATTTGCCTCGTATTATGTACTCATGTACTTATGCTATAATAACGCCATATACGATGCGATGCTGAAAACACAACTATTAGCCCTCCTCTCTATCTTGGAGAATATCCACGTCTCGGTAGTCGTCTATAGTGAAACCACAAATGCTACAACTCCTTTCCGCCGTCCTGCAATTATCTATACTGTCGGTGTCCGCCTCCCCGAATTGCTGTATAGCTGATGCCAAGTCCCGTTCGACCCGCCATATGGTCTCGGGATCCGTAAAATCCGTGCCACTCCTCATCGTCGATGCAGTACTCGTCAGGAGAAGTGTTCTCTGACTGCCTGAGCAGCCCTATGCTCCTCATCCATTGGTACGCAAGCGGTGGCCTCATGGCTACCATGGGGAGGTCGCTCGGCGGAATGTCTTGCGGGTAGTGTATGAGAAGATCTGCTGCTAGACTAGACGCCGTCGATGTCCCGGCGAGTTCTTGTGCAGGCGAGCTTGCTTCGAGTTCCGTATCGCTAAAAGGCGATGGAGAACTGAGTAGCCTTGGCGACATATCGTTGATGGGCGCGGGTGATACGACATAGCCGTGCCTCGTATCTGATGCCACCGCACCGCCGCAGGTGACTGGTCGAGTCAAAACTTCGAGGGCAATGTCTGCAGAATCTTGCCTCCCCAACGTTGTTTCAGTCACAAAGTTGCCGGACCTCGTTGCGATCAGGCCGTTGCGCCGTTGGCGATTACGGCGGATTGTGGATCTGGATCGAGGCATTCGACGAGCTCGTGAACGCCGTAATGACTCGTGAGTAGAATCTGTTCGGGAAGTCCCGCTTTCAGAATCCGACACACTCGTCTGCTTTGTTGCCGAGCTCCTTTTGGATGAATTGGATTTTCGCGACATCTGGCTAGCTAACCTATCAATATGACGAATCAAAACAGCAGCCGCTGCGACCACCACCGCAAGAAGTGCAACAGCTCCTCCGACGATGCCCCCTAGCTGTGTGGTGGAGAGACTGCTATTTTCTTGGCCATTACTTCCGTCTGTCTCCGCTGGTGGCGTATACTTTGGGACAGTAGTGGCGGACGAACCGGTTGTTTGGGTGCCATCGCCATCGTTGGTCCGATCATCCAACGAGCCCAGGCTGGTCGGGACACTTGAGCTCCTGACGATGGTCGTAGTTGTCGTGATTGTGGTTATTGTGCCGCTTGCTGTAGTCGTAATGGCCGTCGTCACTGTCGTGGTGATTGGCTGAGTAGAGTGGCATCGACTAACACCACAGCCCATCCCATTGGGGCAACACCCATAGCCGACAGATGATGGGCAGAGGTACTGGCTGGTTGGGCATGAGTATGTGTGCGATGGTACAGATGAGGTGCTCGTGGTAGTCGTTTTCGAGTAGCAGCTATCTGTTGCGCAAGTATAGTTTTCTGGGCAACAGTTTCCACCCAAGTTTGCCGGGCACAGTTTCATGCCAACGCCGCAGACATCATCTTTCCGCTGCAATAGCATGGCGGGCTGTGTAATCTGGGGCGACTTGGCCGTGCGATGGATACCATCGTATCGTCTGAAAGCCAATGCGTCCACTGCTGAGGCATAGAGCGTTGCAGACAGGGTTAACCCGTATATTGTAGACGCAGACGCAAACATCATGGCCAGTGGAAGCCGCAGAGGATGGCCTGTAGCAGGCCAACTTGGATAGGAGGAGTGAGGTTTTGTTGATCATCCGGGATAAGAAGAGTGGTTGAAGATGATGATATAAGTTGTAGATACTTGCCCCAATAGACAAGGCTCCCCGATAGCGCGGCCTGAGAGTACGGCAAGGCGTCACTTTGAGCGTACTTTTTGGTCTGTTGACGTTGGTCGTAAGTGTCTTCGTCACCTCTATAGATATATAGCCGTTTGCTGATGGCCCGCCCAAAAGCAACGAGGGGGCCGGCGATTAAATGGTCTCGTCATGCTACCACGACTGACTGATACGAGGCTGAACATCGAGGCTGTATATTGGACAGTAAGCGCCCTGGGATCGAAGATCCAGTGCATTACCGCCGAACGCGCGGGCCGGCAGTGGAGATTCCAGCGGGATTCCAGCCAACAGGCAAGACTTCGAGAATGCGTGTGAATAAAATTCCTCAGCATCGCTCTCATGGATGGTTTCATTGCAGACCTCAGCCTCGGTGCTGAGTCCTGCAGTGTGGCAGCAGCAGCCATTCGACCCTTGCACCTTGCGCCCATCGCCATTGGCTGCCCCAGAGCAGTTCGCGTGGCACTCGTCTGATGTGCCAATGACAGCCTCCATATCTGGTGATGTTGGACGTTTGTCTCCGCCCACCCGACTGGCTGTTGATGGCACAAGGCCGCCAATAATGCGACGCTGCGGCAGAGCAACCCCCCCTTCTTGTGAGCCAAATTTAGATCATGATCCGAATACTGATGTGGCCGAAGCCTTGCCTTTCTGCCGGCCGGTCTCGATTGGCTTCACGATGGAGGAGCGTTGCAGCTGATATGACTGGGCGTTGTAAAAGCCTCTCCGAGGATGCCGTCAGATTGTAAGCAGAGAGGAAGAAGGAGAAGCCATCACGAAGGGCTCGGCCAGAGTGCCCGGATTGTTACTGAGTAGGTGTTGATGATTGATGATTGGAGGATAAATGATTCCTTGGTCGAAATTAGAGAAATGAAATCTACTTGAAAGAAACAATTCTATCTGGGCAGGTACCTAATCACTGAGGTGCATCGCTGTCTCCCGCCCGATAAGGTCCAGTGACATTATCTAATCAGGCGACAATGAAGCACAGCAAGAAATAAAAAGCAGCGACCCAACACAAGGTGCCATTTTGCCCAACCAGAGCCACAGAAGAGTCGCATCCATCGGTGCTCCAGGCATCAGTTCAAAAGCCGACAATGCAACTGGTCAAAAGGGGAAAAAAAAGATTTATTCGTTGGTCTGGGAGTTGGAGATGCTGAATCCAGGTTCCTACAACTTTGCCTTTGACATGGCGCGACAACGGAGTCAACGGCGAGAAGAGCAAAACATTCTGCTTGGGGAAGCGATCGCCCTCATCACGCGGTCGCAAAGGGCAAACAAACGTCCAGTCTTGGTGAGACGACAGATCTCGGAGACAGGCCCGGCCCGCCGCTGTCGATATCGCATGCAGGTCAGGATGACGGAGTAGCCACTCAGACTCTGGCATTGACATTTGACGTGCGGCAAGATTTGTGGAAAGCCTCGTCCAACGTGCTACTCGTACGAGCTACGGAATTCCTGTCTACCAATGCCGACGTTAGTACTGCTGCCACTTTTGCTGCTGCTACTACCTTCTCGTCTCAGCAAAGTCACAGACAGGCTAACAGTCAACTCTCGGCTGGTACAGGCAATGACAATCCCCCGTCTGTCCTCCGTCGCATCATATCGAAGGATTCCTTCCAGGCCTTCGGTAGATTTGGCGCGAAAACGTGGAGAAGTTCTTCTCAAGCGCTAGCCAACCCTCTCCCCCGCTCCAACACGCGCATGGCTGACTCAAAATTCTTGCTTCTCCCAGGCGCATGTCAGGGGTCGTTTGCTCTGTCTCCAAAGGCCGTGACCAATCAGCCCGAAATCGGTCAAACCTCCGTCGCTGGCTGCGGAGAAACGGCCAATACGAAGAGTCCTTGCTTGCACCCCAGGTTTCTCGAGCAGCAGACATGGCGAGCGTCTCCGGATCCTCAGCTGATGATGTAGCACAAGACCAGACGACGACGACGACGACGACGAGGATGACCATGGCTCTCACTCATCAAGGCCATCCATCTCCTTCGCTCTCCTTCGCCCTCGCCGTCTCCCAACCCCCTACCCACAGCCAGCTCGGATATCCATACCGCCTTGCAGCTGATGGGCACACCCAGTGCTGCGTTAAAACAGCGATCTTCAAGCCTGCTCGTGCCAACCCCGCATAGTGCCTCCACCTTTTTCGCCTCCAACTGGCTAGCATCTTCCAAGGGCCTGGTGCCTTAAGCGTGGCTTGAGCCGGCCGAGCAACACGCATCGTGGTGAGAGGATGCGTGACGTGAGGTAACTGTTAACTGAGGCGAAAGTGGGACACTGTGGAAGGGTCTGGAGAAACGGCTAAACCTCCATGTCCAAGCCGGCCTCAAATCTGCTGACCTCTCTTTTCACCATCTAATTATCTTCTCTTCGCCCGCTCCGTGTTCCCAGCTCGCTCCATCCGCCCATTCATCAATCTCTTGCGCCGCTATCCCCTTTGACGCTCTCCGCGCTGTCTCGCTCTCCAAATTATCCGCCTTGGGGGCAGCTCGCTCCTTGTCACCACCGCACGCGCACCCCTTCGGCGGCAATGCCAAAGTGGCCAACGATCAGGTGTCTCTTGTTCTCTCTACCGCCAAAATCACTGTCCGTACTTCTCAAGCGCCAGCCGGTGTAAAGGCATTCTCTGGGGCGCCGTTCCAAATCATAGACCCGTACCAGTGGATGATGGGCTGCTGAGGAATCTTGCCACGCCAATCCTCTCCTGCGCCAAGCACCAAGAACCGCCAGAAGAATTTGGAGTAATCTCCCAGAAACGTCGCAGACATGCTGCTGTATACTCGGCTTGCTCCGCCAAAGGTGCCAAAGCGCCGTTCCAGAGCCGGTAAGCTGATCCTCAGACACGTTTCCTGCGCTGCGCGACACCGAGAAAAGAAAGTATGCTAATCGCTCCTGTTGCTCAACTTGAAGGGTGTAACTATTGGTATGTTGTTTCTTGTTTCTGTCGCACTACAGAGAATTCCGACCGACTAACCCGGGCCCTTTTTCAATGTGTAGCAAAGAAAAGGTAACATGATTCGTCTTATTGCAGATTCCACTTCTATGCACGTCTAACACCTGCACGATAGAAGAAGAAGTGCGATGAAATCAGGCCCATATGCAGCCGCTGTCAAGACCACGGCCAGAGCTGTGTATATGAGCCCATCAAGCCTCGCCAGCGCCGCAGGCTAGACTCTTTCGACGATTCGTCCTTGACCGAAATATCGACGGCCTTGGAGCATCATGCGTTATCTCGAGCTGCTCAGAAACGGTTGACGTTGGGGCAATGGGAGGCTCCTCTTTGGTGCTCTGACATTGGATTCGATGAAAATTTTGCGCTGGACGAACACGTGCAACAGCCTGCTTCGGCGGTCGACTGCAACCAAGATGTCTTGGATGAAATATTCACGTCATGGGCCGCCGATACCAGAGCGCATGATGCCTGCCTAGACGCCGATGGGTTTGACTTTATCGCACCCAATGACCCTGTGAAGCAAGAAGGCGAAGGCGAAGGCGACGGCGATGACAGCCAAAACCCCTCCATCGATGAAACGGCTACTCCCGATACTGCATCACAAAACACATTTCTCGCCGTGGTTGGCCCCGTGTCGGTTGCATCTCCTACTATAGAGTTCATCATACCCGCCTTTGCCGAATTCTCCGATCAGGCTAACAGGCGAGCTCTGATTGACCACTTTACCAATGTTCTGTCCCACCTCATCGTTTTGCGCGAAGATGAGGGCAACCCATTCCAACGGCTTGTTTTGCCACTATCTCAGAAGAGCACGGCAGTCTCGAACTCCATCTTTGCCTTGGCTTCAGCCCACCTGGAGCACCGAGGTATACACAACAGCGAGCGGAGCGTTTATTTCCACAACAAAGCAATCAATGGATTGGCTGCTCTGATAGCAAAGGGATGTGATGCGAATAAGAATGAGCTGTTGGCCGCCATCATCCTCTTGATATACTACGAAGTGGTGAGCTACGCGTGCTATCCTGTTGTTTGGTAATCATCATTTTGATGCTAATGGCGCAATAGTTGGTTCAACGTGGGCGATCAAACATTGTCGATGGTCACTTAAAGGGGGCCATGGCGATCATGGGCAGCAGCCAAGCGTTGGCCGACCCAACCGCCGTTTTCCTGGAACGGGTGAGTTCCTTGCGACACAACATCCGCCACTTGTTTCCTCAGCTAATCAAGACAACCCTCTGCAAACAGGCATTCCGATTCTATGATGTGATAACAGCATTGTCATTCAACTCCACGCCCATTCTACCTACACCGGACTGTGAAAATTTCGCCCCGTTCCCCTCAGTTGACTGTCGCGGCGCTACTGTGCCTGCAGGGAACGTCGACACGCTACTGGGAATGGCCACTTCTCTATGGCCCATCATCTACCGGCTCTCTACTCTAGGCGGCCTGAAACGGCAGCTCCTCGCAGCCGAGCTCGGGGATGATGATTCAGAGACGGCAAAGCTGCGAATGGAGTTTGAGACTACGGCTTCGGCGGTGGAGTTTGCTCTGCAAGAATGGGTGCCTTCCCCAGACGAAGCTCTACCCAAGGACACAGATAATCCCATCATGACTGGGGTATCAGCAAAAAAGCAAATGCAGAGCATTCTCAACAGCGCTATGGCGTATCGGCACTCCGGGTTCGTCTATCTTTACCGTACCATCTACGGCTGTTCCCGACGCCATACCGTCGTGCAACGTCACACCCACATCAGTCTCACCCACTGCATGGAAACAGTGAGGAATAAAGGTCCCATGGGGGCCCTGCTCTGGCCGCTGTTTGTGGCATCGTGTGAGGCCATTGACGCAGAAGACCGAGAGCTCTCCAGGCAGGCATTTGCGGCCGTCAACCAGCGACAGGGCATGACTAATATCGAGCGAGCAAGATGCATAGTGGAAGAGGTCTGGAGACGAGCAGACAGCGGTGAGGATGCGGAAGATGCCGATGATGAGATTGTGCACATTAGCGAGCAAAAGAATGACTTGTGGAGAAGAGTCAGCCAAGACATGGGTGTGACGGTTGTCTTTGGGTAGGACATGATGGGCTATCTGAATCTTTGGTGCTATTCTGCTTTACGAGTCATGTGTACGGGATGCCTTGATTGATTTCAGGGCAGGAAAACCAAGCTAGTGATTATTTGATTCTTTTCAGACTACAACAAGCTGGACAAGGCGTATGGAGATCTAATGGGGTTACTGCTGGGGTTACTGCTGGGGTTAGCTGGCGACGTTTGGTGCTCTGGAGGTGAGGCATCGGGGATGCCATCACAGGGGCAAAGCGAGGAGATACCCAATAGGGGGGTTCCCAACAATACCAATATCAATGAAATATGATACCTTTACGGGAACCTTGGGCATCTGGCTACTCATGACATCGGGCCGAAGAGGAATTGGCACCAGGAGCGATGCAGGCCAAGCATGAAACAAGAACAAATGAAGCTATATACTACCACTCTGGTGCTAGGATACAGTGGTTCCTGGGCACTGTATACCTGTCAGAGACGGGAAGAGGGGATTACGTTCAAGACTTGTCTTTGCTTGGCAGGTCGTGGCGTGATATCAAAGGCCCAAATGCTACGTTGAATCAAGGCACCCGGAATAGTGATTAGAGTGCTTATTGATTTGACACAAAGGGGTGTGCATGAGCGGAGACGGGACGGGATGTTTTCACGTGCTAGAGGCGTATAAGACGGCCGGAGTTGCTAGGGAAATATACGCTTCACGATGCTACGCACGCAAGTGCCATCCCCACAGGTTTGAAGGATGCCTGCCGAGGTCACAGGATCAGATTGGAAAGATGGAGAAATGAACCTGGGATCCTGGCCTTGCTTTTTGGAGAGAGGCAGTCTTTTTTAGCGCAGGATTTGCACGGCATGGGGATGGGTTCGGAGACTACCCGAAGTAAGTCAGGACGCTCATGGAGATGAGAGCGATCAACTGGAGTGATGTTGATTTTGATTTCTATGGGTATTGGGTTGAGGATGAGAAGTTTTTGAGAACAAGGCAGTGATGGGTACCCGCGTACCCGCCTGAAGAAGAGGTTGGAAATTGCGGTTGGGTTAGCCGTGAAGAGAATAGAAGGGGTTGAGAGAGAAACTAGCTAGTGGTTTAGGCAGACGAATAAAGCGAAAGCAGGGAAGCCGAGCGAAAGACATCCGATTTGTTACTTGGAGCTATCGAGTTCGGAGTTAGCTAGGATGCTGAGTAGCCTGCACGAGACAGAAAAAGTCGGTCCGCGAAACAAGGCGGAATTCGGAGCAGCCGGATTGTATTTGTCGATCCCAAGGAATTATCTTGATCGCATGGAGTTGCGTGTGTAAGACTGGAGGATGTTGATGCTGGACGTTGCCTGATTAGGAAGTTGGGATAGGTTTTTGGGAAGAGTTGTGAATGATGTTTTGGCTGGACTTGACTTTGTCGGAGTTTGTGGCCCGCGTCGGTAGGATTGCGGGGGGTTGCATCGTGTTTGGGCATTGCGCTAGGAGGGATGCTAAATAGTCCCACCAAGGCTTGTTTTTTTGTTGGTTATAGTACGAGGATGCTGGAGTGAGTTACGTGGGTGTTTCTGAGGAGACACTGCGGGATGCTTGTATCGTACGACCTGACCAAGGAGCTGCGAAGTGAGTACTAGGTAGGGAAACTAGAGTGAGGCCAGTTGTTTAATATAGTTGAGAAGCTGTTTGTAGGGTTCTCAACTGCTGTAGTGCTTGTAAGACAGAGGTCCTATCCGAGACGAGCTTTTTTTTTTCTGTTCGATTTAGCTGCATGGGTAGATCTCGGATCGGAGGTAGGCAAAGGTCCGTACGGTGAATTTGTAAGTGCTAACAGAAGGGGATTTCGATGCCCGCAATCTGGCTATGCTGTTACAGGGAGGTCGGCAGTGCTGTCAGTGTCAGCGTGAGATTTGATGTGAGCCGAGAAGGAAATCAAGGGCGATGGGCCGGGAGAAGACTTCTAGAAGCCGGCTTTGAGACTTCAATTGTCTTGTTGTGTTGACTCTGGTCTGTGTACCTTAGGTACATTGGATGTACCCTGCGACAAGGACATGCTCCGTTGAGCGCTGATGGACGCTGTTTGGTGCGGGTATCCGGTACTTGGGCCTGCTGCAGCTGGCGCGTCCACTGCGGAGTACCGGTACCTTGCAGCCGCTGGAACTGCGCTCGACTGTCGTTGCTCCAGGCACGCCCCTAGAACGGAGAGTCTGGGGAGAGCGAGTACATGCAGCTGGTACCTCCAATATACCCACTGCAATGCACTGCATTTCCATCCCCATTCTCAAAACCTCCATCCCACGACAATTTCAGCCCAGCCAGCACAGCCCTATTTTTTTTTTTGTTCCGTGGACGATTAATGCCCTACTGCCATCACTCACTAGCTGCTGACTCCTCCCTAATACCTACCACCCATACGAGCACCATTTACTCGACTCGGGAATTCCTCGAGACGGGCGGCTGACTAACCGACCCGCGGCTGTCTACATTTGATCTCCCGAGCCTCTGCGCAAAGCGAGTGGTCCTTCGACTACACCAACCATCCTCCAGACCCAGACGGAAGCATCACCAGATTCGGGATCCCGCTGCTTCATGGCATAGAGACTCGACCCCCCTTCGACTGCCGAGCAAGCAGATCGTGCCGACTTGCCGGTCTCCGTCTTCCGTCTTCCGTCTTCCGTCTTCCGTCTCCGCTTGATTGCAGAGCCCACGCACGCACATGCGACTGTGTTGCTGCTCCGCATCGCCCTCCGTCATGGTCTAGCCATGACAACGCTGCTCAACAACCGGCCGGATTCGGGTCCCCCGCCGCGGCAGATTCGATTCGTGCACAACCAGGGCCAGCCGCCGTCCAAGCGACGCAGGATCAATGCAGCGTACGTTTGTTCTGTTCCTCCAGAAGTCTCGCGGTTCTGTTTTCCCGTTTTCGTTGCGTCATTGTTGGTGGCGAATGGACGGACATTATAAATATCTAGACTTTGATGTCTACCGATACCGGTCCAGGCACAAAGACCACTACCTCAAATAGACACCCAAGCTAACCGCCTGTCTCTTCTTGCGACACAGATGCTTGACTTGTCGAAGGCGAAAAACGAGATGCGCCGGCGAACGACCGCTATGCTCGACTTGCACTAAGAATGGCCACCAGTGCCTGGGCTATCCTGAGGAGAGGAGAGACGGCCTCGAGGTCTCGGGCCTGAGGCCAGGCGACGAAGATGGAGCGCCAATTGAAGATTTCAACCATGAAGACGACGTCGCCGTGACCAGGAAACATCCCGCTCCTGTTTCCGAGAACCGTCCAACGTCGTCTGGGAGAAGCAACGTGCAAGCTGCCTCCGCTTCCGCTGCTTCACGGCCATTGCGGCGCAATGTCGAGCCAAGCATTGAACTCGGAACCGACACCAACCCCAGCGACGCCGAAGCGCAACAGTCTCCCGTACTGCATCATCATCAACACCAGCCTCACCCGCACCACCAGGCTCATCTCTCAGTCACGTCTGATGACTTGCCTAGCTCCCCCACCCTGCGCCGATCAGCTCCTAGCCGTCGCATTCCTTATTTCCGCTATTTCGGTTCCACAGCCATTGTCCCAGGGTTCAAGCAAATGGTCGTCTCTGTCCGCGACAGGCGTCGTTCCACTGGGGGCTCACATGGTGGAGGCTCTCTTCAGTCTACTCCCAGTGGTGTCATGGCCAGCGGTTCGGCCATTGACAGTGACGTTGTTCGCGAAGACATTCCATCATACGACCCCAACAGCTCTGCTCCCGTCCCCCCCCTCATCATTCAGCTGGTCACAACGTTCTTCATCCATGTGGGCTGCAACTACCCCTTTATCAGCAAAGAAAAGTTCCTGCGCCATGTCAAGGAGAAACGCGTCGAGCCAATCTTGGTTGACGCCGTCTGCGCCATCGCGGCGCGGTTTTCAGATCATCATATCCTAACTGGTGGCAACGACAAGATGCCCCGGACCGAGAGGGGCCAAGTGTTTGCGCAGAGAGCCAGGCAGGCCACTGTTGATACCTTTCCATGCCCTTCCGTTGGCGCGGTTCAGGCCTGTCTGCTCATGGCGTACGAAAGCTTTGGCGCCAACCAGGATAGCGCGCTGTGGATGTATTTGGGCTTGGCCATACGCATGGCCGTCGACCTCGGTCTCCAAAAGTGCGTCGGGATCCAATATCAAGGCGAAAAGGATCCTTTCTACACCAGACACCGAAGCCGCGTCAATGATGATGACCACGAGAGCCCGGAGACGCACAAGGTTGAGGGCATCGATGCCCTTAGCCTAGAGGAGCAGAAGGAGGTGGAACAGGAGCGCATCGACACCTTTTGGTCCGTCTTCATCCTCGATCGAGTCATCTCCTCCGGCACTGGGAGACCCGTAACCATCCGAGACGGCGATTACGAGCTCGCCTTTCCCGACTCCAACAAAGACCTAGCTACCGGCTGGCCTAACCCATTTCCCGTCTTTCTCAAAATCATCAAGCTCTACGGTCAAGTGTGTGACGTGCTGAACAACCTTCACGACGCCCAAGACCTCACGCAGGACAAGTGGGATCAGCTCTCCGAGATGGAACACAGGCTCACGAGAATGTACAAGCACTGGGATCCGCGTCTCCAGTTCAACGTCAGCAACTTCAAGACGTATCTCGGCATGGGGCAGGGCACCAATTTCATCCTCCTTCATTTTTGGTTTCACGCGCTCTTCATCATTCTCCATCAGCCGACCTTGCTTACCCCTTTCTGCGAGCTGCGGAGCGAGCTTCAGCTTCTTTCCGACAGCCGTGAGCTGAGCATGAGCAGCGCCAAAACCATCTGCGACATCTTGTCCTTTGCTGACCTGATTGATCCAAAGAGCTTCATTGGCAATCCATTCACGAACCAACCCATTTACATCGCCGCATGTGCCTTTTTAATGGAATCCAGTGCCTCCTCCAACGGATCCGAGGGTTCATCCAGAGAGGGCACACCCCCGAATCAGACGGGCCGCTCCAAGAGGCAACCAAAACCGAACAGTAAGCAGTCTCGGCATTCGCTTCTCGCGTCGGCTGCCAACCAAAACTATCAACGATGCTATAATTCCATACAACAGATCCAGGCCTACTGGGGTGGCGTAACATACATTCTTACTGTCCTGGACCAAAAGTCAAAAGGCACGTGGGACTGCGAGACGTATACGGTGGAGGAATACGAGAGCACCAAACTACCTCCTCCTCGGCCTTCCATTGGTGAACAACTATCTCGGTTCGAGAAGCAGTCGTCACCTAAGATTGCTGGCTCGCCAATTGCGTGGAGTCTATCAGGAACGGCCAATTCGCCGAATTCGAGCCTGACGCTCATGTATCAGGCGTTTAACGCGAGTGGAATGCCCCCTGCTGGCTTCACTTCGCATGCGCAGCCAATGACTAGGCCATCTGGCGGTTCGCCGGGAAATGCAACCTATGAAGCTGCTAGGCAGGCAATGCCAGAAGCGGGAAGCATGTATTCGCCGCCGATTCCGCAGCCAAACATTTCCGCCATCAGGAACTCTCCTCGACGGCCGTATGCTACCAACCCGATGACTTCTTCCGGCGCAAACTCACGTAACCAAACCATGATGAGCTTTGAGGGCATCCCAGAAGAGTCTAACGAGGCAAAGCCGATGGTTCATTCTGGTTACGCGACCTCTGGCCCAGGATCTGGGGGATACGATACCTACAGTGTATCGCCCACCAGTGGACCTAATTCGCACGGCATGGCGAGCTCTGCGGCTGTGACTAGTGCTCCCGGGGCAACTGCACACACCAACATGTATTTTGCGCAAAACATGCCGTACCAGGCGGCGTGGGGTCCCATCATGGGAAATATGGATGCTATTACGTTTGACAGCCAAGACATTGACATTGAGGCTCTGGGGCTACAGCAGCCGGATCTCATGAGTGGTTGGCTTGAATACATGCCTAGCGATGTGTTGGGGTTGTTTGACGAGCATCAGGATTCCGGCCAGGGCAGTCACTAGGCGTTGTGAAGCTGTTGGCTAAGTATATGGTGATTTTCTCTCTGTTTTTTAAACCATTTGTTTGGCGCTCCGATATCATGTTAGCGATTGAAAAAAAATTGGGTGTTTTGGGAATATGGGGGGAGCCATCTCTTTTCATACTATATAATGTCTACAACATACAAACATACATGTTGATATCACTTTTTTTCTCTTCATCATGTTTAGTTTGGTTGTATGTGAATTAGTGTACCATTACAATTTGTCTTATGTCAACTTTGGGTATTGATGTGGCCAGTGATGACGTTTTGTTGATTCGATACAGACGTATAGTGATCTTTTAAGATGCAGTACATAGTTGTAGGGGCGTGTGTATAGGGAAGTGGGTTTCTTGGGATCATTGATGGTGTCCGGATCGTCGTGTAGATCTTGTGGAAGTAGGGTTTTTACATGTAAAGTGTGGCGCTAGACGTTTTTTGCTGGAATACGCGTGTGTGAGAGCGTAGCAGGGAGTGATGGAGTTGGTATTGCGCGAGATTGAGGAAGTGTTTTCTTACGTGGTGGCCAAAGGGAGACATGGTGGGTGGGATTGGAGGTGAGGAAGTAGGGGTGAGATGAATATAATAGGGGATATCATGATTGAAGATGGAAGAATCTCTATTAATTCTGAGTGAGAGAGAGAGGTTGAAGTGGAGGTTGTATAAGTGAGGTTGAGATGGAAGAGGTGTGATGAGCCGATTTCGGTGGCTTAAACTGACTGCATTTCTTTGGCGGGGGAGGGGCAAAGCTTTCGGGTTGTGAGAATGGCCTTACCCTGGACTGGTGCAATGGAATTTATCGAAATTATAGGATTGGTGCATTTTAATGGCAATTTTGCTCAATAATTGGGAATAATTGATTCCATTTATCATTGCATCAACTATTGATCAGTGCAATTGGCCATAAATAATGTTGAATTTGCTACAGGTAGTGCATAGCTTGTGCGATAGACCATAGCATGTACCAAGTGGACCAATCTCATAGCTGGAGCTACAAAAACAACTGCCGGCCAGCTTCGGCTTGCAAGGACGCAAAAACATCTACAAGCTTCGATTTCTCTCAATCACCCTTTCATTGCCTCAACTCACGACGCGCCTCCACCACAATGATACCCTCAATACGCTCTATATAGCATCTCATCCCTCTTCTCTTTTATCCTACCAACCGCTTCACAATGAAACTCCCTCAATTACTAAGCCGTAGAGCCACCAATGATCTACGAGCTTCACCATTTTCACCTCATCTTCATCGCCCTCTCACATCGCGGTTCTCGATAGACGCAGCCTCTCACCCTTGTAATAAAGTCCAAATCTACCTCTCCAAATCAACAGATCCCTTCCTCAACCTCTCCGTCGAGCACCGCCTCCTCCAAATCACGCCTCCAGACTCAACCATCCTCACGCTCTACGTCAACTCTCCCAGCATCGTCTTTGGTCGCAACCAGAATCCATGGCAACAGGTCAACCTAAACCGCTTGGCTCAGATTGCTCGGAATCCGTCCAGTGTTGGATGGAACGACTCACCTATCCAATTGATACGGCGGCGTTCCGGAGGCGGCGCGGTATTTCACGATGTCGGCAACGTCAACTTCAGCGTCATCTGTCCTCCTGAGCATTTTGATCGGAATAAGCACGCTGAAATGGTCGTTCGCGCCTTGAAAGCGCTGGCAAGACCGAACACGCGTGTCAATGAGAGGCACGACATTGTCCTGGATGTGGCATCGGATGCAGAAGCTGCGACATATAAAATCTCGGGCTCGGCTTACAAACTCACGCGTCTGCGATCGCTGCACCACGGAACTTGTCTTCTCCGGAGTCCGAACTTGTCGAGCATCTCTGGCTTGCTGCGTTCTCCTGCGCTTGGCTATCTAGATGCCCGTGGCGTCGATAGTGTGCGCCGTCCGGTGAAGAATATTGATGTCGGCAATGACGAGTTCAAGGATGCCGTTGTGGGCGAGTTTGAGAACATGTATGGCGATGTTCATTTTCGAGGTGAATTCGACGACACGGCGCTTCAGGTGGAGGAGATACGGCGAGGATATCAGGAGCTTCAGTCAAAGAGCTGGATCTGGGGCCAGACACCGCGGTTTACTTTTTCAACGCATCCCACAGAAGAGGACCCTCGACCTCGGCCAGAGCTGCCGTTTGATGTAAGTGTTTCCTCTTCTACTATTCTAGTGTTTATTGGCTAACGCTATGTTTCAAGTTGAATATGAGTCTTCTTGCTAGGCACGGCGTTATTGGTGAGATGAATATTAAGCACAGCGATGGAGCTGCTGTCGATGCCTTGGATGCCTCCATATTACAAGGTGTTTCAATATGGGAGATTGGCGATTGGGCAGAGTCGCTTACTCAAGCTGGCCTTGGAGGCAGCCTCAGCAAGGAAGCAGGGGCTTGGCTAAATGGTATATTCGGTACTGACTATACCAATATTTGAGAGAACTTTTTTATCCTTTAGAGGCTCATCCTCCTCTCGTAAATAGACAGAACCAGTTATATTTGAATTATATCGAATATTGAACTGTATTTGTACTTTCGCTTACTTATCTTATGACGGCCCTACTTATATGGGAATGAATATGAGCCCTCTTATCACCTTAATGCTTTACATCACGAGCTGTGTTTAACATTTGATGGCAGTTACCTTACCCACATACCAAAATACAGTGTCAAACATTGGGAAAGGATATCTCTTTATAAAATTACACATTACATAACTATCAACTATTAATCTAGGCCAATTCCCTTGAGAAACACACTTCTGGTGCCTCCAGTTTGATCGCACAAAGCTCTATGCGTCGACCAGCTCATCAAGGTCGTCATTACCGGCTGGGTGGCCGGGATCTCGTCAATAAAGCCCTCAGTTTCGTCAAGAGTTGTATAAATTGCCGCAAGCCGTACAGTAGATGCCCTTCTTCCTCCTCGGCAGTGGCCTTGTGATAATCTTTATGAGACGTCGAAGAGCATCGCCGAAGTCACGATATCAGACATGCAGTCTTGTGTGGTGTTGCAAAGTACGTGATACACCAGGGCGTCGTACTGTACCTATGTAATTAGGTGTAGCTTGGGGGAATCTGCAATGTATGAGTATTAATATTTGTACGGGCACGGGCTACTACGGTGAAAGTAGGAAGACTCATTGATACATGAGAAAGAGAGGCACAGCTGTTCACACGCTTTCAAGAGAGTGAAGCATGCGGCCAAACGAGACAGTGAGATTAGGAAACCAAGTCAAATGAACTACCTATGTAACCCTACTGAGATACGAAATAATCTCGAAAATCTGCATCTTCCTTAAACTTAAAGTATAGCAATCGTCCCGATTGACATCCAATAATAACCGTGTGCCCATGAGCGGCTGTCCAAGTCGGGCGATGTATTTTTGGCAGAAGAATCAATCTTTTCCCCATCCAAGTGATCCATCTCTCTTCAGGTTCATCCGATTCATCAAACCAGCCAGGACTAAACTCAAAAGGACTCCATTTTGTAGGCTGGATTTGGACTTTCTCATCGTCCATCATAGCATCAATGAGGATTGGGCCTAGACCCGTTATTATATACTCTGGGGAAAGTTCATTGGGGTAAAGTGTGTAGATTGTAACATCAGATCGCACTCTTTTCTTGAGTTCGCATGTTTGAACGTCCCAGATTGCTAATCCGGTAGAAGTTGCGACGATAAGACACTTTGAGTTGTCAACTAGCACCAATGAAGATATTGGGTCGTAGTCTGCTTTTTGCACAACCTTATGTGCCAATGGTAACTTTTGGTGAGCCTCTGAAAAGTCCCATAGCAATATCTGACCGTGATTTGCACCAGAAACGAGAAATTTGCCATCATGAGAGAACGTGGCACACATGACGTAGTCATCATGCCCTCGGAGTATTTCGATGCCGTCCACTTCTTCACCATTTTCCCGTTCACTCTCAGTTGAGTTTGAATCTGTCATCTCTTTAACATTCTGATGAGTGAGATCCCACACGCGTAATGTCCTATCGTCAGAACCAGACACCACAAACCGCCCATCAGGCGAAAATATTGCGCATCTCACCCAGCCCTCATGACCCCTCAATGTAAGTGCTTTGCTCTCGTCGTATGCGTCCCACACTCGTACAGTTTCGTCATCAGATGCCGAAACGAGGGCTTTGGAATCTCGTGAGAAGTCGATGAACCTGATGAAATCTTCATGGCCACGAACTTGTCGCCGAAGGATGCCAGTTTTTCCTTCCCAAAGACAGATTAGGCCATCTTCTGAACCTGAGGCGATTGTTTCTCCGTCATGAGAGGTAGATACCATGCAAATTGGTCGTTTATGGACTGAAGTATGCTGAGTTTCTTCTTCTTTTGCTCTGACATCGGTTCTTGTTCCAGTCTCATAATCCCAAATACGAAGTGTTCTATCAGCCGAACAAGTAGCGAGAAGCTTTTGAGACGGGGAAAACGACAGACCAAACACAGTCCCAGAGTGTTCCGCAAATGTCGACAACGGCTTCTTGTCATTACCATCCCAAGGTCCGGTCCATATTCTGGCTGTTCGGTCTCTCGAACTAGATGATAGATATAAACCATCATGAGAAAACGAAAGCCCAAAGATTTCATCTGTGTGGCCGCTAAGAATGGCCATCGTTGTGCCGGACCTCCAGTCCCATATATGAACCTCCCGGGTTCCAGCGGCTATATATTTCGAGTCTGGAGAAAAAGCGACTTTGCCGGTAAACTCTGCCGTTGTTCCAGCTGGCAATGAGAAATCACATAATTTTTTCAACCCATATTCCTTATCGTCCGAGGATTCTGCTTCGTTTGTTGCAGCAGGCTCACTAATTTCTCTGTGCTCGCTGTCTCGTTCCCAGACTGAAACGCAATTGTACTTTAGAGTTGCCAGCAAATTATCTTTGGAGAACTGAAAACTTGAAACAGAAGTCCATTGAACGGCCACTTTCCGGTATGCCGCTAGATCCCATATGGCGACTGTATCGCCTGATGCCACTGCTAGCATGCTTCCGTCAAGTGAAAAAGCCAAGTCCTGCACATGACGGCTGGTTCCCATTAAATTTATACCATCGGGTATATCCAGGAGCGTATTTGTGTTGATATTCCAAATCTTAAGATTCCTGTAATCTGACGCAGCCAGGAGTCCCTTGGGAGACAAAGCGATAAGATACACATAATGGTTGAAAGCTGGGATCTTGTGTTGCAATTTCCCTATTTCTGTGTTCCAAATGCATATCGAACCGTCGTCAGAGCCAGAAACCAAGTGCTTCCCATCGTTCGAGAAGGCGCAACAGCGAACATAGTCCAAGTGTCCTTCAAGAAGATGCACAACAGGGCTCCATTGATCATCTGTGGCTGGTGGGACTATCAGTTCTGTAAACCTTTCGGTTAAGAATTCTTGTCGTGCATTGCTACTTTTGGGATGGAAAAGAAGAGTGTTCAAATCGTTGGGCAGTGTCTCTTTCTGTGAGAGCTGTTGAAAGCGAAAAGCCTGTTTAACCTGATCCAGAATTTCAAGAAGCTTCTGAACAGAATCATTAGGATTGGAAGCATATGACTGAACGCTGGGTTAGCAAATATCCAGATCACATGTCTCTCGAAATTAGCTGTAGGGTCTGTAGGGTCTAAACACACACCTTGACGAAGTGAGATTCCAACTCACGCAGCATTGATGAAGCTTGAGACAACCAGCCAAATGAAGCGAGGCAGGACTGCCACTGCAAATGATGCTTCATGAGGAAATTAAGCAACGTATCCACAGTATCTTTCTCTGAATTCTCCATAGAGATGAGATGTTTCATCCAAAAAAGAATGGGATACTCGATAGACTTGGTATCTTCCGCATCATGAGCGTTACGAGACAGGAAGGTCGACGTTAGATATAGACACCTCTGTGATATTGACTCTTGTGTTTTAACATTTGCAGTTCCAAGATCTTCCTGAATGAAGTCTCTAGCTGTCCTTTCCGTAAAGCAAACTGTGTCTTCGCACAGTTGCAAGAAGGCGAAACACTTTTTCTCAATCAGGAGTTTGATGTCAACTTCTGGTGGAAAGTCCACAATAGCTCTAAGCTCGGTAATATGGAGCGGTCTGTACACTCCCGCCATTACCTCAAGTACTTTGGAGCAATAGACCCTGTCCTTTTCCACATACCCTTCAATGAAACGTTTCATGAGAGTGTATAATGGACTCTTGTGAACAAAACAGAGGCTTGATAATTGATCTAGCATGTCAATAGCATGCCATGGCTCAACTCGCTTCAAAGCCTCGCAGGTTAAATCTACCCGTAGGACATTGCCAGCCGATATATCGCTGAGCTTGGATGTGATTTGTGATCTGAAATTTCTCGAATAACCATATTGAGCCAGTTCATCAATCTTGGAACGGAAGTAAAACTGCTTAAAAATAGGCGCGATATCTGCTTCCTCGAGGTTGAGGTTGGGATAAAGCTTCTCGTTAAGCTTTTCACAAACTTTCGGGTACTCATCAAGAGCATCCGATGATATCAACCACTTGACTTTGGAGGATAGATTGAGAGTTGCATTGATCAAATCTATAACGGAGCCTAGTCCGTCGAGGCCACCCCCAACTTCATCGATGCCGTCTATGAGAAACAATGTGGCGAGGAACGATTCATCTTTCACCATATTGCATAAAATCATCGAAAGTGCATAAATGTCATTGCTGCCGAATGGGTGCTTTCTTTTCGTCTCTGTGCAATGATTGACCAGATGTTTGGCCAGCTTTGGCTGTTGGTCCTGCACAAGATAGATGATACTTTTGACCATTGACGTAGCATCCTCTATTCTCAATTGGCCATTACGGCCAGATGAGAATGATATATGTATAATGTTTCCGATTTGGTGTTTTTGCGGGAGATATTCCTGAATGATAGCTCTCATGATCATCTTGGTACCCGTCGCTGGGGGGCCACTGATCCAAAGCAAGCGCGCCTTATCAAAGAGTCTGTATTGTTCTGTTGATGACAGCCACTGATATAAAGGCTTGAGAACTGAGTCGCCGTACTGGAACATGTTTGGAACATCTTTCCGTGGGTCTATAGCATTCAGAAGCTTCAGAGACCGTTTCAAGCCCTCAAGCTGGATAGTAATATCTCCTGGAGTTGCCTTGTCCAGTTTTGCGTTTGTGCAATTGATCAACTGGAGTATTTGCAATTGCACATCTCCTGTAGAGAAACATGCCAGTGAATTCTCTGCATTGATGATTTTGTTGCAAAGAGTTCCGCCCAGAAAAGGCGACTCTTGACCAGGCTTAGTGAGGAGCGGCTTGAGAGGGTGACCGTATTGATGACAAATGATTTGAACTTCGCATAGGATAATCTCCTGGTAGAGATTAATGATATGCATCTTTAGGGATGCGCGTTTCTCATGAGAAGATTCCTTTTCAAATATATCCTGAATAGCGCCATTGTGTAGCAGAGTAGGCAGTATATTATACCAGGCCATTCTGGAAATGATGTGGGTAAGGCTTGACGTAATATCATCTGATCCAAGTTTTGGGTCCGTGAGTTTCTACTCTTCTGTATTAGTGATTTTCTCCATTGTGACATCTTCAGAGATAAAGATAAAGAAATACCTCCAGACACAGGCACAGCCCTGCCCATGGTATAGCTGCATCCGGAAGATTACAGACCGTATAATTGATGATGTCTCTTGCTTGTTTGCCCATACCAAGTTGCTGATTGGCATCCTTGGAATACTTGCTGCCATTAGAATTGAGACAAGCAGATATAATCTTGCTCGCTTTTTGTTGTCTCTCAGAAGGGCTGAAGAACGCAAAGTCCTCAGATTCTTGGTCGATCATAGGCAGAGGTGCTGAGAATGCGAAAGGCTCTGCTTTCAGGCATAATTCTATGACTTTCTCATATAATTGAATTTCCCGAGGAGCTTGAGATTTGACCAAGTCATATGCCTCATCCCAAAGATTCGAGATAACTGGCGAGACAGATGCCATGAAATCTGGTTTGAACATTTCTGTGGACTTTGACGATTTATCTTTTTCGATTTGCTGAATCTCTCCTATGTTGTCTTCAACCCTTTTGTGCTCCTTTGTATCAATAGTTAAATACTTAGGATTCTGAAAAGTCGACGGAGTTGAAGTGTCATCTTGAATAGCAATACGATTTGCTTTTCGTAACTCTTCAAGCTCCTCTTGATTTGGCTCTGGTGCCATGTTTTTTGAACTTGGTGAATTGATAACCCAAAGGGACAATTTGCAGACTATGAATCAAGTCAACAGTGACCAAATAGCTTATATCCTTAAGTGAATACTTCGGGAACCCTATACACGTTGCAATCAAGACCTAGGACAGACAGGAGTTGACTGGGTCAGGGGCAGATACCCCATCAACCCTCAGATACGATCTCGGATGAGGGGTAAGGCGTTTTGTTACTATTTGTCGTACAAACAGTACTCCGTGTAAACTCTCTTTAATTGGAAATGTAGTTACCCGTCGTCGGAAATGATGAACCACGTAGACCACGTAGATGATGCGGGAGATCTATCCAATCATACGTTGAAAGTCTCTCACCGCCTGATTGCGATACCGGAGTGGTAATATATAATGATACGTGGCTCTCGGGATTGTAGGAATTTGTTATCGTTCTCTGTAGTACTAGCTGCCCTATTATTACACAAACAGTAAACTCCACAACTATAAATAGACGGCAATTCACAAGATACAATAACACTAGTCTACATGCATCACTTTATTCCTCACCTAAGACGGCGCCAAACACTAAACTTGATCAATTGTTCAGCTCATTTGAAGCATCTTCACAAACTATGAATTGGACAAACGTTTGCAATTTGGATAAAGAAGATCCATCGACGGAGTTGTCCTTCGACCTCTATGAAGACTTGAATCATGAAGCAACTCAGCAGTCAGGCAGTCTCAAAACCTACGAAGTAAAGGAGCAAGGCGGTGCTATCTACGACAGAGAAAAGTCAGGGCACCGTGTGACGGTCGAACGCCTTCTCTGGGTTGATGGTATGGGACATTCCATCGTGAGAGGCGAGAAATCTACGGCCAAGAAAGAAATGACTCTTGTTGTGCTCAAGATTACCCTTGTACCAGAGGGTGACAAGAAATTTTGGTATATGAAGGCGTCTCTGAGTTTTGAAGGCGAGGAAAAGAATGGCATTAACGATCCTCATGTTCAAGCATGGGCGCCCTTCAACAGTTCGAAGAGGTGGAGCCCGACCGTGGTCCATCATACGAAATCTGGCAAGAAAGAAGGAAGCGTGAAAGTCAGTCATTCTGTGGCTAGTGTAACAGGTAGTTGGAGCAGAGGAAGCGAAGTGTCTTGGGACCAGATTGTCTTTGCCAATGGAAACTCCGACCCGACGATAAGCGAAGAGACGGGAAACCGGAACGGTGTGGAATGGATTGTGCAACATGACAAATCGCAGAATGCCGGTATTCCCCAGAAGTTGTGGGTTGCCGTTCTCTTATCGCGACCAACAGCGAAGCCATACCGGGCAAAATTCGAGATTAACGCTCGAGTGGGCACGGTGGACGACTTGAAAAATAAAACAAGGGCGTTCTTTGGCTTCGATCCACGCAAAACCAAGCCATTCAGAATAACTCCAGGGTATCACCAGCTGTGTTGTTATGAAGGCAACGACCTAATTAAAGACATCGATCTCAACAACCTAGACGCATTACGATCTGCAGACGATTCATCCATGTTGGATATGAAATGGGGCCCAAAATATCAGGTCGAGGCGGCTCTGGAGAGGCCAGATAACAGTTGGGCGACAACGGACGTTTCCAAGGACAGTCAATCGAAAACCTCGCCAGTTTCCAAGGAAACGCTGGATCAGACGGCAACTCCAGCTGAAGAGCCAGCTATCCCAGTCGCGGCTGAAAGTATCCAGCCACTGCCGCAGCTGAATCCTCCTCCCTTAGTTGTCGGTTGGCACAACTCAGGCTCAATGGCGAACATGGACTCAAATCGGCTGACAGGGTTGGAAGAGCGCATGGCCCGGCTAGAAGCTCGGCTACACGAGCAAGATTCTACGATTATCGCGTTGCAGCAGAAACTGTTGGAAAAGGGGCGTAGCTAGCGGTCTTGAGGTATGACAAACATGGCATGTAGATGCTTAGCCAATGAGATGAAGGTTCGGGAACTGATAGGATACTCGCATTAGGTCCTTTAATATATTTATCAAGTACTCCGTATAAATAATCATATTATACATACTATATGATCAGATAGATGCCCAAGTGCTACTTCAAAGCGTAACACTGGTAGTTCCCGACGCCTCCTCATTGGGTGTTTCCATCTGTTACAATTTGTGGACTTCCAAATTATCTAAAAAAAAGTGCAATATATTTGCAACAAGTCAATAGATATGGTTGTTGTTTTTTCGTATTATAAATGTTAGTCTTGCCTACAAGCTTGAAATTTCGAACCCTCAATTGAAGAGACAAATTACCCAAACTGTGTCAATTATTCCCAGCCAGCCTAGAACCGCGTTTAACAACATCCCGGAAACATCTACGAATTACGGAGCCATACAAACGCCAAAAGACGCAAGAATGGAGTCCTTTGGAAAGGGAATGAACGAGAAATTGAACGAAAAATCGAAAGGCCTGAAGGGCCTTCGACACAACTTGAACTATCTGGCCGATACCTTATACAATGAGATCAACAGCCGTTTTCTTCGTGATCTAGGCCAAGGCCAGAGAGAAATATTGAACGAGACAGAAAACGAGATAAAAAACTACCTCGAGAATACCAAAGATCAAATTATAGACGACTGCATACTATGGCTCATTCTCATGAATGCGGTGGAGAAGTTTGAACCGGCATCACCTGAAGATATAGCGCCTACACCTACACAAAAAGACAGCAGCGATATGGAAAACGACATGGACAATCCAAATTTCCGAATCATTCGCATCATACTGGATATAGCACCGCATCTATCGTTTGAGAGTCTCCAAAGCCCCGCGAGTGAAATCATTGGTTGGGATCGAGAGAGTGTAATGCAGCGGTGCAAAGCGAATCACCCACCCGGCAGGGATAGAAAAACAACGCCGTTTCACTCTGCGGCCCAGAGTGGACATGGTGACATAGTCGCGCATATGTTAAACCAGGGGAACAGCCTCCTTTCCACCACGAATGGCGGCTGGGACCCCCAAGACTTTCTCAATATGCTTCAGCAACCAAAGCCGGACCGTCGGCATGCTCGTTCTGCTCTTAGCCTCGCCGCGATAAGTGACAGAGGGCTGGAAACCGTTGAAATTCTTCTCAGATATAATCCAAAAATCGCAATCAGCCCAACCGACAATACATTCGAGACAAGCTTGGAAAATGGAGATAATGACATTGTCGACGCATTCTTCAAATACGACGACTTACAAAAGAGGTTTACTACAGCTGAAAATATTCTTTTGGCGCTGGAGTATTTGAAAACAAATACGCCGGAGCAAGGAGATCCACCAGAGAACTATATCAAGGTCGTCTGCACGCTAATCAGCCATGCTCCAACAAAGGAAGAAATCAATAACGAGGTTGTCAAGGAAATTATCCGACTCAATTTGAGGTGCGTGTGGGAGAAAAGAAATAAGAACATCAAGCTAGAAATCTCTGGATTTCTTCATATCGCTGTCCAATGTCAAAACGCTGAGTTTGTAAAGATGTTCATGGATGAATATCCGGAGTCCGTGTTCAAACCAATTGGCAATAAATATGCCCTTTGGCACAACAACCACTTGGCCTCTAAGGAATTTCGAAGCATGGAGGAGTTACAGAGCGAAGCAAATCGCAGCATTCGCGACATGTTGGTCACCAAAATCATCAAGGGGGACCCAACTTTGAAGATGCAGCAGCTCTTGGAAATATTCCGAGACTCGAAAGGTATGTTCATCCTTTGTATCACATGGTTGAATCACAGAGATTAATGAGCCCGCCGAGCGACTTTGGAATGTAGAAATTGGTGAGTTTGTCATGAAGAATGGATCAAACCCAACGACCCATTAGAGTCTAATATTTTGCAGTTGACGAACTATGCTTTGACCTCTCCCGTTTCAACTCGAAGAAATATCCAGTGTCTGATTTTGTGCGTTCACTCATCAGTCACCAAGACAACCCAGATCTGTTGTCCTACGAGCATACTCTAAAATACGCCGAGTTCCCTGAATTAGACGCGAATGATGATGAAAAGGAAATATTCGGCGACGGTGTTCATCATGAACACGACGAAGTTTTTCTTATCCTCGACTGGCTGAGAAACGATAAAAAGGTTCGCGAGATAATCCAACTCATAGTGCCGGATAGACTTGTGAATCCACACAACGAAGTCAAGATAGGAAACTACGTGAAGTTGTTCCAAGTCCAGGTTCTCAATTGGCGGTTCCTGGACCTCTCTATTACGGTGCTCCCTGACCAAGAAACGAAAGAGAGGATTACAGTGCTTCATTTATACGCAAGCGGTAAGAGGGCGGCTATCAGCCATTGGACCGGTGAGAATGGTATCTTGACGCTTCCCAATGTGAGTACGGAGTTGACGATTCAGTTTTGAAATGTGCTAACCAGCTATATGGATTAGCTTACAAATCTTAAGATTCATATCATACAGGTTGGGAAATTGCTGCTGACACTGCCGTTCATAAATGACTGACTTTTGCGTTCAAGGACTTGATGACGAAGGAGAATGGCGACTCTACAACTCAATACATCAGCCAAGAATTTGAAGTCTTGGTGAAGGGTATAAACAATAAAAGGAAGCAAAATGGCCGAGATGAGCTAGAAGTGAGCTGCACTCTTGATTCATGGAATCCTGCACAAATGAGATTGGCAGACCTAGAAGAAATGTAAGCGTCATCTCTGTGCACATGTGATCGCCGTATGGTACACGACTGACGTTTAATTACCTTCAGATCCGAACGAGCTGTCCCTAAACTGTATCGTTTCATAAAAAGCTACCGAAAGTATGTGCGCGACTTACGAGTGAACGAAGGATATGCATTCAGGCCAATAAAGGTCGCACTGATCGATAATGGCGTTCTCAGCATCTCGCCACGAGCTGAGAACCTTTGGGATCACTCCAATCATATACATACATTCGACAAGTTATCAAGCAATGGCACCTTTCAGAATTCCAACATGAAAACCCAAGGCGAAGACCCAAAGGACCAAAGTAATGATGTCAAGTCAAATGTTAGAAAAGAGACTGAAAACCACAAGACTTTATGGTCTCGCATTAAGGGCGGCAGGTCTTTCGTGGAGGGCCCTTTTCGAGTTAGCCCATGGTTGTTCGCGTCCAATCCACACGGAACACAGATGGCTAATTTAATATGTGCCATCGATCCATGGTGCGACCTCTACGTGGCCAAGGTTACAGAAGGCAGGGCTGGAATACTCTCTACAAGGGTTACAAGAGTATGTTGAATCCATGTCTTTATAATTCAAGTGGTCTGAATTCGAGGCTAATTGCTGTTGTCTGCATTACAAAGGCAATTGAATGGGCAATTTCTCAAAATGTTGACATTATTTCGATGAGTTTTGCTATTTCGGAGAGGACTAATGAACTTGAAAAGGCTTGCAGAAACGCAGCCGATAAAGGTATTGTTTTGCTTTGCAGCACTCATGATGAAGGCCTCGGGGTTTCCACCACATATCCGGCAGGCTTTCATGACACCATTACTATCACTGCTTGCGACGATTATGGGAAAGTACTTCGCCCCGGGCCCCCAGACGACGGAGGCTCCTTTCAATATAAAGTCCAGGGCCAGTCGGTGGCGGCAGGGGTCATTCCCTTTCTGGACTCTGATGATTATATTTCAGGAAGCTCTGTTGCTACAGCCATTACTGCAGGGTTGAGCTCATTGATCTTGTCTTGCGATAGAATTGCCAAGAATCCGCCGGGAAACTCTTCTTCAAATGAGGGCTCTTCAAATGAGAGCTCTTCAAAGAACGGCCATCCAAGCACTCCCGTGCTTGAAAGGCAGAACAACTACAAGAAGAACATTATAATGAAGCATCTAAAAGAGATGCTAGCAAAGGAGAGTAAAGATTACATCTTATTGGAGAATTTTGCTGAAATCAACAAGAAAATTCAGGATGGACAGGACATTAAGGCCAGTGAAATAATCAGATCATACTTTCGATTAGCCACCTTTAGCGAGATATAGTTGTCAAATCGAGACACTATTGCATGTTGTGTGTTGGAATGGTAGTTGTTGCGAGTTCTTTTTTCATTAATATTTCGCGAATAATAAATTTTCATTTTGTTGTCATTCCTCGTTCCATGATGCAAAGGTTGGTGAAATATATCAATACCAGATAGTCAAATCTTTGATACCCGTCGCTTTCATATAGTGTGTATCCATAACCGTAGCGTCGATAGATATTTCTTCAATACAAGTCCCGTAAATAAACGTAAGTTTGATAGATATTGCTTTGGTATATTTTCTATCAATGGATGTAGATCTGATAGACGCTCGTTTTGACAGATGTTGCATTGATAGATGCTACATTTCTGGACTTGTGGCGGTGACAGCTTCAAGGTGGAGCAAAAGTCTTGGTGGAGGATCGTTGCTAAACACTTCCAGCAACAACGATATGGCTTTTTCCCGAAACTCTTTGCCCTTCTCAGCCAAATCCTGCGCATAATAAATTTCAGCAGCGTGCTTCAAGCTATTATTGTCCGCTCACTTGTGTCTCCAGACGTGGTACGAATTATCGCCAGGGCTTTTAACTGAAGCTCCCCGGCTTCTTTGAATTCTTTTGCCAACAAGTGGGCTGCAGCAAGCCCCTGAATTGCAGTGGCCGTCTCGATATGTTTCTCTTCGAATGCGCTCTGTTGTAGAGAAAGAATTTTCTTCCGAAGCTCCTTGGCTTCGCCAAACTGGCCTTGCTCAGTTAATTGATCTGCGAGTATTTCCAACCCATCTACCATGGGATGCTGCTCCAAGCCTGCAATTGAGCTTCCCGCCCTAACGAGAGTATTTTAATTTCAAACTCATTGGCTTCCTTGAATTGGCCTGCCAATCTGAACGCCTACGTGAGGCTTCCTATAGTAACCACCGTATCAGGGTGCTTTGGTCCGAGAATTTCATTGCGCAGTGCCAGGACTCGAAGTTTTAATTCTGTCCCTGTATTATAAAGCTTCTGTGCAATATATATTGATGCAAGTATACTCATTGCGGTGATAGTATCAGGATGCTTATCACCATAGAGTTTCTGCCAAGGTGAAAGCTGTTTCTCTTGAAGTTCCCGGGCTTTCTTGAGCCGGTGTTGGCCAACATATGCTAGTAGAAGGAAGGCCATGATTCCAATTGTGAGCCGGTGCTTCTCTCCCAAGGTCTTCTCTGATAACGCGAGCGCTTCTGATGCGTATCCGTCTTATTTCTCAATTAACTCTTGGGAATGGTGTATTCTTGCGAGTCCGATCAAAGGCCCTATTGTGACCATTCCGTCACCGGAAGCCTTCGCCAAGTGTAATTGCTTCTTTGCCGTATCTTCTGCCTTCTTTATAAATCCGGAGTCATAGAAGTATTGAGACACCCTTCCCAGCAATTTAGACACCATGATTCTGACTTCAGATGTTTCTTCTACTTTCCATTCGCTGACTTGTATGACATGAGCTGCATATTTCTCGCACAAGAGCCACGTATCTCTTTCGATTTCTTGGGGGAATAGATCCTCAAGGGCCATCAGAGCTACTATTGCAAAGCAGTTCTCCGGGAAAGTACTCTGTGAAGGTATATCGTATGGATTCTTGTACAAGCTTATGGGATAATGTGCAAAATTCTATAGGCCATAAGGCTTTCACGTCCAATGTGTTGGATCGAGATATTCCACGTTTCCAGGACACTATTTGGGATCTTAGGTCTTCTGTGTTTGTCATGTTGAGTCCTTTTTAGCGTGTCGCATCTGCGTTTACCTGTTAATAGTCTTGATAGATACTCCTTAATAGGCGTTGAAGTCCTCCGTATAAATGATCCGGCTTGTGAGATAGTCAAAGGGAGCAACCGAAGCTGTTGAAGCAACAGTCTAGTATCTTGAATCTCGTTCTCTCGAATATCCCCGCCTCTTACCACCGAGAATAGTTTTTCCGCCTCTTCGATGGCCATGTGAGGGATCTGGATACCTTGCCGCGAACCAACTAGGGCAACAATCTGTTTATCGCGGCTGGTCCATAGAACAGTTCCTCCAGGGCCTCCTGGTATGAGCTTGAGAAGGCTTTTGGTGTGATCCATTGCACCGACACCGAAGCATGCGACATCTTCCGCATTGTCGAGAATCAAGAGCCACTTCTGCCGCAACTCGATGCAGTGACGTACTGCTAGAAAAAGCTGTTCGCCAGTAAGCTTCGGATCCAGGCCGAGCTTCCTGGCAACTGCGTGGTAATCTTGTGCGAAACTGGTTTCATTATCGGCGTGCACCCAGAAGATGTCGCAAGCAGGATCTTCATGGCTTCGGCGATAGGCGTAATCGAGGGCAATTTGGGTTTTGCTAGTACGGCGCTCGTGAGCTCAGATCGACATTATGGACGTATAAATGTATCAAGCACTTACCCCGATCCACCAAGACCCCGTAAAGCGGCACTGCAGTATCGGCCCTCTTTAGAGAGTGACAAAAGCTCGTCAAGTTTGGTGACGATCCCTGGACGGCGGACGATATCTTGGTTGGGCGGGAAAGGAAACACGTAGTAGGCTTTCCGCGACTTGTTGAAGCTGTAGTCAAAGATGTCCCCTTGGTGGATCTGGGTGTTAGGCCCAAAGATGTTGGAGGATATATTATGATGGATGCTCATGATTCCTATTTTACCTAGGGCCTGATAGGAGACAAAAGTAATGGTAGACAAGACGAAAGATACGAGATGGGTGGAAATTCAGCCGCATGGGCGTCTTCATTTCTGCCCAATCTCACACAGCCGCACCCATTACAGCCAACAACTAATAGGCTCGCGGCTGTGCGCAAATCCGTGGCCTCACACTACTGTACAGAGCAATGCAATCTCAGATTAATGGCGGGTGAGAAATAATAATTGCACAAGGAAAGAAGACGGTGAGTCTGTGAGCGAGAAGTTGAAAGAATTGGCGAGATTCAGGATACTCCAGCCAATGGAGCTGTATGTTCTGAGAGCATTAATGTACCAGCAAGATTCCATATGGGAGTAACTCCATTTAGTCCTCTGCATACTGCCAAGCCGGTCGAGTCAGGCGGTTACCTAGATGAACGAGACCGAAAGGGAACACTGATCGATACCTGTTTTGTAGATGCCGACTCTTCTCATTCATAGACGGCTACGCTTTTCTATCTTTACGCTTCTATCGTACCGTTGAACCCTCCCTAATTATACTTGAGAATTCATACCTTGAAAAATGAACATCGAGTGAGTTGAGTGTGTAACAGGCATAGCTATGACGTTTATTTATATGTCGCGTATGGAGTTCGGTTGTTAATATAAACGATTACATGAATCATGAGTTATAACTGAGATACGGGGGCTGATGCACATATACCCTCGTCTGTCCAACTATTTTATGCGAGAGTAAGCCGAGAAACATGTATACTCTTTACGAATTGCCCTCAACCATATTGTAGCTAGGCCGTCAATTTCGATATTTTTCTCAAAAGACCATGTCGTCTTCTTCAAAACATGTGCCATCGATAATAGCGAACCATGAAAGGACTCATTATGACGTTAGATCCATAATCAGCCGATGCAACTGCTCTCACCCACCCTTCAAGACCCTTCGTCTTAGCCAATATCTGTTTGCTTTTCGAAACCTCCAAACGCCAACTTCAAAGCCTGAGTAGACGCCCTGAGCAATCACCGCACATTCTCTATAGAAAGCCACTTCCAAATACAAGAAAAACTGAAAGAAATGTCTGTGATTAATACAAAGACCATCTCGGAAGCCCCCTATCTAAGACAATGCTACGGCTGGTTGAACTTCAGCATCCGCATCATCCGCATCACCCGCAGGGTCCATTGTCCCCTGCGGCCACAGCCGTTATGCATAGACAAGGATGATCGTCGAATACCTCAATACCATGACTCCATTGAAACTGTATACAAGTGTCTTAATTATAGCGAAAACGGCCCGGCGTTGCTAAGCTGTCGGTCGAATTTCCGTGACTCGTACCCGGCAGACTCGCCACACAAGGAACTGGGCGAGCACTATGTTGTTGGGTGATGTTGTCCACACTAATCGATCTAATTAAAACAGCAAAAACTATGAAACTCACGATGTAGAGGTAATGCTGAAAAGTTGAAACAAACGTTACATCTCCTTACGGGATTGGGAATGATCAAGTATAAAGTATACCAAGCCAATGAACCAAGAATCCTTAGTCCGTCTTTAAAGAACATACATCACATCTCGTATTGTGATATTCCTCACCTACACAAACGCCGAACCTATGAGAACCCAGTCTCTCCTCCTGTCATGTCGTGCAACTCCCCCAAGACACATCACATTTCCGCATTCGCGTCCGCGCAGCTTCACGCCAAGTAATCAATGGCAAAACCTTGCACACGTGTTCGCCCATGGTATGACAATCCGAGTCACGACGCCGCCACGAAACTGGCGATTCGAGGCAACGAACCGTGACTCTGAAGGCCGAGTCATCTTTCTTGTCCAAGGCTTGCTCATCCCAAGGGAGACCAATAACGGCCTCTCGTAACAAGTCATTATAGCTAACAATGAGTCCAATGGCGTGTGTGAGACCGTGCAGGATACTGTGCCCCCCGACAACGCCCGTTCCGTATTACTGGTATGCCGTATCTAAGCCGTCACGCGCCTAAAAATAGCTTCTGCTTTGGTGCTAGCAGAGCAATGGAGGACAGTGTGTGTGTGTATGTGTGTGGAAGAAATCAGGCTTCCGTTGCCTCTATTTCCAAGTTATCAATTGATGAATTTTGTGATGGCCAATCCTAGGCCGTAGAGTAACATCCCTCCCAAAACGCCATAGTAAATGAACGCTGCGCTCATCCAACATGCTTTCTGTATATACATATAAAACAAATCTATCGGGTTATTCCACCATTCGCAGCGGCTGAGGTTATCAAGATTGAGTGAGGAGTAATGCTTTGGTTGATTTAGAGCCCCATGAAGATTGAGTGAGGAGTAACACTTTGGTTGATTTAGAGCCCCATGAATATCAACTAACGGGGTGCGATGTTAGCCACCACGTTCCGAACAAAGTATAAATGACATCGGGCCGCCGTAAATTAAGTTTGAGGCTTCATAGGTCAGGCGAGCAAGACTTACTTGCTTAGCTCCCGCCCATGGCGGTAGAAGATCGGCACCATCGCCAGATAACGTTGGGTTTGGGTCATCCTGTTCGGGAGATGGAGACGGCGGCCGACGGGATGCGAGGACCTTTTCAACGCCATATGATGGTTCGTGTACACCCGTTGGCATCCATTCGTTGTGCGCCGTGCTGAATCGGCCGAGTAGGAAGACGTTTTCTGTCTCCTTGGCAGGGGCTGGCGCGCTGATTGCTTCCGAGTTGGATGTTGGAGTCAGTCCACCCAGTAAGGAGCTGCCATCTAAGCCCATGCCAAGTGGCTCCAACGAGCCGAGTATAGAGTCTAGCAGAGGGATGCCGCCGTACGCTTGCGCAAGATGCTCGTCGGTGAAGAAGTGTTGGTCGATGCCTGGTTTGTCAGGCGCGGTCGCGGACGGGTATTCGTGTTCATCCCATGCTGATGAGGACGGCGTCGGGCCGGCGAGCCTGGAGGATGAAGCATAAGTATCTGTTCTTAGGTGGGAAGTCCTCATAAGACTTGCCGGTGAATGAGCGGACACGACTGCGGTCAGGGCGATCGTGTCCAGCGGTGCCGATCCGCAGTTGTGGCAGACTGCGGGCGGCGTATGAGGGTGAGGATGAGGGTGAGGCTGAGCGAAAGGGTGAGGCTGAGGATCCGATGATGATGATGATGGCATCTTGCGAGCGGCGCTGGCATTGGTTGCGTCACCGTCCGAGAACATGGCATCGTAAAACTGACAAAGCGCCTCCTGATCCGGCCTCACCGGGAGCAAGTCGGGAGATTCCGTCGCGGGCTTGGACTTGGACTTGGAATTGGGCTGCTGGGCGAGCCGTTTATGGGCCCTGCGCTTGCGTTGGGAGGCAACGAGCTGCAGGCGGCGGCGCTGGACGCGCTCCTCGGGCGTCAGGTTGAGGGAGGGCCGGCCTCGTTTCACCATGATGCGGTTGCTTGGTGATGGTTTGGGTTGGATCTTGGGCCGAAAAAAGAGCCTGGCAGAGATTAAGGAAAAAATAGAGATTGGGTTCAACGGCCGGCCTGTAGGGTATGACGAAAGTCGGGGTAGCCGGGAGAAGCTCCGGGTCCAAGGTTGAAGAAGAAAAAAAGAGGGGTATCGGGGGCTGGCGGGCGGCGATTGGCTGCGGAGATTATTCAGCGATGCCAGCCATCAGCTCCAGCCTCTCGCAGCTGCTCCCTGCATCACAGTGGAGAGGCCGGGACACGCGCACTGTGGGTATCTGCATGCTCGCGCGGGACCGCCAAGTTCCAACGGACCAGCAGCGGCGCACCAGCAGCGCACCAGCAGCGCGGACGGCAGCTAGCAGATGTGACTCGTCATATCGGCGTCACAGTGCGATCTTCCAATTGGACGCGGGCCCGTCACTTATCTCTGCCTTACCTAATTCTATCGCCTGTCCCACTTTGGCGCTCCGACTTTCGCCATGGTCGCTGAAGGCAGAGATAAGTGAGGGATGGCGGGCTGTGATTGGTGGTTGGGGGACGACGCGGGCTGCGAGATTAATGAATAGCCGGTGATGGTGACGTTTTGCGCATGGCTGGGGGGCGCTACATTGTAGGTGTAGGTAGTTTGGCAGTTTGGCAGTACTGTGCGGGTTATTGCCAGTCAATCAATCAATCCATCAATCAATCAATAATCTGGTTTCCCACGGGTGCTAGAGCAGTAGAGGAGGTACTTGGAACTCCACCAAAGACCAAGTATAGCGTGTTACTGCTTTGTCGTGTCAATGAGTGATGATTGATGGGGCACACGACGATAGTATAATGGACGAGTAAGCTTGAGGTAAGATTTGAGCGGCGGATGAAACGAAGCTTCGCGCTCTTTGTTGGGACCGCATCGACGATCCAAATATAATCTCAACTGCTCTCTTCTTTATCCGCTATTCCAATCAATGAATCCTAACCCCCCCTTTTTTTCTGCCCGTCCACCGTTATCTTTTCCCACTGTCGATCGCCTCTTCTCTCCCTCCCTCCCTCTCCAACGTTCGCCCAAAACTCAGTTCAGCAACAATCGCGCCGTCTTATCGCCGGTACGTCGCCGCCAGGTACCGCGCCGACCGCCTTTGCACCTTACCAGGTCGCATCTCACGGCATCCCTAACTAGGATAGTACGTCGCCGCCAAGTACTCCGTAGGCGGTGGCCACCCCCCGCTTTAAATCAGACTGTGTGCAGCTTCAAGCCGCTTCTGGTTCGCCTAGCCAATCCAACTGCCCACTTGGCAGAAGCAAGAATCAACTTGCAACTCCAAAGCCCTCAAACAACTGGGAAGCGTCACAGCATCGCAGCGCCTTCAGTTCTCTCTCTCTCTCTCTCTCTCTCTCTCTCTTCCTCTCTTGTATATTCGCATTCGCATTCGCATTCAACCTCGATCCGTCCATCCACCGGCCACCCTTGGAGACTCTCTTCCGTTGCTCCGACGAGCCGCAACCCCTCGACCCAGAATTGCACGCCAGACGATGCTGCCGTGAGACCTCTCGCCTCGACCAGCGCTGTGACTCGCAGTCTCGAGGCCTTCCTCTCCATCGACTCTCCCTCTCCGCCTTCGACAGAGCAGTTTCCGCCCGTCTCCCCGTCGAAGCGCCCGCCTCTCCTCCGATCCGCCCATCATGGACGGCCAGTCGCAGCCGCAGCCGAAGCCGGCGCTTTACACTCATCTGTCTCAATTGTCGTCGCTTCCCTTGCGGACTGCCCACAGCACGCCAACGGCTTCTCCTGGCCTCTTCAGTCCCGTCGCCAGGCACCCTCATATGCCCACCCAGTCCTTCTCCGAGAGCAACACGCCCGCCCCTTTGTTCGACAGCCCCTACTTGCACCCGCTGCAGACCCACCGAGTCAGAGAGTATGTTTTTGACCAGGATTTCTTGTCTTTTTCCGTTCCTGTTGCTGTCGCCCTGCCATGGATGTCTGTGGCTTGTCTGCTTGTCAACGCCACATAGGACCCTTGGCTGGCTGGGGTGCTTTGCAAATAGAATTGATTCTTCCACAGCACAATTCCTTCTTGGACCAGTCAACTAACCTTTTCTCTCTTTTCTTCTTCGTGCAATAGGACCCACAAGGCTCTCATCGATTCCGACACTGCCACCGGCCGCAAGTCCATCAATCAATATGATATCATCGAGGAGATTGGCCGTGGCATGCACGGCAAGGTCAAGCTGGCCCGCAACCTCGAGACCGGCGAAAACGTAGCCATCAAAATCATTCCGCGCTTCTCCAAGAAACGACGACTCGGCAAGGTCACCGCCATGTCCCCCCAGGATAAGACCAAAAAGGAAATCGCCATTCTCAAGAAGATCAGACACCCCAACGTTGTCGCCTTGCTCGAGGTCATTGACGATCCCGAGCTGAAAAAGATTTACATGGTTCTGGAACACGTTGAGCTGGGCGAGATTGTCTGGCGTAAAAAGGGACTACCCCACATCTGCTCGTACGAACGGAGACGGTCCGAGCGCGAGATGAACGGAGAGCCGGCTACCGCCGATGACATGCGGTGGGATCGGATGCTCGAGCGCCGACAGATCATCAAGGAACTCAAGAGGGCCAAGATGGCCCAAAACAACCACGGCCCCGAGTACTGGAGCATGGAACACGGCGCCGCCGACGACGCGAGCACCGTAAGCCCTTGGTCCCGTATCTCCTCCAGGGAAGACTTTGCTGCCACCGACGGTTCCGTATCCATGCCCATCTCCCGCCGCTCCTCCCTTGCTCCCTCACAAAGCTATTCCTTTTCGTCTTCGCCCGGGACGAGGGAAGAGGACGAATGGCATGAAGATGATCACACTACCCCCGGTCCCACCTCATCGCAACCTCCCCTCTCTACAAGCGCGTTAGACGGAACCATGTTTGGAGCCTATACCAACAACGATGACAGAATGAGCTACCGCGAGCGATCTCCCAGCATGGCCGACTCCATCATCTCCCACATGTCTTCCATCGACTACAACGTCCGTGCCCACGACCCCTTTGCTGACGACTTCTCCTATGTTCCCTGCTTCACCTTTGATCAAGCCCGGACTGCCTTTCGCGATACCGTGCTAGGTCTTGAATACTTGCATTACCAGGGCGTTGTTCACCGTGATATCAAGCCTGCCAATCTGTTGTGGAGCAAGGACCACCGTGTCAAGATTTCCGACTTTGGCGTTTCTTATTTCGGCCGACCTATCCGTGAGGGTGAGCCCGACGATTTGGTGTCTGAATCCGAGGCAAAGGACTTTGATGATGACCTGGAACTTTCAAAGACTGTCGGCACCCCGGCCTTTTTCGCCCCGGAGCTTTGCTACACAGACCCTGACCAGGCCCAGCCCAAGGTGTCTGAGCAGATCGATGTGTGGTCTCTCGGCGTGACTCTTTACTGCCTCATCTATGCGCGTATCCCTTTCTTGGCAGAGGATGAGTTTCAGATGTTCCGCAAGATTGCCACCGAGGACGTGTATATCCCTCGCAAGAGGTTAAAGCCCGTGGACCCCTCGACCTCACCCACCGTAACCTCTCTCTACAAACGCCAAAACATTCATCCGTACCGCGACGACAATGACCTCGAATACGAAGACGTGGATAATCTCCTGTATGACTTGCTGCGCCAGATGCTCATCAAGAATCCAGAAAAGCGAATTCGCCTCAAGGATATCAAGAGACACCCCTGGGTGCTCCAAGGCCTTCCCAACCCGAGATCATGGGCAGACGAGACGGACCCGGCCAAGCCATCGAGCGGCCGCAAGATTCAGGTCGACGAGAGGGACCTGTCCTCTGCCGTCGTGCCACTCACCTTTCTTGAACGGGCCCGATCTGTTGTCAAAAAGGCCGTGGGACGAGTCATGCATCCCTTGGTCGACCGTAGCGAAAGTCGATCACGTCGAAGGGCTACTAGTAGTGTTGCCAGCTCCGGAGGTGATAGCCTTCCAAAGCCCCCCGCTCTCCCCGTTGCTGTTCCAGCTACCAATCCTTCCACTCCTTACCTCGACAGGCGCCGCAGCCTTCATCCAGAAGACTACTTTCCCAGCTTGCCAGCCAGGGACGCCTTGTCGAGCATAGAGCTACGCTCTTCAGAGTCTGGGGCCGCTAGTAGTCGCGTGGAGTCTGTCGTCTATGACCCAATGGCTACAGTCCTGCCGCCCCTGACCACGCTGACCACGCAGCCGGCCACTGTGACCCGGGGACGATCTCACAGCGAGCTGGATGAGGCGGCAACGTCCGAGTTTCGCCCTTCTGCCGGTGGCGTTCCCATCCGTAATGGGGGAACCATACGTGCCAGAAACGTTGGGCAATTCTTGCCCTTGACGCCTCATACGGTACCGCCTACCCCTTCTTTTGATAGAAATCCTCCCTTCCGTCCAGAGTTACCAAGTGCGAGGTCAGAGCTCAGCGCTCTGACGGGGGATTCAGTGCGCTCCCCTTCCGCGGACCGTGGTCTCTTCGCCAGCAGTGACAAACGAGCCACACCTCAAGTTGGTCTGAATACTGCCGTGGCGCCGGGGAACATTCCGGGCTTGCGAAGCACACGCTCAATGCGCTCTGTTGATCTGGGCAGAAACAGATACGGATACACGCAGCTGTCGTCTTCCCCCTTGTCTTCGTCTCCTCAGCCCATACCCCCTTCCTCATATCATCATCACAGGCATCTTCAGTCCGATCCAAACTTTCACAGTCGGTACCAGGAGCGTCCTATTACTGCCCACCGCGTGGACAACGGGACCGATATCAAGTCTCCCCTCACCCGGACCCCTGTCACAATGAGCCCCGAACCGGCCTTTTCTGGCTCGTACGCGAGTGAAGACGGCTCCGCTGAAATGGGCAGCCAATGGTCTCGTATTGCTCATCAAGATTGGCAATCCGAGGCCCCGTCGCGAAGGGGAACCGTGGAAATCGCAAAAACTGCGAGTACCGACTCCATGGATCATCTCGGAACGCCCTTGACGAGCCCAAGCGAAACAGCTAGCCCCGTTGCCGCATGTCCGCCTACCAACAGCGCATCTCAGCGAATGCTAGTCTTTCAGTCCGATCCCTCGCTGCCGGCTCTCCTTAGCGGTGCCAGCTCTGTTTCGGCTGATTTGGAGGGTGAGCTGCTGCTCAGACCGGGAACCGTAGACCCCCAGACCACTTTCTTACAGACCAAAGACTCGCTCACTCCCCCAGCCCTGGGAAAGGAGCCGGTCGGTGGCTTTCCCATCGACCAAGTCTTTGCTCACCACTCGTCCATGGAAGGTGTGCCGCTCCAAGTCAAGATTGACCGCCCACCAACCTCGGACAGCCATGCATCCAGCCACCAGCATCGCAAGCACGACGAGGAAGACAATGACGATGACAGTGATGATGGCCTTTTGTTAATGGCCAAAGCTAAGAAGCGACCGCCAGTTACGACTAGGCACCGGCCCTTTGAGGCCAGGCGGCGAGACACAAACATGAGCACTGCAAGTGACGAAACTGCCAGGAGAGTCAACATTTCTCCAGAAGCATGATACGACAAGACCCCGCCTTTTGTCCTATCTGCGGGCAGTCACAGCATGAAATGAAGCAAGAAACCACATACGCCTAGCCAGTTCCTTTTGTATTTCACGGAGGGGCTTTTTCTTATAAGCGAGAATTAATTAACTGGTGTGGGAGCGAAATCATCGAAGCGGGAAAAAGGTATCGGATGGGCACACGACCACACACGACGAACCTGGTTGCATTATCAAATCATCATCATTATGATTTACGGGGGATGGATCGGACCTCTTCAAGGAAAGGCTGGAAGCCTTTTTATTATCATCACCTTTTGCTCGATGGGAAACAATGGTGGGCGTTTTATATCTTTTTTTCACTGTTTGCTTTTTTTTTGCATTGCATAATGGCTTGCCGGCAAATGCACGCCCGTTATATCCCGGAACTTTGGAGTGTTTTGTTTATTTTTTTTATAATTTGTTTCCGGCCTTTTTTGTGTTGCTACAAATTTGGCTGGAACTAGATTGGGTCTTTTTTCTTTGCTCTTTTTCCTTGTTTTATCTTTTTTTTTTGTTGCATTTCTTTTATTATTATTATTATTCATGAGATTGATTATGGTGGAGTATGCTTATATGGAGCATGGAGCATGGAGCTTATGGGATATCAAGGGATGATTGGAATGGAATGCCTTGCATAGGATAGAATGATTATGGAGGATGGTGAATTTATATAGCTATATAATTGTATGAGTTTTGCATGGGTATCGAGGTAGTTTTAGCTATGGATGGCATGTGTATGCTCAGCTCTTGGTCTTTGTGAATCCCATTTCCTTTGGATGTGTGACTGTTGTGAGTAAAATGAAAGTCCACTGCTCTTCAAGTTCTGCTATCAGAGGGAATGCTTATCCAGTCTCTCGACGACTACAAACAACACAGAGGGTTACAAGGAGGTGAGGAAGCATTTCGAGTATTGCCTGAATTGCCAAGTTATCGGTGCCAGCACTCCCTTCTTCCTAAGGATATTACCATTTACCAATTCTTTTTTTTTTCGATTGAAGCTAGTCTATGTTCTCGTGTTAGCTATAACAAGTTGACACACGTGAATTTGTGAATGTCAGACATTATTACCTTTCTTTTGATTCTTCTAGAGTTCCTCTTCATGATTTTGCTGAATATCTGAATGATTTCCACGAGGCTCATTTTCATAGTCACTCAACCGATCTGTCAGATCGCTCTCTTCTTCCGAATCACTATTTTCTCCCAAAACCCGGTTTTCTGACCAATCGAGCTCATCTAGTGAGTTGTCCTGATCTAATGAGTCAATCTGGTCTGAGAATTCAGCAACAGGCTGATGCATTATCAACATATTCCAGATCTTGAGAGTATCGTCACTCGATCCAGATAGAAACAATTCTGAGTCATGTGAGAAAGCCACTGAATGGATATCGTCACCACGACATTGTAGTATTTGTAGGCAATGGCCTGTTATACCATCCCATATGTTGATAGTTTCGGCCGACCCAGATATTATCAGTTTTGAGTCATGTGAAAAGGCCACTGAACAGAAGGACTTCTTTGGCAAGCTTTTGGTTAGTGTCGCATTGCTACCACTTTCAGAGTGTGTGCGTTGTCTGTCCAATATTTCTGCGTCGTACTCTATTAGTTTCGTTGTATCGCGTGCGTTTAAACTCCTTGCATAAATTTTCCTTGAATGTCCTCTACCAGAATTTGAAAATGGTTCGCGCCATTTCATTCGATTTCGAGAAAGTTTTATACGTTGGTTGTGTGTGTTTGGCAGATGGCAAAACTCCTTGGTTTTGTCGCCAGTTGCACTATCCCAGATCCTGATAGCACCATCACTTGACCCCGATATTATAAGCTTCGAGTCATGAGACAAGGCCACTGAACAGAAATTGCCACCCTTTCTTGGTAGTGTGTGCACACATCTGCCTGTGGTGCTTTCCCAGATAATGATGACCTTGGATGAATTTGATACTATAAGCGTCGAGTCGCGCGAAAAGGCAACTGAGGATACAGAATCTTCGTGGCCCTTGAATGTCCGTCGGCATCCGCCAGTTGAATCCCATAGCTTAATAGTACCGTCTTTCGACCCAGATACAACTAGCTTTGAGTCATGCGAAAATGCCACTGAACGAACGGGGCTGGAATGTCCTTCCAAACTCTGTTGACATTTGCCTGTTATATCATAGATATTGATGTCATTTTTATTGGGCGACCCTGATACTATTAGTGTTGAGTCATGCGAGAAGGCGACAGACGACACCGGCCCCGCATTGATTCTCTTTTTCAATCGGCCGGTTACTCTATTCCACACACTGATAGTACCGCCTTTCGACTTTGATAAAATAAGTTTCGAGTCATGGGAGAAAACCACTGAATTAAACCCCTGCAAGCAGGAAATCGTCCGTTGAGGTTCAACTCTGGCGCCATTTTGAAGCAGTGACAGTGCCATATTTTTACGTGCCCCCCTACAGGCCCACTGCAGCGAAGTCCATCCCTTTTGGTCTCGAAAGTTGACATCGACTCTCTTCGTACTTAGAAGAGCTTCCACGATGGCCGTATGGCCGTTCGCACTCGCCCAGCTAAGCGCTGTCCGGCCAAACACGCTATCCTTGCTGTCAGGTTCAATTTCACCCTCAGAGAGAATCTGTTGGACCGTTTCGACATCTCCTCTGATGGATGCTGCGATCAATGGTATCCATCCATCGCGCTCTCGGACCTTGTCAGATAGGAGTTCCATCATTTCAGCATCGCCATTCCTCAGAGCCCTTGAGAACAGTGCATCGCAAACTTGGCGGCGACGGCCATCGCTGAGATTGTCCAATTGTTCATGTACAATTGGTAGCCTGGTTGATAAGTAATCTTGTCGTTCCTCAGCTGTCGTTTTTTCATGCTCTAGATCATTCATTTCCCGGGCGCTGCTTTCTTCTTCTTTGACCAGCTTTCTTCTTCTCTCCTCGAGTTCTTTAATTTGGCGCACCACCTCCTCAAGCCCCTTCTCAGCTAGTCGCAAACGTATGCCATAGCTTTCCGATCCGGCCTTCAACTCTTTATTCTTCGTATATATTTCCTTTCTTTCTCTCAGAAGTTGTCTGATGTCAAGAATCAAATCCGCATCCTCGGATGTAAGCATAGTATCATCACCTGATTGAAGAACCACTGCTTCAGGATTGATAGATATTATGCCCCCCTCAATAAGTTTCAATTTAACGCGTAAGTGAAGCACGCCACTCTCAGCGCTCCCCCCCCCTAATTCTTTTGACGGGAATTTTTGAAGATTTTGGGCTATTTCTTGCAACGGCGTGTTTCTGCTGCATGTCACAGTTCTGCATATCACGGCATTGAGCTGGGGTTCAGCGTTTGATTCCGCTTGTGGCACTTCGAGTACTGTGACGAAATCTCGACATTCCGCCTTAATATAACGGAGTCGAAGCAAGATTGGATCCGTAGTAGCTTGGTCGGAAGCAATTGGGGATATCAAGTTTGTCTGCTTATCCCAGCAAGGTTGGGGCTCCACGTCGACCAACGTCAGATTGAAATGGGCAAATAAATCATCCTCATAAAGCCAGTACGTCTTTTTGAATGTATTCTGTCGGCTGTCTTTCTTGATGTGGATAAGCTCAGGCGGAGAGCCAGACACAACGACTGTCCGTAGCACTGAAGGATGTTGCCTTGGCCTGACATACTCGTTAGATGCCACCGAGGTTGCTTTGGTAAGAGGGATGGCAACAATTTTGTGTGGTTTTGACGCAGGCCCGCAGTTAAGTAGTCCAAACGTCTCACCAGACCCAGTAGTAAGTAGCGGCATGTAGATGCGAAGACTCCCGCCAGACATATCGAGCGAGTGCAGTGGATTGTCTGTGTGCTCCCGAGTGATAATCTGTCCGGAATTTGCAAAATGTGACGGACTGGGTGCTAATACCCCCCCGTCTTCGTTTCGGAGACAAGACTCATTGGATTCATCATCAAGGCCCCATGCCAGGATAGAATCATCCCTCGTCGTCTTCATAATCTGCTCCTGTAGCCGGAAGAAAGCCTGCTCACCCTCGCCGTATAGCATTGGCATTGATATACCAAAGATCCCTAACAAACAATATGCAAGATCTTCAAGTCTCTTCGTTCTTCTCTGGGCAGCCCATGACATGCGTTGCGCAACGCTGGCAACGCGCAGTTCGGCGACACCTAACAGGAAATGCCGGGGTACATGCGTAATGCTTGTAATGAGCTTGCTCATAATGCCTTTGGTGCCTATGCAGCGCCATACCGAATTATAGAACCGCAAGTTCTTTGGCGCAAGAAGTTCTTGTAGAGTCCACCCTCTTTGGAACCAACGGCTTGATTGGAAGTTTGACTCAGGTTTGAGGGGGTCGTCGTCATCAGGAACGTCGGACAAGTAGGCATAGCAGACAGTTGCGCGGCTATACCATCGAAACATGGAGTTGATGGCTTCACTGAGCTCCACCAAGTTGGCTTTATCGATGCAACAGGTGTCGATCCAGACATATCCGAGACCATCTTCCACGGCTTGTCGACAACATCCTCGGAATTTGATTGATCCAACCGCTGGTTCAGCTTGAACAGCAGCTATCTTATAGATACGACCACGCTCAACATCATCGAGAGAAAGCTCTTCCGAGTCATTTCCCCAGGTATGCGATAAGATAGCATATGGAGGAATACTGCCATCCGAGAACTCTTCGAGCTTGAACGATTTCGTGTTGATCAAGCGCATGGTGGATCAGGCTAGAGTGACTCTTCTCAGTGGTGTTTGGTAGGAGATGGAATGTCTGATCCGAGATAGTTTTCATGCAAAAGCAAGCTGTATGAACAGAGGCTTCGATCTTAGTCAATGTCTTTTAAGATGCAGAGGGTTGGGCTGCCATGAGGTGAGGGGAATGTCGCTGCATTGCTGCCCATGCCTACCTATGGTATATCATCAGGCTGCATGAGGAGAGCAGGCAATGATTGGACGGCGATACGCCTTGCCAATCAATTTCTGAAGTGGAGTGAGTATGCGATTATGCAACTGAAAAGAATACCAATGAATGTTAATTGAATATGATAGGACTTATAGTCTCGGTGCCTTCTTCTGCTTCCCCTCAACACTCTTACTCATCTCCTTCAACTTGTTTCCCCGACGGACAGACAACACTGCTAAGCACCAGATTATCCCACAGCTTGACTGTTTCTATCCTCCTTGTGCCTTTGTCACTTGAAGACGATGCTACAAACTTCAAGTCTTTCGACCAGGCCATCTTACCGCAGAAATCATCAGGGCCTTTCAGCACCCTCACACACTCGCCTGTTGTAGTATCCCAAACGTGAATAACATTCATGCTCGACCTTGACACCAACATCTTGGAGTCGGGCGAAAAGGCCACCGAATCAACGTCAATATCATGGCTTCTCATCCGTAGTTGACATTGCCCGGTTGTAACATCCCAGATCTTGATGGTGTCCATGTTCGCCCCCGATGCTATGCGCGTTGAGTCGTGCGAGAAGGCTAATGCGAGTACCTCCTCCTCTTGCCAGCCTCTCAGCGTCCGAAGGCATTCACCTGTTGCCCTGTTCCAGATCTTGACGTGTCCGTCGAATGCGCCTGAAGCAATCAGCCTTGAGTCATGGGAGAAGACCACTCTATAAACACATCCATCATGGCCCTGCAGTGTTCGTCGGCAGTTGCCTGTTGCGCTCTCCCAGATCTTTATAGTTTTGTCGTTTGACCCTGAAACGATCAACTTCGAATCATGCGACGAGGCTAATGCATGGACGAGAGTTGTATGACCCTGCAAAGTTTGTTGACAGTCACCTGTTGCCCTATCCCAGACTCTGACGGAGCCATCGGCTGAGCCTGATATCACCAGCATTGAGTCATGTGTAAACACAATTGAGCAAATCATGTTCTTCATCTCGGTCCTGGCTTGTGGCGGCCGTCCGGATCTCAATGGTGACTTCGTGCCAGGTAGGTGTTGCAGAGTTTGTATGCACTGGCCTGTCTCAGTATCCCAGACCTCAATGAAGCCATCGTGCAGCCCAGATGCCAGAAGCTTTGCGTCAGGAGAGACAGCCAAGGCACCGACGGATTCACTATAACTGCCGAGTGTTTTACGACAGCCAATCTTGGCACCTTTCTCAAGCAGAAGACGTACTACATCTTCATGCCCCCTCTCAGAGGCCCGACGCAGTGGCGTCCATCCATCGTTATCTTGCGAGTTGACATCCGCGGCCATTTGGAGAAGAAACTCTGCGACAGCCATGTGGCCGCCTGCGCTGGCCCAACTGAGTGCAGTCCGGCCAAAAACAATGTCTTTGCTATCCGCTTCAGCTCCGGCAAGGAGAAGAATCCTAACCATGTCGACATCCCCTCTGCTCGATGCTGTAATCAACGGTATCCATTCGTGTTCTTTCAAAGTTCCCGTGTAAACAATAACCTTCACCACTGCCGCATCGCCGTCCTCTACGGCCTCGCGAAACATTGTTTTGGCCTCGTCGCAGTTGTCAAACTCGAAATTGCCGTGCATGTGCTTCAGCTGCAGCATCTTTTGACGAATATCTGTCTGGGCATCCTTGGCTTTTTTTTGGTCTGTGAATAATTCGTGCCTTTTTGAAATGAATTGGTCTTCTTCTTCGACCAGCTGCCTCTGTCGGGCCTCAAGCTCTTTCATCTGCTCCTCCACAGCCTCTCGTTTTCCCTTTAGTAACTGTAAGTGACGTTCGTAGCTTTGTAACCTAGTGTCCAGCTCCTCCTCTTTTGCTTTTGCTTGTCTCTTTTCCCTTAGTAGTTGCGTGAATTCCAGAACGGCATCTATATTCAGTTTCTCCGACTGTGCGGATACCTCTTTCGTCGTATCTGGCGGAGAAGCCATAGCTTCAAGGTAAACGTTGTAGGATGTCAATCTTAAATCAAGTCACTTTCTGTCAGTTCCAACTCCTCGTAATATAGAACTAAATATCACTCACTAGTCGAAACAGCGTATGAAGAAAACAATCAGGCTTGGGAGATGACTCTTTGGCTCGGGCTGCCGAGAAGTGAGGGGAAGAAGTGAGGAGGCGATGTTGCACAGCCATGATAATGCGTGTTGAGTCACTTGTATCACTGATGATGCCTTGGGGCGTTTAGCCACAGCAGTTACACAAACTTCTATTGATGGAACTTTGTCGAGGCATTTGTTATTGGTGCTTGTCCCAAATGCAGCTGCAAGATGACGGACATGAGAGACAGATGTTGATTGGGCGCGACGCACCAGAGTGCCCAAGTAAGCTCTTGAAAAGCAAAAAATGAGTGTGACGGAAAAAACATTGTGAGAATATTATCATGTGAAGTGCTTGAAATGGAGGAAAAGAGGGAGGAAGGTGACGCAACCTTTGATAGGTACATATTAATCTTCGGTTTAGGTGGTTTACAGAACGTTTACTACTACCTAGGCACATACATAGAGATATATACCACTTAATGGAAATGTATTCTATAGTAAAAGAGAGAATCTTTCCCTTCTCATCCAAAGTGATTTACTTGGGTACTACGTATATACGTATATAAGCACAGACATATATACCGTAACATACTAATGATATGGGTAATACAGGTTTCAAGCTTAAGTGCTGTCTCAATATACCCTCTCACGTGTAATTGAAGCGGTCAAAGATGATGAAAAGTGCGTTTATTCCCCGCAAAACAGTCTATATCTATCAGTCTCTTCATCTTACAGGTATCTATCAATCGCTCCCTTTTTCTCAAAAACACATAAATCGCCTCGAAATTGCCGTAGTTGACACAAAATGAAAAAAGAAACCAAAAGAAAGCAGCATGCCTATTGTAACTGCACATAGACCGCCAACGCAGCTAATACCAAAGAAACAACAATCCCAACAGGGATAAATAATGACGGCCGAGTAAGCTTCTTCGCAAGAATCTCGTCCAAAGACGATTCCAACCGCAAAGCCATGTTCTTGCGACCAAACAGAGATCGCACACGTTCTTCGCCATCAGCACCCATCTGACGAAGATCACTGTCAGGCATGTCAAGTACACTGCCCATAACGCCAGACCAAGCATCGACATCTTCAGGATCACGCAACCAACCTGTCTTGGCATCTTGAATTGTCTCAACGGGACCGCCCGTGTTGGCAGCGAGAACTGGCACGCGAGAAAGCATGGCTTCAAGGGGCACAATGCCGAAATGCTCGTTGGAGGGCGTGTAGACTAAGAGGCGAGCCGTGCGGAGGAGGGATGTCTTGATGGAATTCGGTATGGAGAGAAGGAAGAGGACGGAGGCATCGCTTGGGATCGAGGAGAGGGAGGAGGCATCGAAGGAGGTGACGGTGTGGTGGCTGAGAGAGTGGGAAGAGGCCAGTTGTTGGAGTTCTGCGTGGTATTCGACGTTTTCAGCAACACGATGATCGTAGCCACCTGTAATGAATTAGACCTGTAAAGAAAGAGGGGCAGTAGGAAGTATTGCATGTGACATACCCGCGAGAACAAGACGAACTCCATTGCGCTGGGCCTCGGGAATGGCAGCAAACGCCTTGACAGCCAACCCAATGTCCTTCTTTCGCTCAAACCGATTAATGCTGAGAATAATCTTGTAGTCGCCGTTCCCAAAAACATCGCCCTCAGAAGCATCATCCCGCTTCAAAGTCGTATCAACACACGGATACACCACCTTGGTATCCACCTTGTCCCTCAACCCCGGCCACGTCCTCGCAACAACGCCCCTCGTAAACTCCGAATTCACAGCCACCGCCTGCGCAAACCCCATGGACCACTCCTCGATCCAATCAAACGGCACCCTGTACAGCCTCTTGAGCGCCGACTGCCGACCCTGGGCGAGCAAGAGATCGGGAAAGTGGCAGTAGAAGAGGATCGGCGTGTCGGGGTAGAGGAAGCGCATGAGGGGCAGGCCGGCGGAGAGCTGGTCGACGACGAAGGCGCGGGGCCCGAGGGCTCGGAGTTCGCCGGAGAGGGTGATTTGGACGAGGAGCTGGAGGTGGCGCAGGATGGCGCAGAGGATGGTGAGGCGGTTGAGGATGGACATGGGGATGGGCCATGCGCCACGGACACGGACGTCGAGGGTGCCTGTGAGGCTGCCATAAGCTCATGTCTGGAGAAAGAAGAGTGTGGGATGGACTCAATGACAGCTTGTGTGTTACTCACCATCGCGACACTCGTCAAAGCAATGGCCCGGATCGCAGTGGTTCGTGAAAATGACAACGTGATGCCCTTCCTCCTGCAGCCCGACCGCCGCATCGACAACCAGCCTCTCGGCGCCGCCAATCCCCAAGTCGGGATGGAAAAACACGACTGTGCCCTGAGGCGAGCCCGAGACTGGGTTCTGCACGTCTCTTGGCGGCGACATGGCGGGCAGCAGGTTTGTGTTTTTGGTTCGACGGTTGGAGATTTGGAGCTGCGAGAAGTGGACAAGTTGGAGTTGCGGAGCTTTTCTTTTCTTTTCTTTTTGGAGGAGCTTCAAACAGCTGATACGTAGTGAAAGGCACATGCAATGTGGGGTAGATGAGGCTAGGCTGGAGAAGGCTTAGCGCTGATCACTGGTGCAGTACGTACCTGGAATAGAACTGGAGAGAGCTTCAATCCATCAAATCACATGTGACTGACACAACAAACAGCCCCATCCAAGATGACATGCCATTTTGTGTTTAGTGATCACACAATACCGAATACAGTGGGAATTGCATGTCCATCCAGTCTCTCTCTCTCTCTCTTCTCTTGTGACAATCCCGCCTAACGGGCAAAAACACAGCATCAGCCTTATCAGCAGCCCCATACCGGCGCGTGCAGATGCCGAGGCTCATCACGTAAACTCCAGTTTTACCGCCTCGCCGCCCATTCTTCACATCTCAACGTCTTTCCTCATCGTCAGCATCAACTGTCAAACGAAATCTCACTTATTTACTTTGTTTTCATATACTTTATATAATACCCCAGACCCCATCTCCATCTCCATCTCAACTCCATCTCCATCACATCACCAACACCCCTATAGCACACCCAAAAAATGTCCAAAACCCTCTACACCATCCCCATCCCCCCCCTCGGCCCCCATCCCGGCGGCTCCATCACCCTCGCCGAGCCCCAGCCCGCAATCTACCTCCTCACCTTCCACTCCCCGCCCGACAACCGCCTCACCACCCCCGTCTGCAAGGCCCTCCTCGCCGCCCTCGACCTGCTCGAGTCCGGCGGCCACCCGCCCGGCGTCCTCATCACCACCAGCGCCATCCCCAAGTTTTACAGCAACGGCCTCGACCTGCAGCATGCCGTTGACACCCCCGGCTTCTGGGCCCTATTCTACTCTGTCTGGAACCGACTCCTAACGTACGAACCCCCCCCCCCTTAACAAGTTCCCCCCTCTATATCAATACTCACACTCTCATCCAACAGCTTCCCCATGCCAACCATCGCCCTCCTCAACGGCCACACCTACGCCGGCGGCCTCATGCTCGCCACCGCCCACGACTACCGCCTCGCCCCCTCCCCAAAGGGCTTCCTTTGCCTCAACGAAGTCCTCTTCGGCGCCCCCCTCCAACCCCCAATGGCATCCCTCTTCCGCGCAAAGCTCCCCTCCAACGCCCTCTTCCGCAAAGTCGCCCTCGAAGGCCACCGCTTCACCGGCGCCGAGGCCGTCGCCGACGGGCTCGCCGACGCCCTCTGCCCCAACGGCCTGGACGACGCGCTGAAATTCATCGCCGAGCGGCAGCTGCTGGAGAAGCCGAAAAGCGGCGTCTACGGCACCATCAAGGCGGAGATGTACAAGGATTTGGTGAGGGAGTTGAAGGGCGCTGGGTTGGAGGCTGAGATGGAGCGGTTTGGGAACGATCAGAGGAGTGCGGCGGAGAGGAAGGAGTTTGGAAAGGTGTTTGTTGAGCAGTGGCGTAAGGAGGACAAGGCGAAGCTGTGACGATGAGGAGAAGAACGAAAATATCTACATAAATCTAGAAAGGCCATATATATATATATCGGCTGTATAATGAATAAACACCAGACATCACTGTATAAAGACCAAGCACAGTGTATAAATATTTTTAACTCGTGTCGTTTGCGTTTTGTATTCCTGTCTAATATGCTTGATTCTCTCACACAACCCCGGCCATTTTGTCATCAGTCCAGAGTCTATCCCTTTCAAAAACGTTTGTTCCCCCCCCAGTCCAATGATAAATTCTAATGAGAGAAAGAGAGAGAGTATAGCTGATAGACACAAAGAGAAAAAGAAAAAGAAAAAAGGAAAAAGCAGCATTGGCTACATTTGTGGTGGGTATCATATTCAACATGCTCCAACCCTGACTTCACACGCTACATTGCCTTCTCTTCCCCTCCGCCATTCCAACACCCACAGCGCTGCTGCGTACATGTATACAGCAGTTCAACTCCCCGACACTCGCTCCGGCCTCACTCATCTCCGCTCTTCTCACTCCCGAACCAATTTATATCCCGTATCCATGCAGGGCGTGCACATCCACATTACCCCAAGCCCACTGTCACGACTCCTCAGCTCGAATCCTCATCGCCCTCCTCAGCGTCTCCCGTCTCCGTCGCATCCGTATTGGTCGATACGGCATCCGTCTCCGTCCTATTCGATCCGGCGTGCATATCCTTCTCAGCTTGAATCGCCTTTGCCCGGCGCTGCTCAACATCCTCTCGTCGAACAACCTTTCTAAGCCCCTCGCTCGCCTGGATCAATCCGTCAATGCTAATGGCATGCTCCGTCATGTGGTGGTTGATATAGGTGTACACCCCCGCCGGCGTGTCGCATTGCAGCAGATTGCTCTCGTTGAGCTTGAGCAAGGCCAGCGCAACCTGGAAGAGAAACGTACTTCCGTCGTTCGTACACAACACCACGTCCCATACCCGGAAGAGCGCCTCGGCGCACAGGCAGTCGGTAAAGACAGAGAGGAACCACTGAAACGTCAGGGCCTCGAGCTCGATCGACAGCGAGTCGAGATGCGCCGACAGTTTGGGGAGCACCGTGCGGACATATTGCCGAAGGACCTGCTGGTCGGCCCGCGAGGATATCAGCGAATGGTCGTAGTAGCCGTGAGGCAGAATCTTTTCGATAATCGACGCCAGGATCCAAAAGGCGTCTTCCGCCGACGGCGTAATGAGCAGGATGTTGGCCGCAATCAGGTTCATCCCCTGGCAATAGCCCACGTCCTTGTTCCGTCGCGAGTACGCCAGGAGCACCTCGTTCAGCTTCTGCACCCCCGGGCCCTTTCGGAAAAAGATGTTGTCCGTCAGTGTCCTGTTAATGTCCATCTTGATCTGGCCCACAACCGCAGTCTCGTCGTCCTCCCCGCTCTGAGACACGAGTCCGTCGTAATAGCCGGGGATGCGCAGCGCCGTTGCCCCTGAGCACTCGGACCATATCTTTGCGCGAAACACCACGGGGATGCCCCCGAGCACCAGCGTCTTGAATCCGTTCCACTTGGCCCGCCCGACCTTGCCCTTGTTGCCCAGGTTGGAAATGCCAATCATTTCGCCGTCTGCAACCCGGGCCTCTGGAAGAATGATACCTGGGGTCTCAAACCGAGCCTCTGCCGCCGCCGTGGCCGCAGCTATGGCAGCCTCGCCCTCACGATGCCGTTCTGCCCTGACTTTGCGCAGAAATTCGTTCCACTGGGTAGTCTTGTCCCGCTGGAGAGAGTCGTGCAAGTCACTCAGCTGCTGGAGAAGCAGCTTGACCGGCTCGGCATCTTCCTTGACGAGGGTTCCGAAAGTCGAGTCCTGCTGCTCCGACGGTGGCTGGGTGAGCGTAGTCTCATTGTCGACGGCCGTCGTTGTGCTTGCCAAAGGAACAAGTCCTGACTCCGTTGGCGTTATCGCAGGCGATCGGGCCGAGCGCTCAACCAACCGCTGGCTGGACGTGGTACTCGCTCGATCGTCAGTGCCCTCGGTCACGGACACGGCCGTGGCACTTATGCCAGGCGTGTGGCTCAGCAACTCTGTGGGAAACGTCGCAATCTTCAGGTAGTCCTGCCAGCGCTTCGCCTTTTCTTCGCCCGAGGCTCTCTCCTCTTGTGAGCTGGGGCTTCCCGGCCGGGGATCACTCGACACGCTCATCTTGGGGCTCGGTGCATCGTCCAGCATGTTGGGCGAGATGCCCGTCCTGTTGCCGTTTCCAATCATTTCCCTGCGGTCGCCGTTCCGGATGTTTTGGGCCATTTGCGAAGCTTCCCGTTGCCGCTTCTTGCGCCGCTGGTCGTAGATGAAGCCAAATCGGTCCGTGAGATATTCGCTGTTGGGGTAGTTGTTGTACATCTGAGTGAGTGTCGGAGGTTGTGATTCTGGGGGCAGGATGGCGTCCATCTCGACGGGTCCGTAGTTGTCCGGACGCAGAGCAGATCCGCCAGGCGAGCTGCCCGAGCCGCTCCCTCGCACCTCTTGAGTGTGCAATTTCGCGCTGGCTGAAGCAGTAGCCGGCGTGGATCTCCCCATGGCCATGAGTGCTTTGGGACCTCCGGCAACGGACACGGCTCGGGATGAGCGACTGGTCTGGTTACTAGCAGCCGACGCGGCCCTGGTGGTGTCCGTCCGGGCAGCACTGCTCGCAGCACGCCCCCTCTCGGCCTCGCGACTTGCGACAGCGCCGCCGGCCACGAGCCTCAGCGTCAAGCTCGCGATTGATTTGCGCTCCGGCGTGGTGGCCGAGTGTATGCTAGACGGCCGGCTAGAGTTGTGACCAGGGCCAGCGGTCGTCGGGGTCGGGGGATCGAAGAGGTCGTCCTGCAGCGGCGGTCGCTGGCCGAGGCTGGAGTGCGATCGTATCGCCGTAGGCCTGTTGGACGACGTCTTTCTGGACGTGCCACCCCAGAGAAAGTCTTTCCACCCCTTGACCGTGCCGGCCCCCTTGGTGTTGTCGGGACTGCCGCCCGACGCCGAGGGGACGCTGCTGGCGTGGGCGCGAATCGTGCTGCTGGTGGCGCCCGAAATCTCCGTCACCGTGTCTCGCATGGCGTCGCTCATCAAATCGCTGAGCCCTCCGTCATCTCGTTGGAAGTGTCCGTTCTTACGCAGCTCCGCCTCCACCACCCGCAGCCTCGTCTCCAGCTCCAGGCTCGACAGCCCCAACTCGCGTACAATCTTTCTCAGCGCCCGCTCGCGCTCATCCCCCCTCCGCCGCAGATGTGCTATCTGTGCGTCTCTCTGGGCGAGGTCGCCGGCAATCTGCCTCACCAGGGTCACGGCGCCGTGTCTCGCAATCAGCCGCTCCAGGTGCTTGTCATCCGCCTTGTGTAGCGCACCGGGGACGGTTTGCGACAGGGGCGCATCCTCAAACAAGGCCTCGCGCGCCGAGTTGCGCCAGGTCAGGCTGTCGACGATGGACGAGCCGACGCCGCTCAGCTCCTTGACGCGGGCGGTCCTGTCGGGCTGGCGGATGGCGGCGAGCAGCTGGTTGTGGTCGGCGTTGTCATCGCCGAAGCGGTCGACGCCGGGCAGCTCGGGCGAGAAGCTGGGGAAGCTGGTGAGGGACTTGTCGCTCTCGGCAATGCTACTGGCGGAGCTGCTGAGGTGGTGATGGTTGTGGTTGTGGTTGAGGTTGTGGTTGAGGAACGCGCGGTTCTTGCCGGTGCGGATGCTGCGATGGGAGCGATACGAGACGTTGCTCTGCTGCGAGACGGAGCGTTCCAACGGAGGAGCCGCGGGGACGGAGTCGGACAAGTCCATGATGGCCTCCTCGCAAAGGCCACCGAGGCTCCCGTCAGTCTGTATCTCTGGGTGTCTCTCTCTTTGTCTCTGTTTCTGTCGGAGTCGAGTCGAGTCGAGTCGTTGCCGTTGTCGTAGTCGCTGTCGCTGTCGATTACCGCTCTCGAAGTCGATGACGTTTGTCGATGTCGATGTCGATGTCGATCTTGTCGTGTTTTCTCCGCCTTTGTCAGGGTGTCTCTGTGTCTCTGTGTCGCGAAAACAAGATGATGCAAAAAAAAAAAAAGGAGCAGCGCTGACGTGACTCGAAAAATCCAGAGGAATGCAAAACCCAAAACCCCAACCCTAGACACAGACACAGCCGAGGGGCATAACGATGGCCGGGGGAGAGAGAGAAGCTGTTGCGGTGCTTGTCGCCTCTTTTACTGGGGGAAGCTTTAGCGGCCGATCCAGGGTCCAGGATGGTACAGCTTGCGCAGTGCAGTGCAAATTCGATGGTGCCGCTAAGGTCCAAAGGGTAAGATGAAGAAAATCCCAGGCTCAGTCTCTCTTTGTGTGTGTTGCTTCTTGTTCTGCTGTAACGATAAATGGCAATGTCTCACGTGGAATGGAATGGCAACGAAAGCACCAGTTGGATGAGAGAATGCAAGAGAAGGGAACGAAAAAAACGTGCAGACAAAGAAAGGTTGCAGTGCTTGTCATTTCAGACGGCGGCGGGGAGGGGCGAAAACTCACTGGGCAAGATGGATGACATTGGATGGCGCCTGTCCCATCAGCGGCTATTTTGTATTTTTTTTTTTTTTTTTCTTTTTTCCTTCTGACAAGACAAACGTCACGAGCGGCCCCCAAAACGACTGAACACTGGATTAAATTGCATGCGGCAGCAAAATTGAAAATGCGAGAAATAGCGGGCTTGGCCAGATGAGGCCACTCGCTTAGGATAAATTGGACTGGCCGGGGATTAGCATCAAGGGAGCTACCTTGGTGGCTTGAGCTGTTTTGTTCTTGAGGCCCAAAACAGCTGCAGCTGCCCAAAGGGCTCAATGCCTGTCATTCATTACACGATGCATGCATGCATGCTGCCAGCTGTTTTAGGCCACGAGGATACATTCATTATTCAATTTAACAACATTCCACTGCTGCCTCCTCTATTCACCATTACGAGGTGCCTTTAAGTCCTCATGTCATGTTGATCCAGAATCTAGATGGAGCAGCTTCCATCCGCAGGCACTCATCATCTCATTAGTAGCTCGACCCCTT